TGAGCGGGACTCGCATTTATTTGGCGGCAAAAGTTGTTTTTACTCTACCCAGTAATTGTCCGCAAAAAGGTATATTGTATTTGGGGTTTTAGAAAGAACAAGCTTCGGGGAAAATTTTTAAAATTATTTATGTAATTTATTTATTATATATTCATTTGTTTTAATATTTTCTTTGTTCTCATAAAATTCGAAGTCAGTCAGACAAGCACTTTGATCACAAGATCGATTTTAGTTTATCTCAAGAAAGTTTCCTTTACGCAGAACCCAAAAAGTATGCAATGATTATTAACAGCACAGGTATTCTTAAGTCGTAAGACTGGACTTAAAATTTCCTTTTTTTATTTGGTGCTTTTTTGTTGGATTCCTTTGGGAACTTTCCTTTCATATTCACAGTCCACTTAACACGCGCGTCGCACAATGCGCCTCAAAACACAAATGAGCAGAGCTTTGCGCATGCGTTGCTGCCGCTGTTGTTGCTGCTGCTGCTGCTGATGTTGCTGCTGCCCCAACGGTGGCGACGGTAACCTCAGAAAATCTGTGCTGACGGCACGCTTTGATGTTGGGAATGGCGTGTGCCCCAATGCAGAGATTTTCGCTTTGTTGTTTCGCCGACTGCGACTTCGTCTACATCTTCGTCTTCTTGGCCGACCAGCAACAACGACATCATCGCCATGCAACAGCAATTTGCCGCCAAGTGGACCGCAGCAGCAGCAGCAAGAACAACATCAACGGGGAGAGCTTGAAACTTGGAACGTGCGATGCGAGAGAGTGCCACCAGAAAGTTGTTGCCCCTTTGGCCAAGTTAAAAACTAATTCTGCCATCTCTGAAAGGCTTTAGAATGTTTTAATACATATTTTGATAATTTAATAAAATTGAAAATAAACAAATAAAACATTAAAATAGTTAAATTTTAAAAACATTTGATTATTAAAACAAGATATATTATGAGACATCATAGGATTTTTTATATTTTTTAGATTTCCAGCACTGACCTCCATCAATCGAGAGCAATGCAATTATGACCGCTGCCCGATGAAATTAGAGATGCGCGCTTTGATTGCTGAGTGAAGCGGAATACTGGATCCTCGGTGCACCTGTTGCTTTTCCCACAGTGTGGCTGGGTTTTTTTTTTGCGAAACGGGAACAGTTGCACGGCTGATCCTTGAATCAAGGATCAAAGGACGTGACCGTGACGGGGGCCCCCGAAACCGATAATAAAGTTGTGCATTAAATGAAATGAAATTTTAATTGCTTATCGGCGACGAGTGATCCGGGAGCCCATCTGTTGGGATTAGAGCGGCAATGGCTTGACTCGATTGATGTCAAGCGTGTTGTCGGCGCTTTGAAGATTATGCCCAAAGTTATGAGGCTGGCTCCGTTTTCTTCTGCTGCTGCTGCTGCTGCTTCTACCTCTTCTTCAGTGTTCCAGGTGCTCCGGGTGATCAGCCTATGCGAAATTATATAGCTCAGTGGTGGCAGCACCAGCAGCAGCAGCTTTAACTACGCAGTGGTTGTCGCTTCTTTCTCATCCTCCTCATCATCCTCGTCATCATCATCATCTTCATCTTTGGCAGGGGCATCACATCAGCTGGCGCTGCTGCTTGCCGCTTGCTGCTTGCCGCTTGCCGCTTGCTATTTGCTGCATGCGGCAAAAGATGAAACGTGGCGGCAACACTTTGATGCGGCCAAGATCAAAGCCGCCGATTGTTTACATAATAGTGGCCTTTGAAACGGAACAATAGAATGCCAGGATCAAAGACACCGACCCGTTTACCCGGTTAGTGCGCTTAAGCGAAATGAATGTCCATGTCCGTCCGCCCGTGATCTGTTTTTCAGGCCCCACACCGCAAGAAATTGTGGTTGATTGAGGTCAACTTTTTGTGGTTATTATTAGCTTTGTTAGCAGTGACTTATATCTGATAAGAATTATAAATTTTCTTTAGACACAAGTATTTAAAATATATTTAAAAATTAAGAACAATTTTTTTAATATTTGAATATGTATAGTAAATAGGTATATATACAATATAATATATATTTTATAAATAAATAGTATTGTTATATCTTATAAATATTAAGTTTCCATGCATTTCTTTCAAGAAATATAACTTTCCTGAAAGAAAGATAACATATCAATCAAAAATTATTTAGAAATATATTTAATTTAAAAGTTCAAGACATTTATGATAAATCTATATTTATTACATATTATTATTTATTATTGTTTATTTTATTAATATCCTAGGACCTCCTTATATTTATTGCACTAATCAAGACAGAAATTTGTAAAAATAGTTGTACCTAATCTAAGTATTCTTATTACTTACTTATATTTTTATTTAATTTTATTGTATCAACTATATTTATTTTAATTTTATTTTATTGACTATATAATTTTTTAAGTTTATTTATTATGCTATCAATGGTTACTTTTAATTTGAATTTTTATTATTATTTTCATTTTATTTCTTTAAAACAATATATTAATATTTCCCCTTCCAATTTTCCTCAGTGCAGTAAAAGTAGCACTCGTCGCAGCCAGATCATCATCACGATGGCAATATCATCATTATGCTGCTGCTGCCAGCTGGAGCCTCTTTGAATTTGTGCTGCTGTAATTGCCGAACGGCCGAAGGAGCATTTCTGCTGCCGCAGTTGCTGCTGCAACTTATGCTGCTGCTGCTTCTGTTGTTGCTGCTGCTGCTGCAACTACTGCTGCTGCTGATTGCGCGTCAAATGTTTATGGCATTCATCGCGTGCTGGCGGCGTTTTAATTGCTTGAACGGCACAAGCGCCTAGTGCAGCCAGTGGCCAGTGGCCACGCTGCGTATGAGCAATGCGAGCATCAATAATCTCCAGAGATGCTGCCGCCGTCGCGTCGTTGTCGCATAATAATTGCGTGTACTTAATGCATAAATATTGCACTGAATTGGCGGGCCAAGTCGGCTCCTTTCTATTTGCCACTTTCAAGTTTACCGCCGCCGCCGCCAGTTGGACATCATTTTTTCTTTTTCTTGTTTTTTCCAGCCGCTGGCTGTTGTTTTTCTCTTGGTTTCATTTCGTTTCTTCTTCCTTTAGGCCTACAATTTCTATTGGAGCAGCGGCGAACAGCTAAAATCAATTTGGTCAGTGATAAAATTTTTGCAAAAGAGAATCAATTTTACGGCCGTCGGTGGCGGCTTGGGGTGGGGGAAAAAATCGTAAAAGTATTTCGATTTCGGGGCCAAACGGCAAATATCAAAAGCCCCAAAAAAAAGAATCTTTAATGATCTGTCATTAATTGAGTTTCGTATATACCGCGCATATAGAAATGGAAATGAAAAAGCGTGGCAAGGGCCGCCAAAAAGGAAGCAGCTAAATGATTTCTCTTGTGAATTTTTCGTCAGCAAAAAAAAAATATATATATATAAAAAGGGAATTAACCGTATTTCGATGTTCTTTCCTTATTTTTTCTTTAGATTTACAATTAGATAAAAGTCGATGGCTACTTTATTGAGATTTTATGTCTTTAAGCCGCCGCCCCGCATCGGAGTTCCCAGGGCCATATTAAAATCGCTACGTTTCCCAGAAATGCCGACGGCCATAAAACACATCATAAAAAAAAACACAACAAAAAATATACCTACAAATTTTATGAAACGGCAGCGATGAGAGAATTATGAGAGTGTGCATAATAATTGCAATTACACTAAATTAGCATTAACGCAGGGGGGAATCTGCCGAAAAGGAGCGTGCAAAAACAAAAGACTTAGGCAACGAACGCGGCGGGTTTAAAAGTGACTTAAGACCAGAAGCGAACGAATTTTATTTCGGCCTTCGATTAGGCAGATCAAAGGGTACCTTTATTACCTTTTCAACAGATGTAGATGTCGTAAAACCGTATATTTTAAGGTAAAAATATCCCATAGCTCCATAAAAATATAACTTGCTTTTCAGATTCTGATTTCGAGCAGTTTAAATAATATTTGCAAAAAAGAATTTGAATGTTAATTACAATAATTCATTAAAAATTATTATAATTAAGCAATCTTAATTTATAATATATTATATTTATGGTTTGAAAACTTTAATTTGGATTTCTTAAATATTTTAATGTATTATAATTAATAAAATGTATGTTAAAAAAAACCATAAGAATATATTTATATATTTAGAAATGATTTGTATTGTATTTGCAATTTCGCTAGCTTAAGATTAATATGATAAAACCAATCAACTGACGCTAAAACTGTAATTTTCTTAATAATAACATAAATTACTAACTAATAATATACTCTATGATAATAGGTTTAAGTTTCATACTGCTAAAACCTTCCTTAAATTGTAATAAAATATAATTTTTTAAATATTTAAAATCTTTTATTTTGAATTTTTAAACAGATAATTAATATAATAAATTAACCGAAACATAAGCACTGTAATTGGATTATTTTTCAACAAATGTCTTATATTATTTGTCTCGTCGAAAATAATAAAATTACATTTTCACTAAAATTATACTAAATTAGCATTAAGACAAACACAAAAAACCCTAGAAAAAACAAAAGACTTAGGCAACGAACTCGGCCAAGGAACGAGGACGAAAAGGAGGCGAGCGAAGACCAGAAGCAAAGTCCATTTCGGCCTTCGATTAAGCAGATCAAAGGGAACCTTAATACGGTTATTAACAAGTAGCAGCAGCCGCTGCCATCATCGACGCTGCTGCTGCTGCCGCTGCCGTCGTCATCGCCGCTGCGCTGCCTCAGTTGACGTCGCCGTCGGCGATTCTCTCAAATTGCATTGCCCTGCAGTTTATTATTAGTTTTGTTATTATTTTGCGTATTCTAAACAAAAACGCAGCCACACAAATGCCGCCGCCGAGAGCAGAGTGGTAGATAGCGAGAGAGAGAGTGAGAGAGAGAGAGAGCGACGAGCACACGTGAACCGAGGCAGCGGCAGAGCAGCGACGTCGGCAACGAGGGCGCAAGGTAAAATTCGATTCCTCATTCCGTGGCGAGCATTCGACTTGAGCGGACGTTGTGAGCGCGTGTGCCGTGGCGCAGATAACAAACAAGATCGCAGTGCTATCAGCTGAAACAACAAACGAATCAAATACACTATATATTATCACGAAAAGTCCCCCTGCAATTGAAAAGAAATTCCTGAAAACCAGTTGACAAGTGCCACCACATTAAAAGAAAAATCCAATTATAATGCAGCGCCTTAAAAAGTGCTCCGAACTGTGCTGAACAAAACAAAAAATAATAATTAAAACACCACAAAAGTATATCAAATATTCATATATAATATATACCCATATCTATGTGTGATCGAATCGAAAATGGCAGCCGAACAAATCGCTAAGATGGCAGCTAAAACATCAGAGGAAGCCACAAATAAATGGATTAAGCCCAACCAGCAGGTGAGTTATCAACGAGAAGCAGAGAAAAAAATATATACAAAAAAAAAAAAAACAGTAGCCCCAGAAATGAAATATGAAGCGGTGGCTTGGCTTCGAAATATGGAAAAAAAAATAAATAAACGGGGGATATCAAAAGTTGCCGCTTAAGCAGAAAACCGAAAAATACAGTAGCACGTCAATTAAAATTAATAGCTTCCGACTTAAGCCGCTGGCCAAGTTGTGAGAACTCGGCCGGCATCCGAGGAGAATCGAGAACAGAGGGCCTAAAACCGAAACCGATACCCAAAGCCTCTACAACTTTATTTACGGCATTAGCATAGTCGGTCGAAATCAATTTGAAAATCCTTTGCAAGGGCATAAAAAACGAGATTAAATTTGCCTGCGTGCGCAAAAAGCCACAAAAAAAATAAGCAGGCAGGGCAGGAAAACAAAAACAACCGAAGAAAAATAAGCAGGCAGCGGGGTTGGTCAGGGGAAGAAAACAAAAAGACCGACAAAAATGAGCGGGGAATGAGACTTTAAGTGTAGCTAACCAAAACCCTCATCATCAGCAGCAGCGGCAGCAGCAGCAGCCGCCGCAGCAACAACAAAGTGCAGGCCGCTTTCGTGCGCCCCACTTCGCTTGAAGTCGAGGCCCCGAGACCCCATATTCCGATATTCCCATATCCCCACAGCCAGAGACAGAGCTGTAGCCACCACAACCACTCCACTCTACTCCACTCCACTCCACAGTCGTAGTAGCTACTGTTTTCAAAGTTAAGATCAATGAGTGCGACGACGACGACGATGCCTTTGGCTTTTTGTAGTTGGCCCGAAGTGCACAGAAACAAATAATATCTGGTTTAAAATAGATTCATTTTAAGGGATTTCTCGATAAAATTATAGATTTTAAAACCTAAGAAATCATTATTTTTGCAGTGATCATTGGGAAAAGCTTTCAAAAGAGCTGTAACTGGAATGTTTCTATTTATTTATTGAAAAACCATAAATTTCTTAAGGAAACAAACATCTTTTCAATATTCTTTAAATGTTTGAATGATATAAAAGGCCATATTAATATTTATGCTCTACAAATAAATTTAAATACAACCTATTTATTATTATTTAAATATTTTACCCGAAAAAAAGTATATTTTTTTCGTGTGTGTTACTGGCCAGGTCCGATCTGCTTTGCAACATGCCGCAAACATACACGAGTCCACGGGGCGGCAAAGTACAAAGCCAAAAACGGCACGGGTTTAGCGCGCTCGGAGTAAAAAGCGATCAGCGGCCAGCAGCCGCTTGGCAGACGTGCGCACATCCACAGATACAGATACAGATACATCTACAGCTACAGCTACAGATGCGGATACTATGGCCACAGATACACTGGCGGAGATCAGGCCGGTCTAATAACGCTGCTACACGTTTCGGCAGCGGCGGCAACTCTGCTTTTGTTGTTGCCGCTCGCTCGCCGGCCTGTTGCTGGCTTGCGGCTTCATTTGAGGCCGCTTCCGAATTACCTGCACTCTGGGCCTCTGCCATGCCAGCAATGCAGCAGTAGCAGTAGCAGCCACCGCGTTATTTCCCTGCCATAAAAAGTATTAAATTGCCGCAAACAGGTGTATTTTAATGCCCGGCAGGCAGAAACCATAAGGCAGCGACAGGCAAAAGGGGCCGAGATCGTTCAGGTTTCGGGAGCTGCAATTATGAGTGCCTAGGAGAGGCCTCAAAGTATTCTAAAACTCAGCCAGGGGAAGGCCCAAAAAATCAAGCAATTCAGGTCAGCCAAGGGAAAAGGAAATAAACGTTGACAGTTGGCCAGGATTAGGCATGGAAAATATGGTTCACTTATATAAATTATTGTAAAATTTAATTGTACTAATTTCTATAACTTCAAGGAGAGTTACGTACATTTAAGTAGGGAAATGTTCAAGTATATACATTATTTAAAATTACTTCATATTATTTTATATCAGTTAAAAGAAAGATCAGTACATTAAAACTCAAATTTTAAGCTATTTATTTTGATTTTAATTGAAAACTGTAGCTGCTCTTATCCTGCCTAATATTTGCCTGTTTCTCTCTTCTTTTTGAAACAGTTCTGTTATTTATTTTTGTGTATATTATTTAATGTATTTCCTTGTGAAATTTGTTAAGAGCGCGCTCTCTTTCATAACGATTTTCTGGTTACGCGCGCAAATTAAAGCCGTTGAAAAAAAAAGCCGGCAAACAACAGAGAAACCGGGAACAGAGACAGCAAGTATATGGTAAAGAGAGATGGATAACCGCAGGCAAATCAAACAAACTGCCAGCAGTAACAACAATTACTAGAGCTGCAGCAACAACAACAACAACAACAACAAGTGCCATAAGACGACAACGGAAGTTTATTTATGCCGCGGACTGTGTTGTTTACTTAAGCGTAGAAGCGATAAGCTGCGAGTGAGTGAAAAAGCGATCGTCCGTTTTGTATTTGTTTTTCTTTCTTGCTGCAAGTGCGCCAAGAATAACAACAATAACAATACCAGTAACAACAACAACAACAACAACATCCTCCACTTTCAAGATCCCCATCAAGTGGCTTTGGGTTGACGGTCTCCCTTTGATTTAAAAACCGGGCAAGGTCGTTATTGATTGTGCTGAGATAATAAATATACTTTTGATGGGAATTTTCTGCATAAGCACTTCTAAAGATATATCTAGAGCAGATTTGTGTAGACTTTTCTCACTTGGCAACTGACACAAGTATTTTTTAATTTAAACAAATTGAATAATGGTTAAGCTATTGTAATTTTATTGTCTAGATCTATTATGGTTTAATCAGCATATTATTATTTATAGACCTCTGATAATTAAGTCACTTATCGGATCAATAAATAATGGCATATAATTGGATTTTTAAAGCTATGAATTTTATACTAGCTTAAGTGTAAATTAAACAGTAAGAAAATTTATTAGAGGTAAAGTTCAAAACACAAGGCAATATAATTCCCAAAGGAACCGAGATAAAAACTGGCCCTCAAAAGAGTTTTTTAAAATAAATTTTCTATAATATAAAATAACATTTAAGATAAAAAAAGAATTTTATATAAAAATAGTTATTTATTTATTTGTATAAAGCTAACAGTTGGCTTTAAGCTAATTGCTAACTTATGTTTATATATAAATTTATAAAAAATGGGTGAACAAAAAAATGTGACTCAATATCAATATTTATTTATTGAGTATAAATAACTTATTGAGAAAAAAACAACAAAGTAACCCTTCAAATAAGGAAATATCTGAATTAAACATTTCAATAATTCCTTTTTTGAAGGGTAATTTCAACCTTTTCAAGCCTTAAATCTTTCATTAAAAGGGAACTGATCCCATTCCCTAGACAAATGCTAATTGCAATTCGATTAAAGGCACTTAGACCAACACACACTAGACCAACACGGACTAGACTCAATTGCCAACGCAATCGAATCAAATGAAATCAAATCAATTCCAGTCACAACGGGGCGTATACTCGATTTTTTAATAAAATTGTAGGAAAAAGCAGGGAGGGTACAACAAAAAATAAAGAACGCTTAGCGCCAGCGCGTCGCAAACGCAAACGCGACCGAGTATTTTGCAGCAATTAATAAAAACTGACAATATAATCGGCGCGACAAGTAGTTGGCTGCCAGCCAGCCCCCAGACATTCGATTCGATCCTTTGTCGGCATCGCTGGAAATAAAAAAATAAAAACAAAAACTACACAAAAAAGAGGGGTAGAAAATCGAGAAGGAAAAAAGCAAAATATTAATAAGCACTGCCCGCAATTAATAGCGCAACTTAAGACTCTATATAGGGTAATTAAGCGGCGCTTGTGAACATTTTTCCTTTGGCAACGCCGACAGTGTTTTTATTTATTTTTATTCGGCGGCGCTGCCGTTTTTTCTCAACAGGTAAACACAACAAACAAAAAAAAAAGAGACTAACAACAAGTGCAACGTACGCTCACCCATTATCTATCTGTATCTGTATCTGTATCCGTGTGTGTGTGTGTTTACTCAAACGTAAATCCGCGCACGCACACGTGAAATCCCACTATTTGTAGTTTTTGTTGTTTTTTTTGTGGTTCATTGTGGCCACAGTCGTTGGCGCAGTTGAACTAATCAACAATGGAAACTACTCATCTAATGTTGAGGAGGAGCGAGGAGCTCTTGTCAATTTCGTTGTTTGGCGGCAAACATCAAACATGGGACGGCGAGCGACTAAGACGAGCCAGAAGATATCTAAACCTGTTGTAAGAGACGTGTGCAGAGCGAAAAAAAAAATATATATATTGGTGGGCTGAGATGGTGTGAGAAATTTGGGGGAAATGGGAGGCAAGGTAGTACGGATCAAAAAAATATAGGTTTTTCTTGTAGAATTATATTTTAAAAGGGGAATTTTTTATTAAAATATTTAAAAATCTGTTGCTTACATTTAAAATTTCTTAAATTAGTAAATTATTCAACTTGTTAAACGTTTTACAAGTTGTTATCCTGATCAGAAATAGCTAGGTTTTACCATTATAATTATATTTATAATGTTTCTATTATATACCTTCTATATGTATGATGTTTCTATTATATACCTCATTTGTATTATTAAATATTTTATTTTATTTTTATATTTTATTCATTTAACTGTTATTTTTATATTTTTCAATTTTTCTTTTAAATTTATTAAAATCTATTCCTTCTGCAAAACATATCCTAATGAAATGCTTATATACTTATATATTTTTTAATATTTTACAAATTCTCAATAGATTTATCGACTTAATTATTCCATTAATTAAACAAAACAAATAAATTTATGACCATATTAAATCAAGCTTTGATCAGATAGTAATCCGAATTTATAATGCATACTGTCAAATAAAATCACATTCACTATTATTAAAATGTTATCAAGCAATGTATTTGTCAATGGTTTTGTTAAACCTAATTTATATGAATTTCGGACTCTGGCTTATTATGGAAATTATAAAAAAATTTGGGAACCCGATTGGCTGGTTTAAATATAGATATATCTAAGCATTATATCTTGCGAAGATATCAATGACTGATGCTGCTGCTGCTGCTGCTGCCGGCTACCGTTAGGCCAAATGGCCTGCGGTCCAGTTTTCAGAGTTTAAATTTGGCCAAATTATACTTTGTAGGCCTTTAGCCAATAATTGCCAGAGTGTGTCTCTGTTGCTGTTACTGTTCCCGTCCGAGTGTGAGTTGAGTGTGTGTGTCATTTGCATTTCTGTCTGCAAATTGTCGTTGCTGGCGGCGGCAGCAGGCGGCGCACTTCAAAGGCCTGTATAAACATTGATTGAAGATTTCTTTACGATTTCTGAATGGTTATTTATGCGGAGGCAAGACCGTAGACAGGCAGACACAGCCAGCCAGCCAGACAGACAGACAGACAGACCGACCCGGCCGAATTGACAGACTGACACACTGAGACACTAAAATCGTTGCCGATGTTGTCGGCAAATGTTTTTTGTTGCTGTTATTGTTGTCTTATTTACAAATTGCTGGAAAATAGCTAAACAAGAAAAAAAACAACAAGAAAAACAGGCGACTTGAGAATCAGCGAAACAACAAAACAAATCGCCAGATAGCTCATTTGATTGATGTCTGTATGCGGAGCAACAAAAACAAAAGCTTTGTCAATTTCCCCGACCATACAATATCCCGTAATTATTGCTCTTTAAAAAAGTTCCTTGCATTTTGTAAAAGCGTTTGGCTTGGATTTTGTTCTGAAGAGTTAGGGAAATATTTGCAAATATTAAAAGTACTTTGAATTTAGATTTTTTTTTCATTAGTTTGCCTTAAAACATAGGAAGGGATACATGGGACAAGTAAAGAGACAAATGAACGGAAAAATACAGTATGAAGTAAGCAGAGTAATGAACTAAGAATTCAAGTGGACAAATGAACGGATAAATAATGTGATAAATGAACAAATTACTGGTCAAATGAACAGACAAATGAGCGGACATATGAACGAATGAATTATTGACAAAAGGATAAATAAGCCGACAAATGAACAGGGAAATGAACGAACAAATGAACAAACAAATGAACCTAATAATGAACAGAACAATGAACTAAAACAAACTAACTGATAAAAATACGTATAAATAATAAGGTCAAATAATAGACCAAAGACGTATAATAGACGAATAATGGACTAATAAACATTAGTAGATAGTCTGTTGATCTGCCCACAAAAATATAATATTTCCTAATATAAATCTACTGTTACATACATTTCCTTCTCTCCAATATACCCTTATACCACGCGATTAAAGGGTATCTAAAGCAACCTTAAGTTCAAAGCCAAGAACGGACGCCGACGCAGACGTTTATGGCAACCGCGCAGCTGGCGTCGCTGTGGCAGCGCTGCCGCTGCTGATTACCACGCGTCAGCGGCCATGACAATGTGAAATTGAAATTTGTTTGACTGGCACTGGCACTGGCCCACGGGGCGTATGATTAACAACAATTTCTTGCCATGTTTGACTAAATACTTTGAGGTTTTTTTTTATTGTATTCCCTTTGTATTTATTATTTTTTTCTCGCCTCTCTATGTAAACCAAAGGCAACACAAAACAAAAACAACAAACAAGCCACAAAGAGAGTGCAAGAATGAGGGGAGGAAGAAGGGGTTGGAAAAAATAACACAACGAAACGGAACGACGAAACGAAATGCGGCAAAAATTTCTTTGATCTTATCGCAAAGCTTCTTGCTCGCATTTTGATCAAAGCAAGTTTTTCCGCCAAAAACAACACCAGCAACTGTTGGCCCAAAGAGAAGAGGCCAACTTGAGAGAGAGAGAGCAAGGGAGAGACAACCGCTGAATCTTTGTTATCAATGCCGAGACTATATCTCTCCGTTTTCTCTATTTTCTCTTTCACAGATTGTCAGCCTGTTACCACTGCTGCTGCTGCTGCTCTTGGCCACATTCAGCCAGCTGCCAAGTGCCAGAGCCATTGCCGGCCCCAGCTCCATCAGCAGCCTGGATGCCGCCTCCAGTCTGGACAAGGATCCGCTGCGCGAGACCAGCATGAACATGATCCAGCGCAACTATATGGTAATGCACTCGGCCAGCGGCTCTGGGGATCACAGTCGCTCCCTGAAGCGCGCCAACCTGGCCAACACGAGCATCACCTGCAACGACGGCACCCATGCCGGCTACTACCTGCGCAAGCAGACCAGCTCCAAGAAGTGGATCGTCTTCCTCGAGGGCGGCTGGCACTGCTTCGATGTGCGTTCATGCCGCGCCAGGTGGATGAGGCTGCGCCACCTCATGACCTCCTCCCAGTGGCCAGAGACGAGAGATGGTGAGTTTGAACTTTACAATCGAAATCCTTTTACAGATTTCTAAGGTCTCTTATTTTTCCCTTCCAGTTGGAGGCATTCTGTCGCCGCATCCGGAGGAGAATCCCTACTGGCACAATGCCAACCATGTGCTCATCCCCTACTGCAGCAGCGACTCGTGGTCGGGCACACGAACGGAGCCGGATACCCGAGATCCGGAGAATAGTTGGCGCTTTATGGGAGCTCTGATCCTGAAGCAGGTCATTGCTGAACTGATACCCGTAGGACTGGGTCGTGTGCCGGGTGGAGAGCTTCTACTAGTTGGCTCTTCAGCCGGAGGTCTTGGTGTGATGCTGAATCTGGATCGCATAAGGGATTTCCTGGTCAATGAAAAGCAACTCCAGGTCACTGTCAGGGGAGTAAGTGATTCGGGTTGGTTCTTGGACCGAGAACCCTATACACCGGCGGCTGTGGCCTCCAGTGAGGCTGTGCGTCAAGGCTGGAAGCTGTGGCAGGGTCTGTTGCCCGAAGAGTGCACCAAAGCCCATCCCACGGAGCATTGGAGGTGTTACTTTGGCTACAGGCTATATCCTACCCTGAAAAGTAAGTTTTTCCTGTGATTTTTGTTCTTTGAATTTTATGTAACCTTATTTTCCTTAATTTATAGCTCCCCTTTTCGTGTTCCAATGGCTTTTCGACGAGGCCCAGATGCGAGCGGACAATGTAGGAGCTCCGGTGACGCCGCAGCAATGGAACTACATCCACGAGATGGGCGGCGCTCTGAGATCTTCCCTGGACAATGTCACAGCGGTGTTTGCACCCAGCTGCATTGGCCATGCGGTCTTGTCAAAACGGGATTGGGTCAATATCAAGATAGATGACATCTCCCTGCCCTCGGCCCTGCGCTGCTGGGAGCACTCGACGCGTCGCAAGCGACATGACAAGCTAAAGAGATCCACGGAGGCTTCGACTGTCGTCTCCCAGCCATCCCAGCATCCCAATAACCAAAGACATCAGCGGCACCGTCAGCGACAGCAGCAGCAGCGTCAGAAACAAAACAATGTGGCCCAGGCGGGGACGCCCAGGAAGCACAATCACCTGACCAAGGAGGAACGTGAGGAGAGGAAACGCCTGCGGCAGGAACAGCGCCAGCGACGGAAGCAACGCCGCCAGCAGGAGCGGCACAGGAACGCCAATGCGGCGCAAAAGAATAGGAATCGAAAGAACAATAACCCCAAGTCCAGTAATGGTGGTGATTCCCGAAAGCAGCGACGCCGCCAGCCCTTGACCCCGGAGCAGCGACAGGAGCAGCGCAGGCGACGCCGCAAGCAGCAGCAGCAGGAGCAGCAGCAACTTCTGCGCCGTGACCAACATTCCCACTCTCAGATGCAACAGGAGCAGCCATCGCCGTCGGTTGTGGTGGTGGCCGAGGAATCCGCACAGAAACTGCGCTCCTCCAACAACGCCTCTGCCGGCACCAAGTCCAAGAAGCGTCAGCGTGTTCCCCGAGTGCCCGAAAAGTGTGGGCTGCGACTCTTGGAGCGATGCAGCTGGCCGCAATGCAATCACTCCTGTCCCACGCTCACCAACCCGATGACCGGCGAGGAGATGCGCTTCCTGGAGCTGCTCACCGCCTTCGGGCTGGACATTGAGGCTGTGGCCGCCGCCCTGGGTGTGGATATGCACACGCTGAACAACATGGAGCGCACGGAGCTGGTCAACCTGCTTACGCAGCAAGCAAGCTAGGCGAGAAATACCCTGTAAAGTAGGATAGATGGACGAAAAGTGAGCGGGGTATTGTAGGAGGAAAATGTGAGCTATTTAGGAATTTTAGGAAATATTGCGTTTACAATTTTTGTAAATTTAAAGATTTAAAATCATTTAATCGTGGACCCAAAAGTATGTAACGATAATTGCATTGCATACTTTGAGACACCTTTTTAAAAATATTTTTTTAAAATCGGAGGTTTCGGACTTCTTTTGAAGAGTTTAAAAGTTAAATTTTAGAAAAAGAATACCACTCTAAAATAGAGCTTAAAAGGTTTTATTTATTATTTAATTATTTAATTTAAGGATTATTTTTCCAAAATTCAATTCTGTTTAGAGTTTTTAAGGGAAAACTAATTCCTAGAGCAATATTTCTTAGAATCCTTTATAGTTTATATCCCCTCCCCATATGACTTGTAAACTTATTTAGGTGTCCTGCACCCCCTTGTAAATAGGTGTCCTGTATATATAGCTAATAGGTCCTGGGGCCACCCTGTAAATAGCACACTCCATATACCACCACCCCCAAAAAAACACACACACAAACGTAAGCGGAGCTAACTCCAATTCCTAGAACACACCAAGAAAGACATGCGCATAGTACCCAGTAATTAAGCAGAATTTATTTATAGTCCTATACTCGAAATGCAACTCGTATTCGTATTCACATTCGCATTCACATTCGCATTCGCACTCGCCACATATTTATTCATTCGCATTCTGATATCACAATCACAGAAATGAAATCTGCTTAACGAGAAACTAAACACAAATGCAACCACAAGACTGTTTTTATGTTTTTTTTTTTTATAAATATAAATAGTTACGGATATGATGTAGGCTACATAGGGATATATGCTAAATAGAATCGTAAATGTGTATGTAATTTATTTGATAATTTATGGCCCGTTTAGGATTGTACTTTTTTTTGTGGAGTCTAGACTGTTTCAAATACCTTTTTTTTTGTATTTTTTATATTGTTTTATACCTACCTCAGACGAGTAAGAATGAAATTGATTAACAACTGCCTTCATAGAACACATATATATCATTGCGTACCTGTGCAACGAAAATCAAATACTTAATAATATTAACTAAATACCGCCCGCATTCCGTTGAAAATGAAACAAAGCAACACACACAAAGCCAGAAGCGAAGTGAACAAATCGAATAATCGAATTAATTATAGCAATGTTTTGTAATGCAATTCTAGATAAACGACAAATAACGCACAAAAGTAAATAACTTAATTTAACAATAACTTAAACTAGCCCTAAGCCTGTACAGAACTGGTTGAAGTTTAGCCCTAAGCATTGTTGTACTTAAACCTATTGATAGTTTCTAAACGTAAACAAATTTCCAAGCTAATTAGCTTTTGTTACTGGTTCCCAACATTCAAAAGATGAAATCGATCCACAGCATCCGAAAATAAACCAGCAAAATAATTACATCAGATTTTGTGCATTTTTTATTTCAATTTATATGGAAGAGAAATTATTTAAATAATCGGACTCGGCAAGTTTCACATATAAGCTTGGAGCACCAGCGATTATTATTGCCGGCGCATCCTTTATATTTGAATTGGGTGCAGTTATTGGTCACCACATTGAAGTGCCACATGGCCTTGTTGTAGTTTTTTTTGCACCTCCTTATTCGTTTATTGCCTCCATCTAAAGGTCCTTCACACTGGGGAGTTGCTAAAGAAAATTTTTAAAAATTTATTTAAGATCCAGAACTCTTATTTAACTATTATTTTCCAAATATCCTTACCAGGCTTGCCCTTGCAGCTCTCTACGGTGGTAAATACCCCTAAAAGGTACAAGGCCACAACAGCACTTAAAAGGATCAACGAAGTGCTTCTCATATCAAAACTGATAACTTTATTCTGGGAAAGGTACGAAACAGGAATACTATTTAAGATCGCCTGGCAGGTTATTTATAGGGAACACCCTGCCTTGTCTGCATTAAAAAAACATATACAAGGTAAAGTCTCTTGCCCTGAAAGGATGTTATTCATTTGCTGTGTAAGTCACTCAATAAATGAAAATAATAAAGGAAAAATCAATCACGCGCAGTTAAAAACCATTGTTAAAAATTTCAATAACTAAAAACAATATAGTTATTCTCAATAGCTTAAAGTAAACAATAAAAACGAGCTCAAGATATAGGCACGTGTCTGCCAAATCGAGAGAATATCTTCGATTTTCTGATAATCTTATTAAAGTAACCCATAGTTTGTTATTTGTGTATTTAATTATATTTCTTTAATTATTTTTCTAATTTGTTTAAAAAACTTAAGAAAATATATATATTATCTCCCTCGGCAGGCTTCACACAATTGCAGCTTGCACCAACGATTATCATTCCCTCCGCATCCTTTATAATCGAGTTTTGTGCAATTCTTAGTCACTGAATTATAATGCCACATATCCTTATTAGCATTTCTCTTACACTTTCTTCTTCGGTTATTGCCAACATCAAAGGTTCCAACGCACTTAGGAGAGGCTAATCAGAGAAAAAATGCAACTTAGGAAAATCAGATTTTTGGAACAATAAAATATATTTACTTACATGGTTTGCCCTTGCAACTTTCAACGGCTGTGAAGACCGCCAAAAGGTACAAGGCCATAACAGCAGCTATGAGAATCAATGTGGTGCTCCGCATTATAGATGGTACGAGGCCAGACTAATGTTGTAAATTATGCTGCCATGATTTTTATAAAGCCATGTTGTATTTATACTGCCTGTTGATTGATTTGCTTTACCAACATACACACGTGTGTAAAAAAAAGTATAAAAAAAATGTCTGCTGCTGAATGGTGTTAAGCAAATAAAGGGGGCTTTCTTTATGTTGAATTAAGCTATATACAAAATTAAAAATAATAAAAAAAAAACAATATTACTTATAGAATTCCACTAAATTTACACCAAGTAAATAAAGTAATATTTGCTAAAAACTGAATAGGTTTTTAGAGTTCGTTGGAATCGTTTTTAAAGCTTTAAAAAATAAATATTTATATATTTTTTTTTCACACGTGCCAGAGCTTTAGGTATTATATAATTTATTATCAGGTGATTATTGTTCAACAAGCACAAGGCTGTTCGATATGTAATTTATTTTCGGCACACATGTGTTTTTTAAAAAATAAGCTAGAAAAAAAGAAAATCATATTCGACATATAAAATAAACACTTTAAGTAATATTCGATAGATAACAATTATTTAAATATAGAAGAAAGTATTTTTTAGCTGGAAAAACTTAAAAATTCATTCATTATACCTATATTTCCCCACATTTTTTTTGTTTTAAATTTAGGTTGTATGTCCTAAATTTTTAGTAGTATTACATAATTATTGTTTTTTTTTTACAACATTTTTACCCAAAAACCCAAATATTTTATTGTTTCCGCAACTATATAAGCCACAGTTTTCAACTGAATAAACAGTTTAAGGCAATTCCGTCGTCATGAAGTGCGCTTTGATCTTGGCTTGTCTAACACTTTATGTGGCCTATACATCTGGCCAGGACTTTTGCCGGGGTCGACCAGGTAAGTCTATAATTTCGAGACTTCCCATATATAAACTTCTTACCATCTTTTCGACCCAGTTCTTCAGGTATGTCAAGGTGGTCGGGATGAGGGAAACGCAAATATCTGGACTTGCCATGCCAGGAACCAGGAAATGTGGTTTTACAATTCCCGGACCAGGAGCTGCTCCAGGATGCGGTACCGCGGCTGTGGAGGCAACAATAATCGCTACTGCTCCGAGAACCATTGCCGGCGAGTTTGCAGACGCTAAGTGTCTCTTGGTTTTGACCATAATGCATTACATTTAAAATATTAATAAAATATTTGTGTGAAATTAATATTTCAAAGAGTTGGACTGTAAATAATGATTATCAATGTTTTCTCTAAATATATAAATCATCCACTTGCAAAAGCCTTATAAAAAAAAAAGAATTATACCAACCGTATACAATTTGGACGCTCTTTAAAGAGATGCAATGATTGCTGAAATCTGGATTTTTATAGTATACTTTTTATAAATGATTAGTGTTTAGTTTAAGGGTGTCAATGGATAACGCATTTTAAAGGTGCTAAAAACATTTTCTTGTGTCTTTCGCCATCTTATACTAAGGTTTTCTTGTACAAAAAAATGAGAACATAATTTGAATTAAGATCAAGTCGCATTTCTCAACGCCTATTATTTATTTAAAGTTTAAATTTTAAACTCTTAACAACTGTGCAGCCTTTGTTCTTCTTCAGTAGACTTTTTGAAATCAGCTTGTTGAGCAGCATAAGTAAATATAAGTCCTGTGCCATGTCCATTTGGATATGAATTCAACACAACGATTTGGGTGTTTTAAAGAGATTTTATGTGTTGATTTTAAATTTATGTATAAGTTAACAATACAAAGGTTAACGGCGAAAAAAGCACAGCAGCGGCGACGGCACACGAAGGCTTACGGTAGAAGCTGGTGGACGGCGGTGATCTGTGCGAGCTAGGGTTATAATTAAGCTTTCTCTGTAAATTTAGTTCTGGACTGGCAGCCGTACAATAAAGGCACATCTCCTTAATCGAGCGTCTTTATTTAATATAGCCGTAGCTAAGACCCTGCTATCGGCTTATCTCGATTAGGCAAGGAAGGCCAGTTGGGATATCATCACTGGTCGTGGCCACCACCCGGTCCGATCCACTAAGTGATCGATCGTTGTGGGCAGCAACCTGCCGCAACACCCATCCCAGAACCAACAACTCCGTGAGCAACACGTGCCACGGTGACAACCCCCTGCAAGAACCGTGCAGGCGGTGGATACTGCAGGCAACTGCCTTGCCGCACTATCTCAGTAGTAACCATAATCACTGATCGAGGCCACCACCCGGTCTCGATCCGCACTGGGCATCACTCTACGGATTCCGAGGCGATCATAAGGCGACTGGTCGTTGTGGGCAGCAACTTGCCACAACACCCACCTTCTTAACCAACAACCCCGTGAGCACCACGTGCCACGGTGACGTCCTCCTGCAGGAACCGTGCAGGCGGAGAATATTGCGGGCAGCTACCTTACCGCGGTATACTAAAACCTTATCTTATATAAGAAACCAAAGGCACCACCCACTGGACTCAAAATACACACTGAGCTCAAGTCAATGAATATAGACATATAAAACTCACAAATTAGCAATCATCAACATTATTATTGATTATATTAATTTATAATTATTTAAACGGATATAAACTATTGTATTAATCTTATTGGTATAGTAGGGAATCCTCTATATAAGCCAGGATTATCTTTCAATCAATCAGTTCGTATGTATATATACTCCAATAACAAACATGAAATTCCCTCTAATTGCTGCCTGCCTCAAAAATATTAAAATTTAAAAAACATAAATAAAATAAAATAAAAAAATTCAGTCAACCAACTTGACACTAAAATACATTTTAAAATTCGTAACGAAACCACATTAAAAGTTCTTATTTATTAAGATATATATAACTTTATTCGTATTGAATGGATTATTGAATTGAATAATGTTAAAATGTTAAAACAGCTGAGTAAGATATTCGACTATTGTTTTGAGCTCATTGGTATTGTTGGAACGCCCTATATAAGCCCTCACTATTTATCAATCAGCCAGTTCAAATCGATCCTTCGATAAGAAACAACTAAAAATGAAATTCCTTCTGATTGCTGCTTGCCTCGTCTTGTATGTGGCTTCTACCTGTGGCCAGAGATGCAACGGACTTCCTCGTGGTATGTTAAACCCTGCAATCGCAACTACAAACAAGTAAAATCATTTCATATCATTTAAAATAGAAACTCAGGACTGTCAAGGAGGCAAGCATGAAGGAGTTAGCCAACTCCGTGGTTGTCGTCCTAGTCCCAATCCCGAAATGTGGTGGTACAACCGACAAACTAATGACTGTAGCAAAATGTACTATCGCGGGTGTGGCGGCAACAGGAATCGTTATTGCACCAAAGCACAGTGCATGGAAAGATGCCGCGGTCGAAACTAAAAAATATGAAACATTTACAGAGAATCTTTCTGAATAAAATTTCATTCAAAAAAAGAGTCTATTCTTGCAAATTATATTCTCTTTACAGTTTAAGTTCAGTTTATATTGTAGCCATCTGCAGTAGAGTTGATCTAGCCCTCTGCTTGACTGTCCTTTTTTACACAAGCTGCTGTTTCAGTAAATAAAGAAAACCTAAAATAAAACTTTGATTATAGCATAATAGCAAGAAGTATTTCATTCGGAATGGTTTTTGTGGACGGTTTTATTATTTTTCTGATAAATCTTAACTTTATTGCGTTTTAACATAAAAGGCATACATATACTTTGAGACCTACTATTTTTTAAATTCAACAACAAAATTTGTCTACTATACTTACAGTTTGTGTCAAATTGCAAACTGCCAGGGTATACAAGCTTCCCGAAATATATTCTAAAGCTTTTTTTACATTTTAAGTAGTACACCATAAAGTTGTTCATTTACTAAAGTAGGGTTTATGGAACTATAAATAGAACTCCTTTCAGCATAGTAATTTTTCTATATAAGCCAGAGCGTTTATTTTAGGAGTCAGTTCAAATCGATCCTCTAAAAAAAAACCATTAAAATATGAAATTCATTTGATTTTGTCCTGCCTCGTCCTTTATGTGACTTACACCTGTTGCCAAAAGCGCCAAGGACTCCCTCGTAATGGTAAATTAAAGTACACCGTTCCAAAAAGGCATTTTATTAATTTATTATTATTATATAAAATAGTTCCCCGCGACTACAAAGGACTCAGCGAAATGTGGTACATAAAGGCTGCTTCGGAAACAGAAATCGCTATAGCACCAAGTCACCCAGCTTGGAAAAGTGTCATCGTCGAGCTTAAATTAAAAAATATATGACATTTGGTTACAAAAATGTTCAAGTTTTGTTTATTTTTTAATTTAACATCATCTGTCTTTGAATATAGCGTACACAACTTAATCACTTATATCTTTCCTACTTGTTTGAGTATCTAAAAGGGTTGAAAATATAAAAAATAGTTTTAATTATTCACAAAGAATCGCTTTTGGAGCGCTCTATATTCGCTTTGTGATTTTTTAATTTAAGTAGGACACAAACTATAAAAAAAATCCCTCTGATAATTTCCATATTTATTACTATTGTGTAAATGCTATTAATATAACAGTTTGTACCCTATATAAGCTACGGCATAAATGTAATTCAGCACTTAGTTCGAATCGATCATCCGAAAAGAATCTACTGAAAATGAAATTCCTTCTTATTGCATCCTGCCTCGTCCTTTATGTGGCTCTCACCCAAGCCCAAGAGAATTGCACGGGACGTCCCAGTAAGTTGATACACATAAACTCATATATAAACAGAATTTATTTGTCAATATTTTAAAATAGGCAACCAGGACTGCGATGGAGGCAGGAATCAGGGAGTTTCCCAGGCGCCTCAGTGTACTCCACAACCGAATCCCAATATGTGGTACTACAAGCGTGATACTAGGGAGTGCCTAAAGATGACTTTCAACGGCTGCTTCGGCAACAGCAATCGGTATTGCTCCAAGGAACACTGTCTGAGGTCCTGCAACCGCCCCAACTAGTGGCCAAAATTAATACTGTTGTCCTTTTGTTATAATGGCATTTTATTAAAATTCTTGCAATATTAAACTGAGCTTTAAATTTTAATTTACATTTTTTATTTTTTATTTTATTTAAATTTATCTTTATTTATTTTGTATATTTAACTGTGAACTCTGTTCTGCATTATGATTTCATTTAGTTAATATAAATCCTAAGGATAATATTGATTAAAAGTTAAGGCAATAGTGGAGATTTTTTGAATTAGCCATAAAAAGTCGTTGGACTATATCCCTGCATAAGCTCCAGCGTTAGAAGAAATAATTATTAAGACCTGATCAGTCAAAACTAAGCTCTTTCTGATTGCAGTCTATAGTTTTAATATCAGGAGAGCGTTGATAAGGGCTTTTAGGTTAATCAAAATATTTAAGTATGACCAAGCTTAAAATGGGTAATGAATAATTAAAAATGAAGGACATCAAAATTGATAGTTGTTCCTATCGCTGCTTTATTACTGGCATTCATTTCATATTATTCAGTTGCGAAGGAAATCCAAGTAGATACACTACTTAGTATATACTGTTTCGAAATGCTTGTCGTCATTCTAAAATTATTTTTAAAACAAATATTTGTTTATAAAAGTATTTTAAAATCATTCGATTCATCTACGTATATACATTTTTTTTCGGGGTAGACTAAAAGCTGGAACATTCGCCTGTATTATGTTAACGTAAGCTACAGGTATTGTCTAAAAATAGACCTATTGTTAATTTTTTCCCTGTCTCTATATAAGACCCAGAAGCCCTTAATAAATGTATTTAAATATGAAATACTGCTTGAGTCTGGCCTACCTTGTCCTGTTTGTTGCACAATCCAGTTCCCTGGTGTTCCCGTTTTGTAATGGACGTCCAAGTAGGTCAAAGCTATAGCAATCTTATGAACTATTTATTATAAACTATTTTTTCAATAAGATTTTAGGGCGTGCTACTTTTTTAGGAACGAAGGACATAGCTTTGGAAGGGGTTGTCTGAGGAATCTCAACTTGAACATGTGGTATTACGACTTGTGGTCCAATGACTGCAAACGGATGACTTATTGGGGCTGTGGCGGTAACAGTAATCGTCATTGTTCTTACCAAGAGTGTAAACAGAGGTGTCGTTGGTTTTTAAGGAATTAAATACATTTTTAATAATAAAATAAATTATGGAATGTTTTTATACAAGCCATTTAGATTTTATTGGTATTATTACACTACAAAGTTGCTTTTATTTTATTGAAGTTTAAGTAATATAAAAAAGTATTATAAAAAGAACTTGCTTGTTTATTTTAACTAATTTGTATTAAAGTAAAAAAATGTGTGACCTTCCGTTTACAGTGTCATAACTCCATTAATACAAAAAATACTTAAATTAAATCATATGTAACATTATAAGTTTCCGAAATTAAAATTAAAAAGAGTGTGAAAGTTTATACTTTACAGTGCAATGTCATAGCTCTGTAATTAAATAATAAAAAAATCAGTTCAAAAAGATCTCTACTATTTCGGACTGTGTAGACATATGTGCTGCGATTACATTATTTAAACATAACATTAATTAACAGATAAAACTCCCTGATTTTATTAAAATTTTCCCATTATCTAAGTCATCTTCTATGGGATTTCTTCTCTTCACCTTATTCCACTCAAGACTGCCCACTCTTTAAATTAAAATGTCTCAAAAGTGAGTCCAGTAAATATACGAAAACGCTCAATTACCCAGGGAATGAGGTGGGGTGGAGGGAAAGGTCATCTTTGGCTTGTGGGAGGTTGCCTCAATTGCCGCGGAACGAAATGTACAAGTCTCTCGCCTCAATTCACCGCTGGCTGCCAAGCAAATAAGACACGCCAAATATCTATTCAAAGTGCACATCGTAATTTCTAATTGAGTGTCAAGTTTAGAGATGAAAACGAAAATACTAATACTGCTGCCTTTGGTGCAATCAATTCTTCTATTTGGATTTCTAAAAGGTAAAGAAAAGGGTTTAAAAATAATCCCCAAGCTACGAGAATTGCGCATTTAATAAAGTATAAATAATATATTCCATATTTTCAGCTAGTTGCCCCGTATACCTGACCATTTCTCCAAATGGCAAAGCCCTGTATGACTCCTCTCTGGAGGTCAATTGGGGTCCCGATTGCTATGGACCACCGCAGTGGATTGGCATCTACGCTCAGGATCCAACCATTTCCAACTTCCAGCCCGAACTCTTGATTCCCAGAGTGGCAATTGTCAACAAAACGGGAAAAATAATCACACAGATTAAGTTGGGAAAGCTACACTTTCCGGGGGGCTGGAATCGACAAGACACAAGTGATCCGCCAGCCACACGTTATCCCACAGGCAAGTGTCTGCCGCACTATGTGGCCAGCTACAATGGGACCGAGCTCCTAACCGTCGACTGCCTGAAGATTCAACCGAATTGGATGGCCCAAAATAAGGATGTGAGTCGAATGCCGCTGAAGAATATGTTCCTGCCAGGGACTCATGCCTCGGGCGCTGTTGTGAATCGAACCAGCAAGTCGGTGCTCATCAAGGATTATCTGCAGGCTCAGCTTTTCGATGTGTGGTCTCAGCTGGTCTTTGGCATACGCTATTTGGATTTTAGTGTGGGGTGAGATGGAAGTAATTCCTGTTTAAAATGTACATCTATTTCTATTTATCTTTCTTTTTTAGTTATAAAAACATGGCCACCAACGACGATAGCGACAACTTTTGGTTAGTCAACGAGAATATGTTTCTGCAGCCTCTGGTTGGAGTTCTGCGGGATGTCCTTCGATTTGTCAAGAGATCCGGTGAGATGGTGGTGCTGGATTTCAGCAGCTTTCCTATTGGATTCTACAAGCACCCGGAAATCTACAGATCGCTGTTCTATCTTATACGTCGAGAGTTGGGCGATGAGGCCTACCAACGTAATGTAACCACAAACGAGCTCTGTGCCAATCGGAATCTGCAGGACCTCCTAAGGCAGAACCGTCATGTGATGATACTGTTTCCCACACAGGAACTGCCACATCCAGAGAATGGTAAGCTGAGCTTTTAAATATTTAATAAAATAAGCTTTAAACCGATAATCTCCTCCAGAATCCAACTTGATCTGCCCCCCTTGGCTGCGCTTCAGCACCAGCTTCATGAACATGTCACAAACCCTGGACTACATGCGACTCTTGTTTAGCAGGAAGCCAGAGTCGCCTGTAAAGGATGATGGCTGGATATTCACAGCGGTGAGAAGCATGGAGCAGACCCTTAACTCCCACAAACTGCAGACGGCCAAGGAGCGGGCGGCTGTTTTGAATCCCAAGGTCAACCAATGGTTAAAGGGACCTTGGGGCAACAATGCCAATGTGGTGGCCATGGACTATTTTAGCAACACAAATCTAGTGGATTTGGCCATTCAGCTGAATGCCCACAAGGCCTTTCTCATGGCCAACGAGGATTATGTGAATTTGGAAATTTTAAATTTGTGTTAGGAAACAGAAAATATTTAACAATTGATATTTTAATAAAGATTATAAGGAGAATTTAATTTTATATTACAGGATATCAGCATTTTGTGGCTGAAATTTACATAAAACTGCTAAAAGAATAGCATAAAACGATTTTAAAAAAGAATTTTTATGAATTTCTCAATTCGCCTCAAGCGAAATGATTTCAGGTTCTGCTTGTGAGGGGTCTTGTAGCTCAACTTTGAGCTGGGATTTAAAGTTTGTAAACAAAATCTGTTCAAAATTCGACCAGGCGGGACTTATCGATTAATTTGATAGTTCGAGTACTCCGATAATTTGAATCAGCTGTTTATATGCTAAACTTCCTAGCTATATATCGATGTTTACCTACGTTTTTCCGAAAAACATCGAAATATCGATACATTCGCAAACAGCAAATACATAAACCAAACTAAAGACCGTTAAATTAAATTTTTTTGAAAATCATCAAACGAATTTACAATATACTTTCGCAGTTTCTCACGCAAGTTGAAGGTAGTCTAGGCACAGGCCTTGCAGCTTAATTAGAAACCTCACGCAATCTAAGGTCAGCGCTAGATTGACTTCTCGCTCACTCGCCGCGGAATCTAGAACAGCAATTTGCATAAACTTTATCGGCTGCCAATTGCATTTGGAATAACTTTCTGATCACTGATATTTCCAGCCCACTTGCCAGCACACCCAGCAGGGTATCAATCTTACAAGTTCTAGGTATTAAGCGATGACTCAGACAAATATTTCTTAACGGATGCATTTCATAATAATAAATTCCGTACTGCCTGCTGATATCTGGCACGTGTGCTTGGCATTTCCATATGTGCATATGTGCATTTGTAGACATGTGCTGGTGATGCAACTACCAAGAAGTACCGCTCCATGCCTGCCCGTCGACCAGGCTGACAGCCGCTCCGGCCAAGTCGCACCTTGGCTAATCCCAATCCCAAACCGGATCCGCCAGATCCAGGGCTGCAATTTGTTGAAAAATTTCAAACTGGTTCGGTTTATTGGTTCCAAAAATTAAACCACTATTTATTTTAAAAGATTATCTAAATTTTAAAATTTTTGATTATAATAAATGTAGAAATATATAAACAACTCATTAAATTAAAAAAAAAATCAAAAGAATTACATTTTTCTGTTTTTAGAAAAATAAGTAAAGTAGCGGAGAAGCAAACCACAGAATTCCAACAATTTCAACAATTTTCCACAAGATCTTACATTCATTATTTATTTACGAAAAAGGATTTAGTGTTTTTTTTTTTTTTAAATAAGTAACAAAGTTCTTTACTTACAAGTTTAAAAAATATATGATAAATATTATTTTCTTTAAAATAATAAATTAATATTTAACTTCGAAATCTTTGGTTCACGATTATATGCTCTACCGTTTCGAATCAGATATGATTGCCTCCCTTAAAATATCAAACTAATTGATATGCACGATCAGCTTTGTCTTTATGTGATGAGGTAAAAACAACAACGTTTAACTTCGAACTCCCAAAAAAAAAAAAGAAAAATTAAAATAAAAATACACAGCTTACAAAACCTGATTTTTTCAAGATTTTCGCAGCTTTGACAGACTGCAACAAAGGCCCCAGATTTGTCACTGCGCTCAGTCAGCTGTAATTGCAGTTGAATGCACTTTGTTTAGTCGTGGGCGATGATTAATTGGAGACGCGTATAAACCCAATGGCTGATAAGGAGAGGCCCTCTTCACCTGGGTCAACCTGCAACAAAGGGACGCGTGTACATCTAGAACTAAGATTATCGTAATTGGCAAAATACCTGCGACGGTTTAACAATGGGTCGTAAATATATTTAAAAGACGCAAAAGAAGATAATGTTCTGCATTTTAAGCCATAAAGCCAAATATTTGCAAGTAGGCGTGGGTATTGGATAAACAAAAGTATCAAGGATTTTTAGATAATAAATTCTATACATAATAAGAAATTTATATATTGTGAGGCTCAAAGATAAGACAAGGCATTTCTTATCGAATATTCCTTAGGAATTCGCTTAAAATGTCATTAGTGATTGATCGAGGCTCTTAGGATATTTACCTGAATTTCATAAATTATTATATATTATATTACTATAACATTTTTTATAAAAATTATTACTCAACTTTTTCAATGGTAGTAATTGTTTCATATGTTTTTTTTTATCTTCAACTTACTATCTCTAGTTCCAGGAAGCGCATTGCTGAGTGCTTTTAAAATCCCATTGGAATTTGTGATTCCCCCAACGATTCGATTCCACAAGCTTGATCACATGAGCTCATAAAGCTCTCAGAGCGGAGCTCAGCCAACACCCAGGCGACAATCAAACAACAAAGGCCAAGAGAGATTCGTTAATATGTTAGTTTTATTATAAATAACGCAGAATACATGTGCGACTAAGCTAATATTACATTGGAGGCTTACGATTTCTACCAGGCTTCGTTTTCTTGGTAAAGGCAACGGCCAGGTGCAGGGCTGCCCAACAGCTGGCCGTTGCGATCGCCGGTTGAACCCCGATTTCTTATTATTTTGATTAACACTTGAGATACCATTCATCGTCATGTTAACATTAGATTTTAAGAAAAATATACACGCATCACGTCGGTGAAGGGCTTCCGGCACAGCGGACACTTGGTGACGGAGGAGGCGCACTTGGCGCAGGCCACAACGTGGCCACAGGGCAGGAATGCCGTGTTGTACTCGGCGCCGTAGCAGATCTTGCACAGCTTCTCCTCGGGTATGGTCGAACCGTTGCTTGCAGTTGGCACGGACGACGCAGCTGTAGACTCGACGATCTTTTCGAAGATGCGAGTGGCAGCAGACTGTGCCGCTGGTGCTGATGGGGCCACATCCCCTGAACTGGATGCCGCGGACGACGACACATCCTCTTCGGCTGATATCGTGCTTCTGCTGCTGGCGGTGCTGACAACCTCCTCGGCCAATGGGCCAACATCCTGCTCCTTCTCCTCGACTGGTGCTGGCTTTACGCTCATTGTATCGATATACACTTGTCCCTTCATCAGCTTTACGAACCGGCATTGGCTCAACCACCGGGCGTGCTCCTCCCAGGGCTCGTCGTTGTCGTCCCAATCTTTGAGACCACCGCCGCAGCTGAAGCAGCGGACGCGATCCCCAACGCCCGTATAAAAAAAACCCGCCTCGGCCAGTTGGTGGGGCTTCTGTTTCAGGTTCCTTGGCCACGCTTCGAAGGTGCGCAGGCGAGCCGACTCCACGGCAAACTCTGGGTACTCGGGGAAGTAGTTGCCGCTGGCGGCAGGGGCGCGACACGTCTCTGGCTGGACATCGCCGTTGGCCTGTGTGGCCGTCGATGCCATCGACGCGATAGTGGCGTCGGGACGAATCATCGCCGGCATCGAAGGTACTATTGGGCTGACGCCTACCGACTGGATTATGTGCGACATGGGTATCCGTCCCTCGGCATAGGCATGCTCCCTCAGCTCCACCGCCGACGACGAGTCGTTGGCACCGCAGATATCGTAGCTGATTGGTGGCAGGACGCGATCCAGATCCTCCCCGCTCAACGGCACATTGGTGGTGGTGCGGCGCCGCAGCAGCGGGCAGTTGGGCGACCATCGCTGGTGCTCCGGCACCGGTTGATCCTCCTGCTCCCAGCGTCCGATTTCCACGCCGCAAAAGTAGCATTTGACCTTGTCGTCGACGTTCGTGTAGAACATGCCCGTCTGTGCCAACTGGTGCTTATCCAGCCACTCCAGCGGCCAGTTGATGAAGGTTTTCAAGCGCGCCTCCTCTCGATTTAGATCGTTCATGATGTTGTTGAAATTGTTTTTAAATAGCTGCGTCGTGTTCGTGTTGTTGTCCACCTGATCGAGAACTGTTCGGTCCAGAGCAATGGGTCCCGTATGGTACCGTTGAGTGGTCAGCAAATTTGCCATGTTGCTTGATTCTGCTTGTTATCTTTGCTGGATTCTTGATCCTTGTTAAATACCTCTCCGGTTGTTGCTCTCCTCCGAACACAAAACTGAAATGAAAGAATGAACAGTAAACCCATTAATATAAAATTTTTTTATTGTTGTACAGCTCCACCTGCCAGATAGGCATTATCATAACGATAAGGTACTTCACCTAGAGGTTTCTAAAATTATCTCCACCCTCCCTCAATTCTGACCCCGTCTGGAAAGCTCTACTCCTCCGCACCAGCACAACACAACAGCCCCGTCGAGAGACTTCCAACAACTGAAAGCGAACTCTGGCACGGAATGCTTTTTTCTATGAAATTATTGATAAGGTCGTCGCGGGTAGATAGACGTCAATGGGAATAGGGAGTATTCAATTGAGGGATGGCAGTGATTTTGCAATTAAATAATGAATCAACAAAAATTATAATTATTTGCCTTTACTTGAGAAATTAATTTGTAATTGGAGAGCCATAATGTTATTAATTTTTCCCTTGACATTTCCACTTTTAAATCTGGAATAACTTCCTAGAACAACCATTAGTCTAATATGATTCGACCGAAATTTATTCTAAGAAAGAGTGACTAAGTTCTACATTAGAAAAACAGCTATTTTTGCCTAGATTACTTAATCTTGAAAAGGCTTTCCACATCATGCAAACTTATTTAGCTTTAAATTCACTCAATCACTTTATTGTTGGCTGAATAAGTACCTTTTATTTGATAAGGAAATTATTCAAATTGTTTCCTTTTTTTCTTAGCCCGAGTCCAGACTTTTCGTCGCACGTCTACTTTTTTCAAAGTGTGTATGTACAATGCAGCAGGGAAAAAACTGAAACGCAGTTCAAGAAACTGGAGATGCAGCATCAACGAACTTTAAGAGTCCTTAGCACAGCAGCCAGTTGTCCCGCTCGCACCAGGACTTTACCCCGACGCCAAGGGTGGTTTTTCCATTTCCGAGTAGCGACGGCAATATATAAAAAAAGTTCACGTAGTGTATAGAGTACGCAACGTTACAACCGCTCGTTTCTGCAGTGCGCCGAATCGCAGTGAGTATTTCATGCGCCCAGCACCGCCAGGCACGAGCGGCTGAGTGGGTGGATGAATGGGTGGTGGTGGTGGCGCCAACTAGACGAGAGATAACTACTCTCGATCTGACTCACCACTGCGGCAAAAAAGTGTAAATAACAATTGCAAAAACTGGTATTGTCGCCAAAAGCGGCAATAGATAAATCAGTATGCTAATCGGGAGTCAAGCCCACACGGCGATTCCAATTTGCTCGTCGGTCGGTTTTTGCACTGGCAATTATAGTAATGACAGGAAGTCCATCCAGAACTAAATGGGAACTTTATGCAGAGTAAATATAGCGCAAGTAAGGCTACTGTTTAATTGCAAGTGCATATACTGATACAGTTTTGCATGTTGGTCGCAATAAGTATCAATATAATCGAAATAACGGTCATATATCGATAACAAATTTTATTATATTTTTTTTAGTCAAAGAGATTGTCTACATTCTCCTACAGTTTGTTATCTAAATCAAAAATTACCAACAAGGTAAAAAAAACCCTTGATAAGTTATCGGTAAATAATGTCAATATGGTTAAGATTGTGTATCGCTTAAAAGCTTTAATAAATCAATAGCACATGGAAATAAATTTAAGACTTTAAGGATTTACCTAAAATATTGTATTGTACCTGATAAAACCCTTAAAAATTATTAGTAATCGACAAAGCTCGATATTTATCGATAGACACCTTTCGGTAAATAATCGACTGCTGCCCCTAGGCTTAAAACTGTATCTGCGGAGGTCTCGTCCAAAGAGATTGTACAGCCGTTCTTCGACATTTACTCGCCTGGGCCACCAGCAAACAAAAAAAAACACAGAAAACGGCAAAAAACTAAGCACGACCGCTGACTTGGGCTCCGTTCAAAGTCCAAATTTCAACCACAAACCAGCCAAACTCGCCAAACAATTGCAACGGATCGTGGGGCGGTGGGGGCAATGATGATGTTGACGATGGTGGTGCTAGCGGGGCTATCGGTGGGTTGGCTGGCAGTGCCTTGCACTGCGGAGCACTCCAAGCGCTAGCCGACTGTGAGAAAGTTTTAATGGAATGCAGTCAAACCACTCTGGCGACGGCGCACTCGGAGCACTCCACCAACACCAAGCTCGTCACTACCACCACAACACCATGGAGCTCCATGGAGCCCGACTTGCAGCATAAAGCGCAGCATAAATGCATTCGCCATACGGAGCCAGCTGCGAGTGCGAATGGGACGGCCATGTTGTGCAGAGACCATCAGAAACCATCAATGGGAAAAACAACTAACCACAGGGAAAACAACACAGAGCAGACCAGGGAGAAGAGGGCAGAGTATATACATAGTACATATAAAGTGCAGCAAAAACAAAAGCAATTGTAAATTACAAATGCTGACTTCTGACTCGGGTTATATGGTACGGGGCATCGGATCGGGATCGGGGGGAGGATGCTAAAGATGTGGCTCTGTTTCTGGGCAGAGATTGCGCATTGTTTTTGAAGTGGAGCAGCCAGCAGCAAGCTCGAGAGATGCTGTCTCTCTGCTATGGCTGCAATTGTAATTGCAATTTGTACACCCTTAAAAGGGGTATTGTAATTTTACCATAACAGATACTACAAAGAATTTGCATTCCAAAGAGAGACTTGGAAAAGGTATTGAATAGAATAGCTGCACTCCATAAATATTTAAAGTAGATGTATACTGCTGCTTTGTAACTTTGCAGAAAGATTAATATAATTATGATCATTTCTAAGATAGATGCTTACAGCTTAAAATTCTAATATTATTGTTAAATTAAAAATAAACAATTCATATTTTGGTATATAAAGAAATAATAAGATTACTTAAGGTCCCTTAAAGTTTCAGATCAATCTATAAAATCGATTTCTTAAGAAGTGTGTTCACAACATCGGTCTCCTCGACTAAAGTCTCATTATTGTTTGTTTTGCTTTTCTAGCCAGCACAAAGTGCAATTACAGCTGCCTCTGCCGACGTCTGTTATTTGTTATTGTGGAATGCCAACCCATTAACAATTGTAATGCAAACCGACTCTTGGAATTTCGCGGGGCTATCAGGAAATTCAGTGAAAAGTTCAGAAGCCAGACATTTGCATTCGCTCAATATATGCAGTTTACTTTTTTCTTACACTTACCCAGGTTCGTCCAAAATACAACAAACTCGCTGCACTTTTCTTAATTAAATAAATTATGTTAACTGATGTGAAAATCGGGGAACACTACGAGAACCGAGAGCAGCGCCTGCACCCAACACCAACCGAATACCAACTGAAAAGACAAGGCCTCCTGGGCGGCTCAATGAATGGCACGGGCATGGGCATAGGTATAGACATGGGCATGGGAACAACAATCCCCGAGAGCAGAGGAAAATGCCACCACACACAACCTCAGACACACACACCCGAAAGAAAATCATAATCAAAGGCTGGGCAAGGCAACAAACAGAAAACAGAAGAACAAACGAGCACGAAAGACAAGACCAAAACGAACGAACCTCAGATGGAATGCAGTCGGGCAACTTTTCTACAAAACTCCGCCACAGAAAATCAAACTGGAGTTGGTTGGGAGTCGGAGTTGGAGCTGCCTTTCGAGTTTTCTGATTGGAATGAGCCAGCCAAGTCGACCCAGGCCAGGCCAGTCCAATCCCAGCCTGTAAGCAAAGCTGGGGATTTCTACCTCGGCAAGCTCTCGTTGTAGTAAGTGAAGGTAACCGCAGAGGTCCAAAGCCGTGGAAAAGGTCTTGCGTTCTGTAACTACAGGTTAGGGCAAAATAATAGGACTCAAACTCGCACAAAAATCAAAAAAACCAAATGGTGTATTTCTTTGTTTTTATTTTTAAGCAAACAGAATTTTTTTTTAAGCAAACAGTATAAGTGTAATGTGTTTGTATAATTTGTTTTGAAAAGCGTCGGAAATACTTTTTTATTTTGTTATATTATCGGAATTGCTTTCTTCCATTTAATTCTTCTATTTCAGCTGTTCTTAAAGTAAGCTGTATAAAATTTGACAACAATCCAAATAATAGCACAATACATAACCCCGAAAAGTTTCAGAACAATCCAAAGTAAATTACAGGATTTTTCCTTAGTAAAATCAGATATTGAATACCAGTTATCCAAACTAAAATGTTAATACGAGTACTACAAATTTGACTCCGTCTGTTTCGGGTTATACCTTGGGAGCCCCGAAGACATGAGCTCGACTGTGGGAAACTATTATAAACACTTTACCATTCTTTTTGTTGTTGTTGCTGCCTTCAACCAAAAAAAAAACCGAGATTGGAATGTGGTGATACCAGATACGACAACTACAACAAGCTAGGGTTAAAAGAGGGGAACAGAACCCAACAGAAAGGGAGAAGGAGAACATCCAAGAGGGGAGAACAGAACGAGATAGATGATATCCCTCTCGGCATGAGTCGTCATCGTGTTCAGATGAAGATGAAGAAGAAGAGCATCGCCGGAGGATGCAGAAAAATAAATAAATGCAACAACAGCAAACACGCACACAAAGAACATTCTTGCATGCTTCTCCAAGGCATCTTTATGTGCGTACACCGATCGTAAGAGTGTGGTGTGCGTGTGTTGTGGCCTTCCAAGAAATGCAGCACACAAAACGACCGCCGACGTCGATAATACGAGAAGAGAACAGAAAAAACAGAGATGGAATAACAACAAAAACAAGACGAACAATTCTGGGATGCTGGCCAACAAAGGGCAATATTGTAATCATAATAAATGCGCCCCGGATCCCGGGCTGCTGAACTGCAGAGGAATGCATTAAGATCGGCTCAACACACAGGGGGAAAATTCCATTCATTTAACGTACTTTATATCTAAAAATTTCCAAGATTTACTATAATATTTATCCTTTTAAATATTTGAATAATCTAAATTTAAATATCACTGGCAACGATCGTAAAAGATTATTAAGAATAAATTTCCACCATGATCCAATTGATACAGAATTATTAAGTTAATATCAGAATCTACATCTTCCATTAAAAAAAACCCTTAAATATATCATCCCATCATATACAATTTTCTCTCTCTGTAGCTCAACTCTCCTTCTCTCCCTCTTATCCATTGAACATTGATCGATTGTCCAAAAACCTAACGGCGGCTTAGTTCAAAGTTCCAGAGCCGCCGACGCCGCCAGCATTTTCTCGTTCCAGGAAAACCAAAGGAAAATTGCTCTCAAACCCAAAGTCAAGTCGTGTGCGAGCGAGAGGGCAATGCATTTATCTTCGCAGCATCTCCATGGGACTTGGAATGTGGACACGATCCCAGGGAAAAACCAGCGGAGTTCTTGTAGATCGGTAGGCGGGGGCCTCGTTAGTGGAAATAATGGCTGAAAGGTCGTTTTTCACGCGGCCCAGGCTCAAAGGTCGTGGCGGCGGCGGAGGCGAGAGATGGAGTGGAATGGGATGAGATGAGATGATTCAGCTTGAGAGCGACGAAAATTCCGGGAATTCCGAATCGTAATTTTCTTCATCTTATGCTGCCTCTTGTTCGCCTGCCTCTTCCTCTTGCTCTTTCAAGGGCCGCCGTGGTCCATTTCCATTCATCCGATCTGAGATCTGCTCTGATGGCCGTCGCGTCTGCTGGCGATAACAAATGGAGTGTTCGGGGGAGAGACAATAGATCCATTCTATTTCGGGTCCAGAAGATTCTTCCCACTGTGCGTGCGTACGTGAGAACTGTTTGTTGTGTATTAAGCACCTTATCTATCGTTTTATTAAGGAATTGTCTCGATCCGTCTGGATCCGATTCGTGGATTCGTGGGAGTTGGAGTTGGAGAAGATGTGGGCATAGGGACCACCGCCGTCGATGATGCTGCGTGGGTGCGGCTATAATCGGAAAAGTGGTTCCATACCAAGTTCGTTGCCTTCGAAAAGTACAGGAGAACTTCCAAAGCTTGTACTAGGATATACTTTATTTCAATAAGATTTCTTAGCACATCTTTATGATATCTTAGATTTTAAAAAATATATTATATATATTTTACAATGCGACTTTTATAATAGTTATTTAACCTTAATTTACAAAGAACATACAAATTTTTTACTTTAAAATCTGAGTTTTTGCAGGTGTGTTTATGGAAGTCAGACTGTAAAAATCTCTCTCCAATGAAGCTCAGCTCGTTTCAACTCGATTGAGAAATTGAGCAAGTTGAGAAGTTGAGGAGACTTTGAGACTGGCGCGACTTTCTCTTTGTTCAGCGAAAAATGGACGCAAAAGTTCAAAGCAATGAAGCATAAAAAGCGGCACAAAATGAAAACTGCAATCGGCGCGAAAAAAGCATAGTCGTGAAAATTGGCAACAGCTCACAAAACTGTTTTTTGAGCTCGTCTCTTTTTGGTTTTCATGGTTTTTTCATGGCTTCCACATTATTCTCCGCATCTTTTTCTGTGCTCTTTTTCTGCAGAGTGGAAAACACGCATGAGTGCACCACTTCCGTTGGCAGCGGATGTGCCAGACAAAGAAGCTAATGCTCCGTGGTCCGGACTCCGGAATCGGTGGTGGTGGTGGCTTGGGCTGGGTTCGGATTATGCCAGTGAGTGTGTGCGTAAAAGAGGAAGTGCCTTACACACAGAGTAATCGTATATCGCTCAGCGTATGGAGTAAATACATATTTATGTGTATTTTGTACCCAGCAGACTGACGCGTCATCTGTTTATTTTAATGCACCGGGAAAAATATTCTTTTAGGTTTCAGGGAAGATTTATGGTATCTCTAAGTCAAACCTCCCCAACTATAGAATTATCGTAAAAATGGTTTAGACATGAAATTTTTATCTTTTGTTTACTCTCTAATGTTTGTTTGAAGAATGTTTTGATTAGGTTTCAATTTTACAAAATAAGATAACATTTGGCATACACCTAAGATCGTGGTATACTATCTCATGAGCAAAATGTGATTCATTTTTCTCCGTGTGGGACAAAAACAAAAACCAAAACAAATTAAACTTAATTAGAACAGGATAGAGTTCTCTACTGATGAATGATGACACATAGCGTGACCTTCTGGGATGCTAAAAATTGGGTAAACTGGTATATTTTGCACGCTATAGTCATCGCTTAAATTTATTCGAATTGTAGACGAAAACAGCCGTTGTATTGCGTAGCCCGAAATTCGGTTGAATACAGAAAATTGATGGCATTGTATTGTACAATATAACCGCCCCTTTTGCTTCCTCTTCTCCATCCACATCGTGCCCAATTGAGAATGTTGTTTTTAAACAGCACCGAACGACTATAATGATCATGATGACGATCGTTGGAGAATTGCGGGGTGTGTGGAATTCGTATGAAATCACTCAAAAGCGAAAAAGAGGGTTACCATATGGCGGAAAGTTGTTGTTTTTAGTGGCCAGAAAAACCGTGCAAACAGTCGTGTGTCACTTCAATTTATATTTACAGTCATATAAAATTTCAGAAAGCTCATTTTGCAAACAAACGTTGGTAAATTTGTAAATAATTGTGAGTAAAACAAAAGCGCAAGTATTTAGCAACTCTACGGTCGCCATGTTTTTATGAAACAATCTCTCGTCGGTGTGGTCGCTGAAGTGCGAGAGGGACACAAAGCGAACGAAACGGGAACACAAAACAACACGGCCAACCCTACAAAAGCGAAGAAAACGTTTTCGCTAAAGTCAGCAGTAAAACTAAAAGCTTTTGCCTATTGTTTACTTCCTAAAGCTCTTGTAGTCTATTGTTTACTTTCTATTAATTGTAAACCGAGTAGTCTTCACGTAAACAACTATTTTCTGGGAACCAAGTCGCATGCGACAAAACTGTCGTGTGGATTTTAACGATAGCCGCTTTGCGCTTGTGTGGTTTTCCTTCAAAGTGTGTGTGCGAGTGAACGTACAGCAAAAGCAAATAAAAATATATTTTAGCTTTTGGTCTTCTGATGTCACGTTTTCATTACTTTTTGGGGTTAAAATCGCCTTGATGTATACAAAATACTACACTATATGCTGCAGTCTTTAGCTCACCTTGACGGCTTTTCTCTTTTTGTTGAAAAACTCAAGTTTCCCTTGGTATTTCCTATCGTTCCGATACTCGTCGATATCGTACAATGCGCCTTCACAGTCACTATTGATTTTCCGTGAATAATTGGACGGAAAAACACAACGAAGTCACAAATATAGACAAGCGCACGTTCTCTGTTCTGTTTTTTGTTCCGTTATCGCTTTCGTTCTCTGTCGTTGTCAACAAATACAGAGCCAACTATCACAATTGATGCCGTCAAATACTTTATTTTTGTACTTTATTCTAGTTTAAATGCAGTAATTTTGTGTTTTTTCGAGACACAGTTCAGTTGAATAAATCCATTGCTTTTCTCGCCGAGTCGCTACTTCCAACTGACACGACTAAGCACGACGAACGCAGCCGAAGCCTCTTCGACTCGCCTGACAGTGGTGAGAAAATAGCCAGATGGCTGTTTCGCATGTACTGGGTTATTTTTAATGGGATTAATATTTTAATACGAATATGGTAGAATATTAGTCGTAAATGGTTGATTTTGTTGTGCCTCACAACTAATCAATAATTTATTCAGAAACTAATCTGTTTTAAAGCTTAAAATGTGAAATTATTACAAGTCAAACCTTTTTAAACATAATAAATGCTGCATTTTTCTAGCTATTTTTACTTCATCTTCTAGCTATTTGCGGCAACACTGCCTTCAAGGAGCGAGACAAACAACCCTGCACTTTAATTCATTTGCAGTAAGAGTGAGAGAGGTGGTTTTGAATGCATTTTTAGGCGAATGCTCATTCTTCCTATCAGCAGCTGTAATTTTGGAAAAACCTTCGTGGCAATAAAGACCCGTTTAGCCTGCGAAAGCAGCGATAAGTCCCATTTAGTCACTTTGCAAATTTAACTATGAAAGCGGCAAATTGCAAGTGGTGCCAAACTTTTGTTGTACTACGGCTAGTATTAGTACGCAAACCCGTAATAACCGTACAACTGCCCACCATACTGTCATCTCTTTCGCACCCACAGGCGCAGCAGCCAGGATCATTGATTTTTATGCTCCTGCGAGAGAGAGAGCATGCGCCGGTAAAAGACGCGGCGCGTGTCAATGCACCGTATTTTGGTGCTTTCTCTCGCTTCTTCTCTTCCTCCCGAAAACTTCCAGACGTTGCGAGAGGGAGAGAGAGCAGACAGCAGCTGCATTTTTGTTGTTGTTGTTTAGTATGCACCTCATTCTACTTCCACCCTCAACATCCCACTCTCTCGTTTTCGTTTTACCTGTCTCTCCTTCGATTTTCGTGGAGCAGCTGAAAATATCCTGAAGCCTCTTATCAGGAAAGGTTGATAAGGATCTTTCCTTTTTAACACGGGCATTTGTTGTTTTTCATGAGCAGAAGCTATCAATAATATTATGAAAAAACTAATTATAAATGACATGTTTATTATTTATTTATTTTCTGTTTTCAAATAATTTAATTTAATCTCTTTTACGATAATTTTGTTTAAAATAATTAACAATAAATAAGTACATACATAGATATTTAAAAAAAAAATCGTTTGTTAAAGAAGATAAGATACTTAAATTTTTTCAATATTTCTAAGCTGAAAGGCTCAAAAAATTCACTTTTCGACTTAGATTAGATCTTTCGGACAGTTCACAATTATTTATTATCAGAAATAAAGATTATTTTCTTTGTTCTTTGCTGAATGGAGCTACTATTCGAAGTGATAATCTTGACTAAAATCAGCACGTACACCCCGTTCTTAAAATAAAAGCATTGTCTATAAATGAAATATTTTAATATTTTGCAGAGTTATATATTTAATTAAAACTTATATCTTTGGTATAAGTATCTTTTTTTTTCTTTTTTTTAATACTTTGATTCCTCCTATTATCTACAAAATGTATTTTTAAATACATGAAGTAATTCTTTGCGGTACTATTTAAGATCTTAGCAGTTACGTATAAATACTAACAGAACTAATGCCGCCAAGGGTTGATAAGAAGATATTTTTAAGCTGAGTTCTACATGCTTTTCTAATTAGGCATTGCAATGACTCCCAAGTTTTATATATATTTGACAAATACCGACACGTTCGAATACTACTGGGGGATACAAAAGATTGCCAAGTTTGAATCATTTATGGCAGGCACCGGCCTGGCCTCCTATGGTCACAGTGCGCGACATGGGCATATAGTCCGCCCGCTAACGGGTTGAACTTTTATAATTTTTATAAATACACGCTGCTAAATTTACCACGAAGATGTCGCGACGCATTTGAGAAATTTGCTTATAAATGCGGAGTCTAGACGACTTTGACATGTTGCAAGGCGACACTATTGCAGGCGGTCGTTGCTGCAAATTAAACAACGAGTAAAATGTGGCGGCAATATATTCTATTTGCGGATGTTTGCTGGCAGAATTGCCTCTGGCAATTCGTTTAGCTGTTTCAAAAGATCACTCCGCTGACCACACGGAGTTGGATCGGATCCGAGATCTCGAGTTGCCGGACAAGTTTGCCAGTTTAGAGCTGCACAAAAAAATCTCTGGCTTCAGAGCTGAACGGCCTTGCAAGGCCTTTTAAAGTTGTTGCACCCGCCTCGTTCTTGTTGCTTTTTATTGTGATTTTGATTGCTCACCAGTATTAAATTTATCCACAGTATGAACTCCCTAAACAATACCTTAACCATCTATAAAAAGATTTCAAGTATATAGTACATTTAAATTAAATAATTAAACGAAAAGATGCAAAACTGGGATACCAATATATATATTTAATTAATATATAAACTAATAGGATATTTTTACCGATTTTATGAGTTTATTGAAAAGGTTTCGGATAAAAAAACTTCTGCACTTGTCTAAAACTTAAGCTGGTGCCTAAAAAGCAGAACTACATTTAATTTAAATTTATTTCTTCTACAGTTTCAGCTTACAGAAGTTCCTCTGTATTTTTCGTACTTGCTTGTTACAAACTTTTGTCTGTGGTTTTTTAATTGACAGCCAAATGCAGCTAGAGGCAGCGTACTAAAAACCTGTTTTGCCATTTTTGCATTCGCTTCTTTGGCGCGGCGATTGGCAAAAGAAAAAGGTGTCATAACAACGACCTGGGCACGGGCACGATTCGATTACCCTATTACCTATTACGACATGTGCTGCCTGTCGGTCGGTCCTTTTTCTACAATATATCATTATGAATACCCGAACGCTACCTGCCTCAATCAGGGCTTATAAACTGGATCGACAATTGTAGGAGACGTGTGCCGGCAGCTGCAAGCGAGGCAGCCAACAATAAACCGATCACAGGATCCCCGAAAACGAAGCCGGCAACAGCTGTCGCTCCTAGGACAGACCCCTATATCCTTATTGTGAAAGGATCGGGCGGCACATGACGTTGCCAGCTGCCGGCGATCAGCGATCCTTTGTTGAGCAGCTCCTCAGACCACCGACAGCATTTTCGGGGGAAGCGTAAGGTGTCCTGTCGGATGGGGAAGCCTCATCAAGTATTGGGTTCTACCAACCGAATCTCCGAGCGGAGATTAATTTAAGTTTAGATACTATGTCTTAGTGAAGAGAAGCAGATATTGCTGATTTAAATTTAAAGATGATCAAATGGAGTTTAGTCATGAATACACAAGGCAATGCATCTCGGAATTTAAAACACGTTTTGACAAATAAGCAAAGATGATGTATCATAAATTCCAAATTGGTTAAACAATTATTTTATATATAAAAAGATTTGATTGATTTTAAGACTAAGTTAAAATCTTAACACTTTAAAAAATTAACATTATGTGAGAACTAATTTATTTTGTAATAAATTATTTTAAGTTATATCTTTACCTATACATAATATTCAATTAAAAATATTTCCAGTTGGGGTCTTATTGGATGTAAAAATTTGTAATACACTGTAGCAAGCAGTTCGACATGTTTACAGCAGTGTATATAACAGCAGTAAGTCATGTAAGTGAACTTCCTACCCATAAAAGTATTCTAAAAAAAATTCTTAGAAACTTTAAGCGTGCAGTTTAAATTTATGGTTATGACCACAACAGTTCAATACAATTTTTATATTACCTTATTACATAATGTAGTCTTAATAAAAGTTTGTTTAAAAGAGTTTTGTCCCGAAAGTACTTTAAGCATGAGTGAGAAACCAAAATCAAATAAGTATTAAAATTTTCAGGGTCACTTTAGAGTCCAAATGTTTATTGTACTTTACTTTTACTTATCAGTTAAGTTCACTGGCGTCATTTTTTGATAAAATACTTTTTTATTCGGAAATGCCTTTCTTTAATGCACAGTACGAAAATGTTATATCAAAAAAGTAAAGAAAATTCTTACTTTAAGATACTTTTTGTTGCGATCTAAGATCAAATAATATTTTTAAAAATTACCAAGAAATTATGCTTTAAAGAAAACCCTGTAGATAAAAAAATGACATACTGTGCAAAAAAAAAAAATGTATTGGGATAACTATTTTCTATATATAATTCAAAAAGGTGAAGCATGATCTAATATTTCCAGTGAATGCCTTAAAATGCAAACAATTGACTTGTTCTTTGAACACTTGCGTAAACTGTGTACAATCTTTATGAATAAGGCTTTGCAATGTAATTAGTCAATTGTGTTACTAAGAACAGATTACGGCTTTGGTATGACAAGTGTTTTAAGGACCGACCACATGCCCATTCGTACGGTAGAGGCGCCAATGTGTCGCCTAACCGGAAGTACTTTTCAGCCAGCTTTTAGTGAGTACTATTTCATTCTATTTTGTTTATATTTAGCAGCTAGTGACGCAACGCGCACTATTAGATGCAACTAGGTAAATGGAATTTCGTTCTAGTGAACCGAGTGAGGTAAGCAGCTGATTATATAGGCGAAACCCATCAATCTTTTGGAACCTACGCAGTGCTGTAAATGGAAATGACATTGAGCGGTAATTAAAAATAGGAAAATTCTAGCCGACTCTGTGTGGGTGGGGTTGGTTTCATCAGTGGGCGGTGGGGTTGGGCTGGTTTCATCATGAATGAAATGCGAGGCGAGTGAGCTCAGCATCGGCAGAGATGAAAGGTACAACAACTGCACCGCATTACATGCAATGTAAGATAATATCTTCCATTCCCTTCCATTCCATACGTGTGCTAGACAAGGATGCCTAGGTGTCAAGGGGGTGGTGGGTCACAAGAGGCAGAGACAGAGAGAGAGATTGCATACAGTTTCGAAATAACTGGAAAACGCTAGAGAGATACAGGGGGTGTGAGAGGACATGAATGAAGAGAAGCAAAACAAAGAAAGAAAGGGTGGAAGAGAAAGAGGGAGATTGAGAGAAGTAGCGCCTAATTGTATGCAATAAATTGTAAAGCCCGAAACCGATTGGGTTGTAAAATTTAATTTTTTTATTTTCTGCTTATTACTTAATATATAAAAATTCCACTTACCGGCGACATTTTGCCCTGTTAATATCTTATCAAGTTCTCATAGGTTGTTTTGTGGTTTTGACCTCGAAAGTTGCTAATTGTTTACTGTTTGTTTTGCACTTTTAGCACGATAAGATAATAGTTTCAATGCTGTGTTTCAGTTATTGTTTTGGCGAGAATGCACAGATTATAATAATTATTCTTATTGCTCGACGTTCACGCGACGACCGATGTGTTGGAGTGTTTGGCAGCAACTGCAGAAAAACTATTTTATAGCGGCGCCTAGCCTACTTTCCTATAGGTATTTGCTATTCACATTTTTTTTTGTTTTTGTCGCTTTTGCGTTCTTATTTGTTTTGTTTTGCTTGGCTTTCTAGACAGCAAGAGAGAGAAAGAGAGAGAATGGGAGGGTGAGAGCGGTAGAGATTTAGTGGCAGCGGGGCGGAACGGGCGAAATAGTTTTTGCCGCCTAAGCGATGCGCAATTCTTTTTTGGGGGTGGGTTCCGGTCGCTTGATCTTCCGCTCTCTCTAAATTTTTGTTTTTTTAACCAAACAAAGTGTACTACTTTTAATATTTATTATTTCAAATAAGCCATCTTTTTGAAGCTTTTCTATTTTTATTGTATTTCAAATTACGAAAACTGCAACAAAACCGTTACAACTTACGCACTACACAACTCTGATCTAAACAGTGCTACCACACTGCTTTTGGTTCTAAACTTTATGTGCTCAAATTTGCGTTGCCAGTTCCGATTTGAAATGACCGGCTAAAAATTAAAAAATACATGTAGAGGTTTCCAATAATAATGGCATCTTTCAGCGTATTAAAACATTAAACATAAATATGGCAAAAATAGGATGATCGTATAGGCCATAAATCAACGTTTTATTCACTTACGTTATTTTCTTACGTTCTTCTGAATATAAGTGTGTCTTATCAATAGCAGCGATAAGAAAAACTGCCAGAAGATGCAGGTACTCTGTGATGAATTTGAAATTGAGGTGGAGATTGCCAGAAATAATAATAAAATAAAAGGTCACTAGCGTAAAATGTACTTACGTTAGGTATGACCATGTCTTACGTTACGTTGTTTGATTACGCATTGCCAATTTAGATGTGACCAGTTACCGCGGAGAAGAAAATCCGCGCTTTTTCGGGCGAATCGCAGCATAAAACGAAAAGCGAGCAACACGAGCAGACGGTCACACAGTTTGAACAAAAGCGGATATCTGGTCAATGCAGCGCCGCAGCTGCGACCAAAACAAATGGTTACAGTTAAAAAAGAGGAAAAAGAGGAGCGCCACACGTCCACTGAGCCACGCGAGAAGCCCCCGGCAACACGGGAATTTGCGGGGAAAGGTGCGTTTTCTTCGGGTCGCCTTTCGGTGTGTGTGAAAAGTTTCTACTGCAATCCATTTTTCTCTACGTGCGTGTGCAAGTACGCGCGCCTGTGTGCGTCTGTGTGTGAGTCTGCGGAGTGGAGTGAGGCGCTGTAAAAATGCCTTTACATAATTACGGCCGATTCGGGGATTTTAGTGCAATCGACGGCCGTGCAGAATTACATAAAATACGCCAGCTATGAGATTTGTGCGTGAAAAAAGTACGCGGCATCCATTTTCGTTCTATTTACTCGCGACGTCAGCGTCGCGGCTGTTGAATTTATGTCAAATTGGTAACACACACACAGGCGTACTCGGCGAGCGTATGCAAGCCCTAACTGCACGGGTGTGTGTATGTGTGCGGGAGAGAGCGAAAAAGCGACCGAGCAAAAGAGAGAGAGAGAGAGAGAGAGAGAGAGGCAGGCCGCGAATGATAAACAAAGTGAAAAAAACAAGCCGCTGTAAAAAATGCTTGCCAGTGTTTTTCATTTATTTACAAAATACCTCTTTATTGAGCAAGTGAAGTCCAAACTTATTGTTTGTGCCTCTTAGTAGTTCTTTAATGGTTTGGTCCATCTCATTCTAAGAGATTACTCTATTTTCTGTCTTAAGAAGATCCGTTATACCGTTTTAAAAATTCATATATCCAACTACATTGTCTCTTCTCTTTCTCGCTCTAACTTTGGAGCAATTATTAATTGTTATTTTCAATGATTGCAACTAAAAAAAGGTGCGCGTTAAACAGCAACAAAACGAGAGAGCGCGATTTCGCCTGTGTAAGTGAGTGAGCCCGTGAGTGGGAAAGGAACACCAAGAAGTTGGCTGATAAAACGCGCACACAAACACACGCACGCAGAGCAGAGTGGGGAAAAATAGAAAAATAAATATCGAAAAATAATAATAATCAGCAAGCAGGAGAAGAAGAAGCAGCAGCAGCAACGGCGACGGCAGTAAACACACAAGTGTATAGTTGTGATCGAAAATCGAAAGTGTGAAGCATTTTCTATAAATAGTGCAAAATCAAATCCAAATTCCCAGTGGAAACAACTAAGAAAATATAAAGAAAAAACTCAATCGCAGTAACAATAACAAAAGCGAGCAAGGAGTACGTGTACGCGACGGCGCGTTCCTCGAATCGCCGCCTGAATTCCGTGACTACACACACACACACAGAAAGAGTGATCGAAATCGAGATCCTTCAAGATGTCTTCGCTGGACGCGCGCAGCAACTCTGCGGTGATGAAGCGGGCGGAGCAGCTCAAACGCTGGGAGGAGTCCGACACTAATCGCGCTGCCCCCACGCCCCGCCACGAGCACGGCCGACGGATAAAGTTCAGCTCGGGTTGCGTCTTCCTCGCCGCCTGCCTATCCGGCGACAAGGACGAGGTCATACAGCTGCTCGATCAGGGCGCCGACATCAACACGGCCAATGTGGATGGACTGACCGCTCTGCACCAGGTGAGTTTAACAATTTGCTTTAGAAATTTTTATAAGCTTTTTAAGAATATATTCGCGGGGATTTTCTCTTTTGTGTTAAATCGAATAACTATTAGGTGTAATTTGTCTTATTGTTATATTTTTGTTGGACGGGATTAAAGCTAGGAACAAAGAGCTAATACTATGACTCTTATTGACACTTCTTGCATTAAAGTACGTAAGCCACAGGTCCAATTAATATAACTATTTGCTTTGAATTATTCCCTATTCATTAATTAGCTTATTTAAACTTGTTGCAAAAGTTGCAGTGCATCACTGATTCTTGTAAACGATTAAGGTGGCGACACACGCAAAATGAAAAAGCACGCTGCATCAGGTGTATTTTCCATTCTATTAATTATGTATGTATTGTATATGTACATACATATGTATATCCCTTTTACATCCCCTATTGCAAGAGACCGTTTTTTTTTTATATGTTTAGAAGGGGGCCAAAAGTTGCGTCAGTCGTCGGCTGCAATTGCAATCACGCGACCAGGCGAGGGGGTGGTGGAGATTATAAGGGGCAGCGTCGGGGGCTGCAATTTCGACACTGTTGCGTCCAACTGTGGTGCTGACGTGGGTCGCACAGTGGATTGGATTATCAGAGTTCTTTGATTTGATAGATGATAGATTATAAACGTACATTTTCAATACAAAATCTGACCATAAATTTGATTTAATTCACTTAAAAGCAGGTAAAATTACGTTAGTTGAGTATTTAACAAGTAGTTTTCTATAATAAAACTGCCATTGGAAATACAATTAAAACTGTTTTCAAAAGCTTAACATAAATCTTAAATTTAGCCGAGTTTAAAATTAATTTTAAGCTTATAAACTTATAGCAAATTCCTGCTTTGGTCAAGGTCAAAATTCCATCCGGAATTTCGTACGGCCCACTGTACAGCGCTGTTCTCTAAACGCCTCAACTATTGTTTTTGTTGCGTATTTGGTGCGCTCTCTCTCTCTCTGCGGTTTCAACACCGCCGCCGCAAGAACAATTCGAATATTAACAAATACAACAAACATATGCCTAATGCAAGCCGACGATTTACAAGTCGAAAAATGCCCAGAACAACAGCAAGAACCAGAAGCAACGAAAGGCAAAACGGCAAAAGTGGCAACGGGCAAAAGCATTAAATAAGAAAAATACAAAATTTTCTATTTTTAACAGCCAAGAAAAACATACAATACACAGACATACATGAAAGCGAGTTTACATATTGAGGAACCCAAAGATTTTCGCAAAATCATTTTCATTTTTCCTCACATTTGTTTGTCTCGTTTTGTTCTATGTCGAAAAAAATTTAATGATGCCTGCTGCCAAAAGAAAAAAAGTATATAGTAGTAGTAACACATTTCCTTTTGCTTTTTTTATTTAACAAATTTTCTTTTATATTATGATTAAACTCTATGAGGAATTTAGCGATAATAGTTAAGATATGCAAAAGGTTATTGAAAAGATTTCGTTTTTTCATTATTTGTTTTTAATTCCTTCATAATTTTTTTAGTTAATTTAAATCGTATTGACACTACCAAGCATTTTTTAGTTTCTCTTTAAAAATTTAAACCAAAAATTTAAAACCAATTAAAAAACAAATTCTTTATCCGATTACCATATGCCAGTTCTCGTGTCCACTCCCATCTGGCACTCACTGTGTGCTCCAATTCATTATAATTGATTCTAATTATGCTGCGCCAGCAAAGAGTCATAGATTTTCACCGTTTAACCGCGGCGCACTTGTTAACCAGATGCTAATTTGCTTCACGAGGGGAATCGTGGCGAGCTTAGCGAGTAGGAGGATGAGACAAAGGGGGGTTCGTTGTCTGGGAGTGCACTGTAATTACACAGCAATACCAGCTACAACACAATAATAATAATAATAATAATAATATTACAATGGGAACAACAGTGCAAACGTTTTGAATTACCTGGCACATTGTACGCGGTGCAAGTGCGGTCGCAACCTGCGGCTATTTGCTTCACTTGCTGTTGTCGTTTTTGCTCAACCGCAGAGCAGAATTTCGAATGCATTTATTAAAATAATTATCTTATCGCCGGCACTTACAAGTCTTTAATGGACGAGAAGAAGGAGGAGTCCGCCCCCGCATTCGCTTGGGAGTTTGCTTTCCTTTTGGCATAGGCCTCATATATGGCACATGTACACATACATTTTCAATGTTTTGGGCCTTCCATTCATGAGCGGCGCCGCACCTGCACCACATTTTCAATGGCATGCGACACGATTGCTGCAGACGGGATAGGCCACAGTGGTGGCAAATCTACGGATAAATGCTAACACTGTTTAGACCTGTTTAAAAAACTCAAAATGAAGCTTGAAAATTAAATAATAATATTTGTATCTGCCCCTCAACGCATCTTAACCATATTATTTTTTTTAAGTTTAAAAATCTAACAATAAGAAATAAAATAAGCAACGAAACATTTTTCATTGCTTGGTTTATAATAACGACTACTAAGTGTTAAGCTAGACTTCAAGCTTACCTGCTAAGTATGCTAATATGAGTATGCCTAACAATACGCTGGAATTTAACGCTAAACACATCAAGTTCAAAGTTTAAATGATAAATATAAATGCAAATAACTATATTCTTAAAGAAGTCTTACAACTTTTTTAAGAGTTACCGAAAAATAAAAATACACGGAATGGTTCTTACATTTTCAAAGATTTAAAGAAAGAAATTCTACACAAATCAATGGTGTTATATCCTTTTTTGGTCCCACTGTGCAGCAGGCTACCTTGGACTTTATACGAATGATGTTGACTGATGGAGAGGAAGATAGAAAGCGGGATGGGAGGGGGACTGGGGATGGGGGACTGCAAGTGACCGTGTATCCATGCCATTGGCTGACTTTGATTTTGCTTGTGGCCTACAGGCTCTCGGCGTGCATTGACGTTCAAACTCGCTGGGGGACAAGTGGGGAATTATCAAAGAAATGGCAATAAATTACCGCTGTTTATACAAGCGCTTCAGATATATTTACATTTTTATACAGTTCAAGGATAATGGGAGGTTCTTTTCGGTATTCTTTTATAGATTCACATTCGTGTTTCATGGTCTCCACATTTTACACATGAATTAGTTGTGAATGTAGAGAGAATAATATGTTATAATTAGAATCTTTTGGAAATACGTGGGCATTTGATTTCTTATTTTATATCAACTGTGCTAATAATATTCACAAGAATCATGGAAAAAAGTGCCTGGTGGTAGTATATGCATATACAAATTAAAATTTTGTTGTTGTTTTTGCAGATTCCGACCTTTCCCAAAGGGAGGGATTTTATTGGTGAACTAAATTAAGCAGTTAATTTATTTGACAAGTCGTATTCTAAGCTTCGATTTGGTTAATTTAGCCATTTGTATCGGATCTTCTTTGGCTATCTAATCTGGTTTTCGGGCTCCCTTGAGTGCCAATCTATGTTCCTTCATTAATCAGACTCCACCAATGATATGCTCAAATTAAGAATTGATTTATACACATACATTTCTGCCAATTAGCAATTGATATATTTCGATTTTGTTTCTATAAAGGAGGGAGGAGGGGGAAATCTAACTGGCGCCGCATAAATTAAGAAATTATTTTGTCAAGATTTCTCTCAAATTGAGCTATAGTCAGAGTTGAATGCATAATAATCGTAACAATTGTCGAGATCCGTTGACATGACGATCGTGAGCTGGGAATCGATGACGAGTCCTGAAGTGGGGAGTTTTTTGGTGCTTGGAAAAGCTGCGTGAGTTTTCCCAAATAAACACACACACATTAGAGAGACATGAGATTTGCTAACGCGCTTTATTGACGTGTTTTCTAACCTTGGCCCGGTTCTCGACGGACTGACGGGACGGACAGCTGTTGAGACGCACTGCTTGCCGATCGGACAGCTACAGCTACAGCCGGAGCTACGGATACAACAACAGATACAGATAGAAATCGAATAGAGAATATCCTCAAGATTCGGCAGTATGTATGTACGTACATAACATATTGCTGTATATAAATGGATGCGGTCGCTACACTTGATTTGATTTATTTCTCGTTTCGTGTTTTACACCCAAAATAACAAACGATGCTGATGCTGGTGCTGGTTTGCCGCTGGCGAATGAAAATGATCAAAATGAAAATTCGCCTCTATGCCAGATACAATTTGATGTGATGTCTGCAGTCCGCATTGCCAGTATCTGTAGCTCTAGCCTGTATCTGTATCTGTATCTGTATCTGATGTGTGTGCGTTGCATAATACCATTTCGAGCAGCTACAAAATGTGTGCCATTAAAAAATGTTTCATTTTACAACCGAGTTAGGCCGGCCTCTCCTCTTTTTCTATTCTTTTGTATTATTTTCTTTTGCTTTCCATGGATTTCTGGTTGCCAATTCTGCGGCTGCCGCCGCCCGTCCCGATTATAATAATTATTATAAATTTTGCCTGCACGCGCCGCTCACAGACGATTTGAAATCTGTGAGCTGTTTCCATGGATAAACTATAGAAACCAGCGGGAACTATAAGGAAAATACTATACTTATTTTACCAACTATGACGACATGGGTACAGAAATAGTTGACCACAGAAATATTGAATCCTATGTGTACATATAGCACGGAAAACAAGGAAATGATTAAGTAAAAGTTCCGAATGAATATTTGTTTATGTTTCAGCAGGAAAATTTCATTATCGAAGTCATAGTTCTGGAAATACATAATGACTCATTTTAGTCATTTTTAATGATTTTTTGAAATGAAAAGTGCATAAGGGAAAGTCCAGTGTGTAAGAAAAACGATTATCAAGTCAACTTATTCACACTTGAAATGCAATCCTAGGTAAATAAACATTGAAATGATAAGATTTTAAATGGTAAATATGAGACAATATTAGTAAGATAGAACCATTATTAAACTAAACTCTTACTTTTACTTGTTTCCTTATTAATTTATAAAAGAGATCTTGGCAATATATTACTCAGATATCAGTGCACCACCCATAAATAATTGAAATCGTAAAGAAATTGTCTAGATTCTTGTTTCCGTTTGGCTTTTCTTCTGTTTTTGTTTATTTTTCATTTTGAAATCGGTTGTGTTCATTATTTTTCACACTTTTCCGCACTCACCAGACCCAGCACTAGCAGATGTATTGGCCCCACCTGGCCCAGTAAAGAATTAGAAGTCGGAAACAACAATTCGGCCTACTCAAACGGCGCTGTATAAATCGTTATACAATTTGGCAAAAATATGCCAAGCATTTTTAGTGGCGAAAAACCGATTGAGATATATGAGAACTTTTACTCAAAAATGAAAAGAAAACGATACAATAAGAAAAACAAAAAGAAAAATTGTTTGAAGGCTTTGCTTTGGATATATGCTAGAACATTTCACACAGGGTAAATGCCTCGAAATCGGTGGGATATAAGCACGTCTGCATATATATACTAGTATATATGTATGTATGGATATATATCATATGGTTTATGTAGATTCTTTGCACTTTTATCTTGTGGCGCTAATTCAAATTTGTAATTTATTGAACTCAAGCGGTTCGTTCGGTCGTGTATTTTTTGGCATTTCGATTATATTATACATTTGGCTGTTTAAACGGATATAAACGAGGGCAGGTCAATGGGTGGCACGAAATGTTTTTTTAAAGCGTATTTTAAAATGAATTTATTACATCTTTTATGTATTTTAATAACCAGATCAAGGGGAAATTAATGTGAATATGCAGTAAAGATTAAAGTCTTTAAACGAGTGCAAATGATAAAAATGAATGATTATTAAATTGTAATAACTATAATAAGAAAATAAAAGGAAATATTGTTTTCATATATAATTACTATATTTATCTTTGAAAATCAAATGGATTAAGTATAGTATTTTGAATACCATTCTTTATTCATGGCTTATAGGTTGTCTATAATTTGGTTACCTCATTAAAAATAAGCTTTAAAGGATATAACAATGAGGCTGCCACTAAGTTTTCCCCAGAAGCCTTTTGACTTTTCCCCTCATCATCAAAGGAATTAGCCAAGCTATTGAGTTATAAGCCAGAATTATGTGCATTGAGGCTTTATAAAGAGGCGGTGGAAAAAAAAGAGGGAGCTTGGGGGAGAGCTTGACGCTTAGCAAAACTACCGCGTAATGAGCCGCGCTAAGCTGCTCAGTCGGCTGGGCGGCCCAGAGTCTGAAAGCTGTCTCAACAAGTCGCTGCTGCTGCTGGCCTATGCGGCGTATACGTAATGCTGCGGCGAGGTGAATAACATTTGGCGTACAGCGGCTGAAAATGCCGCTCAATGGCGTGCCAAAACAAAAGGCTAAACTTAGCATGCATTTTTTTCTCCTATTTTTTGTTCATTTGTTTTTCGTATTTTGTATCTTCGCCGCCTTTCGCTTGGCAATGCAAATGGAAATTGAAATAGCGTAGAATCCATCCGTTGCTCTGACATTAAAGGCTCAGGCCTGGGGAATTCGCTGATGGAATAGCTCATGTCAAAAATGTTTGCATACCACAAAGTCATTGGACATTGTCGTCGAGTCGATTTGTGGATGGTCACGCGTGGGCGTTGCCTCCTCCTGCACCGCTGTTGCTGCTTCTTCTGCTCCTCCAGCTACTCGTTTATCAAAATTGTTCATAATTAATTAATTGGCTGCGTTCCAGATTTACAAATTGTTTGGCCCACCCGTCGTCTCAGTTGCTCTTTCTTGACTCTCCCCCTCTCTGACTCTTTTTTTTTTCTTTCTAGCCTTCTTCTTTTTTAATGCGTTTTACTGCGAAATGGAAATTGCTTTTGGATTTTAAAAGCCAAAAGCAACGGCAAAAAGTCACTTTGAAGCTCAGCCAGTAAAAAATTTGAATTAACATATGCCGAGGAAAAGAAAAATAAAAGAAGAGAATGACAGAGAAAGAGAGAGAGAGAGAGAAGAATTGGTCATTTGATTTTTATAATGCCCCCACTCCTCAAATGTTACACGTTATCTAGGGGAAAGGGGAGGGGGACCGGGAAATACACGTGGAAAAAATAAAACTAAAAATTTTGGGACATTCAAAATCAGCAATATTAAAAGGAAGGTATTATGAACTTGATCAAAGGTTATTCTAAAATCTAGAACATAAATTGTGGTTAATCATTTGTGCTTTGAGGTTTAAAATGAATAAAATTTCGAGTGAGTTAAGAGCTTTTCTTAAAAATTTGTATATCATTATATTTACTCTATTATTATAAAGTTTCTTAAGTTTCCTTAAAGGTTAAATGTCACAAAAATTAAACAGAATGTGCCTTATATTTTTCCAGTTGAAATTACAGAAACCTTTTCCAATATCCACATACCAAAACGATAAGATTATTAACCTCTTTGATACGCAAGATATGTTAATAGAGTAATTTTGATAATTATTTGCGAACTACAAGAACCTTGGATTTCTAGTAGATAAGAATACTCGGAGGTTTATGTATGTATATGTGTGTTTGTTATTTCTTTCTGTGCATTGATAGAGTAGAGTTTGGCGCCTTTTGTTGTGGGCCTCATCTTTTACTTTCTTTTCTTTCGGCTTTGCTGTTGCTTTTGCGCCAAAGAATGCTTATCGGCATTTGCAACTACGAGGCGAGGCGTTGTCGTCTCGACTCGACATTGTTATGAGGCCGAGTCGTTGGTGGTGGTGGTGGGTTGGGTTCGGTGTCGGAGTCGGCGTCGAAATCGGGCTGGGGCTAGGGCTATGGCTGGTGCTTGGGGTTCTTCTTCAGAACAGATAGCAGAAGCGGCCCAAAGAAGCGCCAGAGTCGCGCTGGCGATGATATCATCGCGCACGGTGCTGTGCATATGCCATCAACCATCCAGACCGACCGACCGACCGACCAACCAAATGAAGATGTCTAGGCGGGTTCAACGGAAATCCGCATAAACAACCCAACCATGCTGGAGACTCACTCACTGACCGTGTGTTTACTTTAACATTTTAGCAAGATAAACACACAATTTTTCTTTAAAACATTCGACTAGCTCTTATAAAATAACAAAACGAAACCGGACCGAAAAGGAAAGATACGAAACTCTTCTACGAAAGTTGATTCAACTTTTAATGCACTGCGAACGGGACAGGACGTAAAATGCAAAAGATTTTAACGACTTTGTTCGGGAAATCAAATTGTTTTTCTGGATATAAGAAAATGTAAATAAATTTCATTTGGCAAAAGTAAAACAACATTTTCAGGGATTAATAATTATGGTTTTGACCTATTATAGATGATATTTCTTTTTTTTTAATTACATAGAATAGTTATCTAGAGACTGTTTACTCTTCAACAGGTAAAGCGATAAAATTGACATGGGCTCGTTGATTTTTAGAATCGGCAGACATTCCAATATGACATATTTTTTAGAGGCATGTTTGCTATCTTTTACTATAATCAAAAATTCCTTGATGACATATTTAAAGTTTGGATTTTATTTTAGACACATTTTGTCTTTTATTTTAAAGTACTTAGCGGTTTAAATATTGTATACTCTTAAAGCTTTTTTATTGATTTAAAAAACACTTTTTAATTGAAGTTTAACGTGTCTGTTAGATTTTGTGGGTTTACCAAATATACCTTTATTATTAACTTTACCTTTTGTGTAACATATCTTTTTCAAAACATTCTTTTGTTTGATATCTTTTGAATTGACTTTAGTGTGGTCGTTTTAGCTAAATGCTATCTACAGAAGATAAGAATTTCAAATGGCTAACATGCCTTTTATTAGTATTTAACCTTTGATTCCATGTTGCTTTTAAGACAACTCTTATACAGACTCTCACAGCAGTTCATTAACCCACTATATACTACTATTTTTTATAGGCCTGCATTGATGATAATCTGGATATGGTGGAGTTTCTGGTGGAGCGTGGTGCCGATATCAATCGACAGGATAATGAGGGCTGGACGCCTCTCCATGCCACTGCCTCATGCGGGTGAGCTTATGCTTATAGCTTCAGTTAAATCCATTCCTAAAATACATTTTAAACTTGACTTGCAGCTTTGTGAGCATAGCTCGGTATCTGGTGGAGAATGGCGCTGATGTGGCCGCTGTAAACAGCGATGGTGATCTGGCCTTGGATCTGGCCATTGATGTACAACACATGGGCATGATTGACTACATGGAGAAGATGGTGCAGGAGCTGAACATCAATGTGGAGGAGGCTCGCAAGGCCGAGGAGCAGGCAATGCTGAACGATGCCAAAAAGTGGCTACGCAGCGATGCCGCCGAGGTGGACAGGCCGCATCCAAAAACGGGTGCCACAGCGCTTCATGTGGCCGCTGCTAAGGGTTATACGAAAGTGCTGAGCCTGCTCCTAGCGGGACGCGGCAATGTGGATCGCCAGGATAACGATGGCTGGACACCACTGCATGCCGCGTCGCATTGGGGCCAAAGGGAGACGGCTGAGATGCTCGTTGAATCGTTGGCCGATATGGATATACGCAACTATGCCGGCCAGTCCTGCATCGATGTGGCCGATCGCAAAATAGTCAAATTCCTGGAAGAATTGCGTGCCAACAAGCGCAACAAGCGACGACCATCTAGTCAAATCAGGTGAGTTGAGATACCGTTTAAGTGGTAACCTGAAACTAATTGATCTAATGTTTTAGCAGAATCTCAGATGCGATCGAAAATCATGTGGATAAGACGCCCACGAAACTGGTGCGCGTTGAAGTGAGAACTGATGCCACAAAGGATGGTGCGTATGCCTCAATAATGGCCTGTTATCGTACTTTGGCTGCATAATAAACGAAAAGCTTTCTTTGATTTCTCGCACACACACTTAAACACACACACTCTTGTGTTTGTCCTGTTTATTATCCTGCTTAGGTTCTCATGCGCGCTAATCTTGTGTTGTCGGAGCATTTAATCGTCAAAACATTTGCCACTGCCACTGCCCCTCGTCCCTTTAAGTCGGTTTAATTTGCCTGCATCATCATCAGCATCATCTAAATCCACGATCATCCATCATCAGTAGCCACCCCAAAAAATCTCTTCTCTGTATCTTCTTCTGTATGTGTCTATTTCTCTATTTGTGTATTGTCTTTGCTTGTAAATCACGCACACTGCAGCTGCCAGCAGCAGTAGCAGTTCGAGTGAAGCTGCCGAAGCTGCTAAGGCTTCGATTACCAACGCTGGCGATGATCTAAATGATGATGTTGATGATGGCCAGAAGAATGACGAGGGTGCCGCCGAAAGCGACACAGAAGAGCTGAGCGCTTCCACGGAAAGCTCACACTCGACCAGTCTATCCGAGAGCGAAGGTAGTCGTCAGTAGGCACTTGTTTTGCGTCCCAATTGAGGAGTTGTGTGTGTTCTTGATCCCTGTCTGTGTGCTAAGCCCGCCAATAGGCCACTAACCTTTTTGCTGTTTCATTTATTTGCCAATAATTTCCATTCAACATTGGTTTGTTTGTTACCTTTTCTTTTCCAGCTGAAAACGTTAAGCCTAATCAGCAGATCCACGCTGCCGATCATCATCCAGTCGAGGAGGAGGCGCCTTGGCGACGAAAACTGCCACGTACACCCAACGACAGTCCCACTAATAATCGTAAGTAAAGAATGGAGTTTTGGGGGAGAGCTTTTCAAGGACTATAGATAAACTGAATTGTATTTTGTTTTTCTTTTTTCTAATCTGTCAATATTTTATACTACAAAATTAATTTTTTTATGATTTCCAAGAAGGTAAAAGGGCAGAAAGTTTGTTATTTATAACAAAAGTTCAGTTTTTAATGTGAAAAATTTATAAAACTAATTTTCTGACTCAATATTTACGGAATATATGTGTATATTCCTACTCAGTTAAGAGCGCAGACCGATAAGGTTTTATTGTATTACATTATTTCTAATTTTAAAAATGATATTCAAGTATAATAAACATAAAAAAGCTCCTACAAATACTCATATGAATTTATATTCTGATAATTCTAATCGATTCATATCATCCTGCAGAAGTTCCTGATAGAGAGCTTAGCAGCAATAGCTCGGAGACCGCCAACGATGTCATTTTGCGACGCACGCAAAGCTTCGAGAATGATCAAAAGTGAGTTGAAATCAAGACAAGTACCAACAATATTGACAGAAATGCGTGCCGCACACAAACACCAACACAATCACACAAAAGCGCATCACAGATTAACCCACATACATATATATATAATGAATATATGTAAATTTATAGACATATACATATATAATCATTAATCTGCCAAATGATTTGACCCACAAATTGCACCGAAAGGTCTTGATTTATTGGTTTGCTTTTGCAGTTTGCTTTTCCCTTGTGCCGCCAATTGCATTTGCTTATCAGTCACCATATACACACATTTATTTAACCATTCAGCTTTTGACACAATTTATTGATAACAAAACCAAAATAAAAACAAATTGTACGGGTAACTGTTTAAATATACCCGTGTGATGGGGTATCTTGATCTGGGAAAGCTCCATGATTCATGGCATTCTCCGCCAGCCACAATGAGCTTTGTTTTGCCTGACTTCATGTATACCATTCGCATTTGGCAAGGTGAAGCGGTTAACTGCAAAAGCAAAACGATTAAGGAAAAAACAAAGTATTGTATTGATTTTAAAATTTTTTGTTTTGCTTTATTTTTTTTCACTCCCTTTTAAAATAAAACTGAAAATTGTATCACCAACGCACCATAAAAAAAAACAACAACAACCAACAACAAACTCATCAAAACGCTTATCCAAAATCTAACCTGCCCGCTCGCTAAACCAACCGCCTAAACCGCCCAACCTGAAATCGCCTGCACGAACGTCCAACGCCCGATAAATCGCCCGAATATATCCATCAGATTCTATCAAAAGTACAATGAGCTGCGGGCCCGCATAAAGGCCAATTCCTGTCCCATACTGCCGGCGAATGCGAATCCTAATGCCGCTGCTGCTAATAATAATTCCAATAATAATAATCATCTAAGTAGCAATAACAATAATAATAGCAACAATAATAACAACAACAAAAGCGCTCTGCTGTTGGGATATGCTGGCACAACAACAAGAACAAATACATCGACAACAACAAGCACATCAACAACAGCTAGTACATTCAACAACACTCACTCAAACACCAACAACACAAGCACAACACCACAACAACAACAACAGCCAGCAACAGCAGCAGCATCGGCAACAACAAATCAATTATATAGCGTTCAAAGATCGGCATCCCTCAAAGATAACTCAATGTATTACAGGTTTGTTTTGCATACACAAATGCCCAAAAAAATAAACAATAAAACAAACAAAGAATTAGATCAGATTTTAATAGTCTAATGCTAAGGTTATTTTATAAAGATTACTAACTAATAATAGGGAATGCAAATTATGTTTGATTTTCGTTTTCTTAAAAAAAAAAAAAAAAAAAAATGTTAAATTGGTCTTCACCAACGTTCACCAACAACATTATTGTGAAAGAAATATTGTATTGCAATAATTGTAATCTTTTTTCATGTACTTATTATATTTTATGTTAGAAAATCAAGAAGGAAATCTGATCTAGTTCAAAGGGCAACATGCCTACTCATAGCTGTTTAACCCAAAACCTAATTTGTTGTAACTCTAAACTCTTAACTGTGCTTTTGCTTAGCTTCTTCTCGTCTACACCTCCAGAAACCAAACTCATTGCACCGACCAATCGTTTAACATAATTTCCTAGGCCACGCACCAATGTCGTCTGTCTACCTTCTCTTGGCTGTATTCTCTTCTGATTTTTGCACATATAATTAACACATATTCATTTTATTATATTCCTTGCATCGCAGGAAATCGACTGTTACGATTGCCACGCCCACAAGTACAGCAGCCACGGCAAACACGACGGCACTCAGTTCACCTTCGACAACTGTACAGAACCCACCAATACGCAGGTTAGTCGAATTATCTATATTTAAATAGCTCCATGGAAATTTTTTACAAAAACTTTGTCGATCGGTATTAGCCAAGTTACTGCAAAGAATGCAGCCCAGAGCAACAATGGAAGCTCGTCCACGGCCAGTGCCGCCAGCGATGCGGAGAGCTCAAAGCCGCCACCCAAACAATCCACGGGCAATATTATCAAGAACTTCTTCAAGTAAAGATAGAGAGATTAAAGTGTTGTTTTTATCGTTGATTGGAAAACTAACCCTCGCTAGCCAGCTGATGCTAACCCCTAAAAATCCCCTTGATTTGTGTAGCATGATGCCCAAACTTGGGGAACTCTTAAAGATTCAAAACTAAAAAATATATATGTATCTTTATTTAAGAGTTTAAGGCTCAATCAGCTCTTTTTACTGCTCTGAAATGTATGTGTTCTCCTTATTGAATAACCCTTGTTTTTACTTATTTTATTCTATTGAAACTTTTCTAAAACAATTTATATTTATGTAACAAAATTTTAGATCCTTTGTGCCGCCGGTGCGAGATGAGGAAAGTGAAACGCAGCGAAAGGCGCATGCCAAGCGCGTAAGGGAAACCCGCCGATCAACCCAGGGCGTTACCCTCGATGAAATCAAGAGTGCTGAGGAGCTGGTGAAGAAGAAGAACCTAGGCATGGCCAACAACAATAACAACAACAATATCAACACCACCACCACGAACACGATTAGCAACAGCAGCGTAAGTAGTCCAGTGACCAGATATTGAATCATTATTCACGATCACAACAAAAGTCCAAAGCAAACATCCCACACTCGAGGAGGCTCTCTCTCTCTTTTTCTCTCTCATACATTAGCCCATTTGGTAGATCATGCCCATAGTCCTTGACCAGATTATGGCAAATCACATACACACGATGTCCACATGCAGTTCACAAACCATTCAAAACGTTGAGCAAAATACACACCAGATCAAAAAAACCGAAAAAAATAAATGCTTATGGTTATGGTGTCCGTCCCTCCTTTTTTGTTGGATATTTCTCTCTCTCTCTCTCTGTTTATGTGTTATGTGTCACCCACACGCACTTTTATTCGAAAAAATAATAATTTGTTTATTCCATTAATTGCTTGTGCGTGTGAGTGAAAAATAGTTTACTAAAAAATATTAGTAGTTTAGAAATATTTTTATATAGAATGCAAAAGGTTTGAAAATTGCTCAAAAAAGTATGCTATATAAATGTATATGCATTTAACAGAAACAATGAATATTTAACATTAACATAGAATATTCAACAACAACATAAAGTATTCAACAACCACATGGAATATTTAGCAATAGTTTAAATAGAATCAATCAGCTTTTATATTTCAACAACAAAATATAAAATCGGATAACTAATGAACTGTATGTCTATAATAAACTTGTAATGTTCCTCAACAATATACAATCTTCAACAACATAGAACAACAACAAAAGTATTCCTACAACAACATAAAATATTTAGCAAAAAATGTAATAAATTAAATCAACTTTTATATTATTATTATTATTGAACAATATTTATAAATAACTTTTAATATTTTACAACAACATACAATCTTCAACAACATAGAATATTCAACAACAACATTTAACAACAACATTCGCCAAAATTGTAAATGCAAAAGTAACCAAGTTTTTATCCATAACTGTGCTACTTTAATACCACTTCAATAGCTTTAACGGGTTGTCGAACACCCTTAGCTATTTTGAGGGATATAATCATGCTTCAAATCTTTTGCATTCTGTTGTTTCGCCCCAACCAAAAGCAGCCCTAAGCTGCTATCATCATTTCAATCAGAGTCTCATCGATCAATCAGTGCTCCCATTTAGCGTACGTTGCTACCCCGTTTTTTTCTTTTGATTATTCGTTCGTGATCGATCGCAATATCACACTTAACCAGCAATCAAGTTGAGTTCAAGTTCCTGCGTATGCGCCTCCGCTCCGCTCCTGCCACGCCCCTTGACCCAAACGCCCGAACCGCCTCATCAATGTTCAGTACTTGTTATAGCGTAGCCTTGTGCTTATGATTTCCAATCATCGGCTTCAGTATCAAGCAGCATCAGCCGACCAGTGAACCACATAGCGAAATTACCATTCCAACTCGTATTTATGTTAAAGTTTTTAAGTTATATCTCTACGTTCAGTTTCGTACTACTTACTAGGCTCTATATATATATGGATATGTATATGTCTATGGAATATGTTGATGATTTTATCATTTTGCATGTCCCATTTGCATGCGTAATCGAATCCGGGGTCGCCACCTAAGTATCGTTATCGTTATTCGTATGCAATTGATAATTTATAATTAAATAGCGAGATCCCTTTGATTTTTGGTTGAGAGCAACACCCCCTCGCGCGTCCATCGCCCCTCAGGACAACTGTTTTTTTATTTTTGTTCCAAACTAATATTATTAACAGAACGAAACAAGCGCCGCACCATCCAGCAGTGATCAGCGGGAGGAGACGCAACCGCCGCCACCGCCCACCACACCACCGCCAGCAATAATTCCCACCACAACGACGGCCACCGATGAGACGGAAATTGAGGAGTTGGTGGCTACCCAGCCTCCCCCATCAGCTGCGAGCGACACCACAGCTAGCTTCACCTTATCCGCTCCGGCACGAAGATCCATCTCCTTGGGTGATGGTGAGGCCAGTAGCGAGACGGAAGCAACGGATCAGTCAGTGGTCAGTGCCAGCTACACGATAGTTTCCAAGAGGGAAAAGCTACCACCCGTCAGCTCGGAGGAGAGTGCTGTGGAGAGCACCAAACAAAAGACTGATGACACCAAGAATACCGTTACTGGCACAGAAGAAAAGGCAGAAGTGGAGCCGCATATTAGGCCTACGGATCTGCCACTGATTCCCACATCTCCGGCCATGAAATCATCATCGACGGCCACCACGCCCGCTGCCCTCGAGAGTCCAGTGCGCTTGCGGGACAAGCGGAGCCTAACGGGGAGTCAGGATTCGGAGACCAAGTCCGATACCGCCTCGCCTGTGTCCACGCATCCGGACTTTAATGCCCGCGACTCTCTACTAAGTCTCTACGCCCGACGCACGACCGATAGCAGCAGCGCGGGAGGTGGTGCTGGCGGTGGTGCTGCTCCCTCGTCTTCGTCGGCAGCAGAGCGGCGTCCATCTTGGCGCCTGAAATTCGATGCCGGCTCCAAGGTAATGCCACCACACAACCCAACAACACTGTCCCCTAATCGAGTCCGATGATAGCCTAATCCAAACTATATGACAGACTGTTTTTCGATCGGTTGCCAAACTCAACTAGTGTGTGCCATAAATATATATCCTTTTGTTAATCTCCGAGTGTAGCATGGATTTATTTTGATTTTATTAGTGTGTGAATATTATTAATGGATTTCTTTTGGCTCTTGGAAGTCGCAAAAATACCTTTGCTTTAGCTTATTTCAAAACTATTGGGATTCATTATATTAATCACATTGTTTTTAGTGGCTTTTTATATTTATATAAATTTAGTTTAAGGCAGAGCTCGTGGTTCATTTTTTAATAATAATTTCCGAGCTCTTTTTTAAGGTTACAATTTCCTCTCAATACATTCCAGATTAACACATCATCTGTAAAATCGATATTTAAATATCATATCAACAAAAATTAAAACTTGGCTGATTTTCAATATATTTTAATAATTATTGAGATATGGTCATTTTTTATTATTTTAGAATTTCGGTTTTAATTTTATGAAAATCGGACGACTATATATTATAGCTGCCATAGGAACAATCGGGAAATTAATAGAACAAAATTATAACTTCGTTGTTTTTTAACGTATTTTCATTTACTTTAAGATATGGCTAATTTTTATTATTTCAGAATTTTGATATAAGTTTTAAGAAAATCGAACAACTATATTCATTGTAAACTTGCAAGGGTATACAAAGCTTAGCTTCCTTTCGTGTTTAATTATAATTTACGAGCTCTGTTTTAAGGTTACAATCATTTCATCTGTAAAATCTTTATTTTAATATCATTTTCTTGAAAATGTAATTTTTAATGATTGAAAAATCCCATAAAGTTGATCTACTAAAAGTCATCATTGTTGCTTATAGCCTGGGTAATAAACAAGAATATTACATCTGTGGACTGCTCGCTTATTTAGTTTATTTTATTCTAGTTTTTATTTTCGCCTGAACATTATTATTTTTAAGTCTTATTTTCATTTAGTTGTATTTTATTTCCACGTCTCAATTTGCTTGTAATTTATGCTTGGATATTCTCGCTAACGAGGCATATGCATTTGTTAAGTAAATACTCCGATCTTGTAGTGTAATGTATGTATTGTTTTAAATATATATTTAAATATTTTCATGTGTATATATTCAAACATATATATTATCTTTCATATTCCGCTGGTGACCGAACATTGATGTATAAATATGTACATACATGATGCAATTATTATTAACCTGGCTGATTTTTATGTTTATTTAATCATTACTTATGTTTATAAACTGTTAATATCCATATTAATTAATGAGTAATTAAACAATATTAAACTATTTTGCATGCAATTGAAAAATATCTTTACATTTTGTGAAGTATTTACATTTTTATATATATTAACTTACGAATGGTTCAAGGAAATTCAGGGAAATGGAAATGGCTTAGCTTAGGTAATTGGGGTTGCGGGCTCCTAACTGGATGCAAAATGGTGTCTCTGATACTTGTTAATTACCACTAAATGTTTAGTATAAACTAACTCCCGCTGCATTCGAATGATTCTTCCAGACATGACGACATAGCTTCTTGTAAGACCAAAAAAACACATTGCACACACAAACCAAACAAACAAACAAAAAAAAAAAAAAAAAAAAGCGACAATTTTATAGAAAAACATTTCAAAACATAAATTTAAAATACATATATTTAATATATATCTACTTCATACCTAGTTTGGTTTAAATTAATAATAAATACTTATTCCCTGCAGTTTAAGCTGGAGGATATAACCAGCGGTGGTACATATCCGCCCAACAACAGCACCATTATACCCAGTGCTCCGGCGGTGATGGCAGCCGCCAATCTGTCCACCACCACTGGTGTGCAGCGGCGCATTAGTAGCGGTCCCAATGCATGTAAGTTATTAGATTCATCCAAAATGTGTTCTCAATTATTAAATATTCTTCTCCATTTTATTAGTAAATGCTTCCAATCAGTCGCTCAACTCTGTGGGACGTCCTGTTTCCGCGCCCAGCGAGAGCTCAACAAACAACAGCAGCGCCTATGTCACGCCCTCGGCTCGCAAATACGAAACGAATGCCACTTCAACGGCATCAGCGGCGGCAACGAATACTAACACAACCTCCAATTCAGTGTCTGCAACCAGTGCCAATCATGCAACGACCGCGGCGAGCAACGCTACGTCCAACCATGACGATAAGGGTAAGGATCATTGGGGGAAAATGCAGAAGAAAGTGTTTGAAAAGTGTTAGAGATAACAGGAAAAAATCATTATATGGATACTGTATCGATAAACGATACAAAAGTCGATATTTTGTGCGATAAATTGAGGATTAGTTGCTTAAATTGTAGAAGAAAGTGCTTGGAAAGGATTAGAGATAGCAGATGAAATATTTATATGAATACTGAATCGATAATTAATGCAAATGTCGAGGATTAGTTACGTAAAATAAAGAAAAAAGTGTTTAGAAAGGATTGGGAATAGCATATAAAAACTTTATATGAATGATGTATCGATAATTGATACAAAAGTTGTTATATAAGTTTATATTTCGTGCGATAAATTGAGGAGCAGTTGGGGAAATAAAATCTTTATATGAATGATGTATCGATAATTGATACAAAAGTCGATATTTTGTGCGATAAATCGAGGATTAGTGGCAGAAAAAATATAGTGTTTGAAAAGAAATAAAGATATTAAGAAATTATGAACAAATGTCTGTGCAAAAAAACTAAATTCTTAAGAAAAATGTATTTTATAAAATATTAAAAATTGTATTTACATCTCTGTTGACTTTTCTAAAAGTTCAAATAGATTATAAAATATCAAATTCTGTCAGATTTTAGTTTAACTTTTGAATATCTTAAAATATTTTTCCTTCAACTAACCGGGATCCCTATTTTTCATCCTTTCCACTCACAGATAATGACAAGGAGAACGATAATCGCACACAGACCGTCATCCAGAGGCGCCGCAAACCGAAGCGCAGATCCACGGGTGTGGTGCACATCGATATGGATGTAAGTACTTAAATCGCTCATCCTCTCTGAGCAGAGATACATCATTTATGCCCCGTTTGTCAGAATAAATGAGCCTTGGCCCGGCCGAAAGCGGCATGCCAATTATTCTTCACACAAAACACTAATTAGTCAAAAGATTAAGAGAAATGCTAAATATATAATGAAATCTCTCTGTGTTTTGCTTCGCTGCAGGAACTGGACCCCGAGCGTCAGACCGAATCCAACAACGACAACGAGGATAAGGAGAAGGAGGTGAGTATTTTCGCAGAATTATTTGGCTTTCCATATGTTAACTACCAACAACAACAACAACTATGGCAACAATTGAATATTTTTCACACCTTTTGCCAAGTAATTAGAATTTATGGCAGCCAGCCTCTGCTTATTTCCGTGCTGTGCACCTGGGTTTCTCTTGCTCTCCTTTGATTTTTGCCAACGTCACACCTTGTCACAATTTTTAGAACGCTCTGCCGCGTCCTTCAAAGTAGCTGCTCCTCCTGCCCCCAACCCAGTTTCATCCACATCGTCGTCCGTCTGGTCCAATTAGCAAAGTGACCTAAAAAATAAACGAAAATTATGATTTGCCATTTGCGCCGAAAAACACCGAGCACGTGGCATTGTGTGTGGGATTTTAAGTGTAAGTGCAAGGCAACTGCACAAATCCTTTCATGGCCGAGGTCAGAACTATTAGTGCGCAACCAATTTGCGTCCAAAGAAATCACGGGTCCACCGCTCCACCGCGAGAACCTGTTAACAATTTATCTGCCCAAGTGTCGGGCCGCCGGTGTCGCCTATTATTAAAAACTGACACAATTTTTGAGTGCATCTTGTCATTAACAAGCGCGCTGCTCGGGCTCTGCTTGTTTCTTGAACAAATTATTAATTGTTTTGCACATTGGACAATTGAAGAAGAAAAGCTAGCTAGCCGATGCTTATGGCATTAATTGATGTTTATTTTATTATTTTAGAAAGTATTGTTTGATGGTTTTTGAAAGGTTCATTAGGGTAAGAGAAGAGGGAAATGTTGTAGCATACAGAAAGGGAAGTTTAGTATAGAATTTTAGGAATAAAATGATGAAGGAAACTACTTAAGTGTATTAAATTGTATAGTTAAAAGTTAAACCTAGAATATTATTTTCATCTTGTGAATATTCTTATTCTTCAAGGCTCAAATTTGCTTTCTTTTTCTTTGTTTTATTTGCGTCGCATTTTAGACAGTAAAGGAATGAAAATTTAATTGCTCAATTACTTGAATGAAATTGGGCAGAAAGTATAAACGTTTTTGTGAAGAGTGAAATAAGCAAGTTTTCCCTCAATATGATTTTAAATCTAAATGGAAAATAAATGGCTGAAAAATATACAAACAGCCTGGTTTTCCCCAGAATTTTTTACTTTGCTATTTATGGCTTAAGTAATTTGCACTTTCGGCCACTTTACCCCCAAAATCCATCCATCTAACGATGGCAGCAACCCATCTGCCATTGCCGACTATGTGTCACCATCTTTGATTGACGATGTCAAGTGTTTTTGCCTCAGAGCAATTGTAATTTTCCTAGCATTTGCATCCGAGGAAATCACTTTCACAATCGCCTCTTCTAGACCAGACCAGACCAGACAGCTTGTGTTCTACAACAAATTAGTCAATTACAGAGGCACGACCCACAACTAGAAGGAACGCAACCACAAAGGCAATCTAAAGAATAGAATAAAACTTATTACGAAAGGCAGCAGGCGGCACACGTACATTGAACTTAGTTTTTGGCTAAATTTACAACAGTTTGCATATGGCATTAGCTTCCTCATTCTCTCCCTGCGGCCAAAAGGATCGTCATTCGGTATTTATAGCCAGGCAAAAATGCATTCAACGAAAGTGCCAACTTCGTGGCCAAAGGGGCTGCTTGGCTGCTAAGACGCCTCTGGCCCAGTTATGAAGGGGCAGCGGATGGTGTAGAAGCAACTCCCCAAATTGGATTCTCCTGTCGCATACACTTTGCTTTAAATTTAGACGGAACTAAAATAGTTTTTCTTCCTATGCTGGGGCCCTCTCTTTTTCTGTATACCCAGTACTAGGGCAGGGCAAGGGTATATTGATTAGGGAATTATTTTGATACTATTTTTTACAAAATTAGAAGACTAGTAGCTATCATTTTAGGGATAGATTTACTTTACCTAGAGCGAATCTATTAAATAGCCAAAATAAATTTTATTTAAAACATTAACTATTATATAGAAAAGTATAACTTAAATAAATACAAATTTAAGAAGATTCAAATAACAAAAAAGTATTAAAAAGTATTTTAAATATTAAAATCCCGCTTTGCGGTCGCCGTGAAGTAGGCAATACATTTAACCGACAAAAGCCGGGTACTCTATGGTCGGTACAATAGTTACCTCTCCTTTTTGGCTGCATTCTTGTGTCAATGACTGCTTCGCCTTTTGGCCCAGTTTGCTGTGGCTTGTGCTCTCTTTTCGCTTGGTGCTCTCCCGATGTTTGTTCTGATGACCCCAGCATAGTTAACAGTTTTGCGTCTCGGACATTGGGCCAAATACGTGTGCGATTTACTAAATTTAGACCGGGGGCCCCATCAGCCAGGTGAAAACTCGCACAGCGTCAAATTCTGTGTGCGCAATTTCAAGTGAAAATTCGGCTAACGTTCCTTCCGTCGTCGTCCCACCTTTTGAATTTCCCTGCCGCTGTTGCACTCTTTGTTATTTTTCTTGTTTTCATATCTCAGTTTATAATAATATTCCCGATTATTTGTGTTGTTATTTTTCCGGCTTTTCCTCTCTTTATTGAACTCTTAATTTAGCTTTTCGCTTCTCTTTGGGTCCGCTGCTCTAGCTCTTTTGTGTTTATTTCGGATCGCGTATGTTCGCTTTCAAATAAAACATTTCAAATCGCAAGCAAGCAGCACAGTCGAGTTTAGTGCGCCCAGCACAGCGGATCATCTCAGTAAAATTCAGATCAATTCAGTTGAGATCATCGGCTAATCCAAGTCAATCCAAAGAAATCCAATCTATACTTTGATGTAAATCCCAATTAAAAGCCAGAATTCAATACGACGTCAAGTGCAACGAGAAAAAACCACAGAGACCTGTCGAACGTGTCAAAGAGTTGTTAAGAAAAAAATAAAACGCCTAGATCAGTTTACCCCCGGGATGATGAAGATCTGTGGCAGGGGAGAAGAGGGGATTTTCCAAGCCAGAGTTTCCGAAAACAAGTTGATGGAATCGCAACGCGTTTCCATTTTCGGCACAAACTGCGCATAATTTTTGGACAGTTCAAGTTGATGCTCCTCTCTTAGCTCCTCAGGTGGCTTCTGCATATATGGTCAACTATTTTGATAAGTTTTTAATTTGATTTCGTGAACGTGCTTAATTTATTGAGTTTTTTGTTGCCTCGAGATTTGAAATGTTAAAGTTTAACAAGAGAACTTGAAGATTTAAAAAGTTGATAGAGAAATAGATGGTTTAATCATATTCTTCCATTCCTACCTACAAATTATTTAAATACTCGTCTAAAAATATTCAGTATTAACTGAAATATATTTCCAAATACTAGTTTATTTTTTAGACATACTAAGATTATTTTTCAAATTTATTTGCATTTCCTAATCCATTTCATGGATGCCTTTTCGACCCATTCAGTTCATTTATCATCTGGCCATGACACAACACAAAAAGTATATATTCCAACGATTCGTTTTTATGCGATATTTAGTCGAGTTAAATGTTTGAATTACCAGACAATGAAGCCATAAGAACAGGCATAAATGTGGGTGAAAAAATCATTTCAAAAGGCCAAACATTTTAAGCTCTTGGAGGAAAAAAACTGCCGCTTCATTCATGGGCGCTTGTCGCCTCTTCCTATAGATAGAAACGCGTATTATTTAAGGCACTAAAGACAGCAGATACATAAAACAATTCTTGTAGGAAACAGAGAAGCGGGCTTCGTCATAAATTATATGCATTGGAAAATTGCTTGAGAGGAAAAACGTTTTTCAACCCGGAGATGATGTTTGTTGTTTGTATGCGCGTGGGCGGAGGATGAGGATGAGGAGCATCAACTCTTAGTGAAAACAAATAAATAGCAGAGCAGGCGGCCGGCTGCCTGTGGTATAGTTTTCGGGACCATATATCACGGTTTTGTATGTGTTTTCAATTCGATCAAGAGCATTGGCCAGTTGGGGGTACGAAAAGCGCAAAAGGAAAATTGTCAAAATTTATGCCTTGACGTCATTTTCCCCTCAGGCGATTTCCCAGTTGCACGGCACAGGGCGAACCACATGTCAATATTGCGCGTTCTCCATATTGAAAGATCCGTTTCGTATATAGAATATATACACACAAAACACACACACGAAAGATTTGTTTGTTTTTCCTTTATTTTTGTTTATGCCAATTTCATGAACATTTCGTGTGTTCGCTTTGATTTTAATTGTAATTGCCTTTTGTTGGCTTCTATAAATGGAACACAAATCGATCAGAATCGAAGTTGAAATGCCCTTCAATTGCGCGGATCATCTCCCAGGGGTCTCATGACTCGTCTGGTCTCGTTTAATTGATGAGCTTCGTATGTACTTAGATCATGATGAAACCGAAATTCAATTAAAGTTCAAAAGAGACAGCTGTCTATCTGCTTGGGAGTTTTGTGGATTTAAAACGGAATTTAGCTTTTAATAGAGATATTTTAAGGGATAAATGAGACTAGAAAAAAGTTGAATGTGGCCTGCTAACATTTAAAGCGTATTGTATTTATAATTCCCAAGTACGAATTCAGATTGAACGTTTCTTTTGATTTAAAGGGGTAATAAATTGCTTTAAAAATTTAAACTTCAAGTTATTAAAGAGAATAGAAACAGTCTCCTTTTGATGAACCTTTAAAGCGATTTGTACTTATAATTCCCAAGTACAAATTCAGCGATAAGAACGAATTCAGAATCAGTTAGTAAAATAAGTGCTAATTAGGTTTTTGGCTGTCTTCAAACAAAATCTTTGTGTGATTTTATAGAGATTAAATTAACAAGAAGCTTATGTCAAGTTTCCAAAAATGGTCATGTATAAAAACCTGGTGACAAACCTCTGATCAAAAGGAAAATCCCCTCTCAAAAAGAAAGGGTATGCAAATCTTGTATGCCTTTTCGAATGTTTCAACGTAATTGCATTGTGGCATCGACGATTGATATACAACTGTTAGGGGAAAACTGCCGAGAGCTAATGGGGGCCTCACACTTTCTTATAGCCAACACCGTCAGAGCGAGATGTCCTTTCGCTCAAGATCACGAACCCAGGCACCGCTGGCCAGTCGCCGGCGTTCCCTGTCCTCCAGCTCGCGTATGGCTCCCTCGAGCGCTTCTTCGGGTGCCTATAACTATAATGGGAGTAGCTACAATGGATCCAGCAGCAGCTCGGGTCGCCCTTTGAGCACTGGCTACTTTCCTAGCAGTGGTGGCGGCATCTCCTCCAGCTACCAGAGCCCCTATGCCAGTGTCTACAGCTCCCGGGAGAGTTTGTATGGCGGCGGAGGAGCCAGTGGTGGACGCAGTGCCTACGGTAATCGCTACGAATACGGGGCCGCCAAGTATCATCACCACCATCATCACCAGCAGCAGCAGTTCACCAGCCACCACTACTTGAACCAACATTCCCAGCCATCGACGGCCGTAACCTCATCCGCCAATGCCTCAGCCTCCTCAGTTTCAACCTCAGCCTCCTCATGCCATGCCATGCCCTCATCCACAACAGCTTCGATAGCTTCCAATGCCGCAATGCCAGCAGCAACTAAAACGCAAACGCACCATGGCAATCGCTACTATCTGCAGCTGCAGCCCACCGCTTCACCGGGTCACCACTATAGCCACCTGTCGGTGGGCAAGCATATTTCGGCTCACAGTTATGGCCCGTCTAAAGCCTCTGCTCTCTCCTCCTCTCTGTCCACCGTCTCCTCGTCGTCGTCCTCCACCAACTCTGCTCCCTCGACTGGAACAGGCAGCGGCAGCGGCGGCTACGAGAGTTCAAGATACAATCCCAGTTCATATTCCTCGACGCCATACTCCGCGGCCAGCGATCGCTATGTCAGTCCCTATTCGAGCATCTACGATAATGGTGTGACCACAGCCTCGCTCAGCTTCAAGTCGCCGGGCCTGAGTTCCTCCAACTCCTTCAAGGGATCCCGTTTGCTGAAGACCAAATCCCTGTCAGCCTCGAATAGCAGCCTCAATGCAGGAGCCTACGGCAGCAGTACACCCTCGACCAGTGCAGGAGCAACGGTGGCGGCCATTGCAGCCACAAGGAGTAATTCCCTGCGAGAGCAGGAGCGCAAATCAAGGAATCGTTCGAGATCAAAGAGTGCGGCACAGCGGTCGATAAGTGCTTCCTCGGAGAAGAGTGAGGGATATGAAGTAAGTGGTTTATCGGGGATACAAATTAAGGTGTTTTTATTTCATATTATTTTGGCCATGTTGTTGTTGTTGTTGGTATAAAAATAGGCAATGATATTTTAGGTTTTAAGCTCTTCTTAAATTAATTTTGAATCCCTTTTCCTTTCACAGAGTGGCAGCGAGCGGACATCCCGCTCCAGACTTGGCAGCACAGCAAGCACGGCCACCACGAGTGAGTCCAAGAGCGACAAGGCAGAGAACGGCGATGGCATTGACTACAAGGCGCTCTGGGAAGCGGCCAAGTGAGTATAAAGAAGTCCTCTATTAATCCTAGAACTGCATGAATACCTCTCTAATCCCGCACAGATTGGAGAACGATAAGCTGAAGCAGATGCTCAAGCAAAAGGACGATGAAGTTGTGCAAACACGTGCCACGCTCGAGCGTTTCGCCAATGCCGTAAGTACAAAAGACACACCCCTAACACGCCCACGCCCACATTCACGCCCACTAAGAAAGCAAATCTATAATAAACAAAAGGCAGTAACAAACAACAACACGAAACACAATAAACTTAGTAGAAGGCTGCCTACTAAAATGTACAAAACTTTATCACACAAAAAATAAAATACTCTAGCTGCCTCTTTTTCCCTCTCATGTGAAGCTTACTGCTCGCGCTCTCTTTCGCTCTCTATATATACACATATATATATATCTTTATACGATCCACAACACAACTGAACAAGAAAACAACTGAATACAGAAAAAGAAAACAGTATTAAACACTGTAAACAAATCCAAAATGCAAAACAAAATCTTGTTTCATTTCACATATTCGCAGACATCGAAAAATTCACTATCTGAACTTGAGAAACGCGAAAGAAGAGCTATGGAACGCAAGCTTTCCGAGTTGGAAGAAGAGCTCAAGGTAATTACAAAGTGTCCTTAACGTTGCTAAAAAAAAAGCCGCTGTTTGCAGGACTCGAAATTGATTGCTTCCGTTTGGTTTACCCTTCTAATTCCCTTTTATGATTTTGTGAAACCCCCTAAGCATGCAAACTACATTTGAAATTGACTTTTCTCCTGTTTTAAGTTTGTTTTATTTATTAACCCTTTTTGATTTAATTTAAGAAAAATGATTAATTCGAATTGAGCTGTTTTTGTTTTGTTTTTATAATCCCAAATCCCAACCCTTCTGAACGAACACGTTTCTTTGCACTGAGTTGGAGCAATGAATCCGTTTATTATCTTTATATTGCTTTTACCTCTTTGGCCAGATGCTGCGCTTTTTACACATTATAGAAGAACACCTAGTTGACTAGCTAGCTGTCTTTGGTGTGTGTTTGAATGCGAGATGTGGCACTGTGTTGCAGAAACCTCATTTAATTTGAAATTGATTTGCCAAAAAAAAAAGATCCCCTGTGTATATAGTCTATATATCATTTCTATTTTGTGCCCTTCTCCGCTGTACAGTGAAGCGATCGCTTTTATTTTAAATTCTTCCTCGTTGCCTTTATTTATTTATTGCCCCAAAAATCCAAATGTTGTCATCAGATCATCTTCTCATGCTTGGTTTTGTGTGTTTGCCTTCCTCTTGGTTTTCTCATCTCGCACAACCTCTACAACAACACACAACAGGAATAACAAACAAGCCAACGACAGACATCAGACATCACCTCAGACATGTTCTCATTCAAAAAGACATCTCTTCAGACCATTATGTTTCTCTGTCATCACCAGATCGTGCCATCATCATCATCATCATCATCATCTCGCTCTATCCATCTCTCATTGTCAAATTGTCAACCCTTTTGATTTTTCGTCACTGTTTCCATGCGTGTTTATACGTTTATCGTTATACTCACTTAAATTTGTTACAGATTAAAAAAGAATATTTAAAAAACCAAAGCGCTCTCATTCCAATACGCTCACTCAAATTTGTTTTTCTTTTCTCTCTCTCTCTCTCTTCCCACGCGCCTCATCGATCAAACAAACAATCGAACGAACTGTCGAAACAATCGACTATCGTAATCGCTAATCGCTCAAATATTTAAACAAAACATGTGTTTTTCCACTTTGATTTTCTTGCGTCGCCGCTGTGCTGTTTTGTTATCACTTGCTGCGTCCTTATTTTTTTGTATTGTGTGATTTTTAGCTGTTGCAGAAGCTAAAGACTGAGAACGACCGTCTGCGTGCCGAGAATCGGGCCCTCACACGGGTCGTCTCCAAGCTGACCACCTCGGCTCAGAGTCAGCTGGCCAAGACCAAATAGGCGCAGATCAGAAAGCATTTAGATTGCCCCAGCACCAGCACCCAAAAATCGAAAACCAATTAATAATACTCAAAAAGCCACAATATCTGAAAATCTCACCTTCCCTTTGCTCACGCGCACAATGTCGCGAATATCGTTTCTACATAAACTATATATTTAATACACCTTGATGTCGTTGTTATAAATAAATATAAATATGATATATAAGGAGACAGGAGTGCCACAGAAATTTCTGTGGATTTGAAATCAATTTAAATGGAGCCCAAAAGTTTGCTTTAAAATGTAACACAAGAATTTGCGAACTGAAAATATTTCACTGCATACTTGCAAGCGCAGTTTCAAGTGATTTAAATTCTGTGGCACTTTTGATAATTAAATATACACAACTCTTTTGCGAGTAACAACAATAACTAAATGTAGCGTAGATAAATTAAGTTCACATTGAGCTGAGATCATTGGTAATACATATAAAGGCATTACACATACTCCCCAGGAGGCAATATTCTCCTCTTTTGATAAAAAAACAAATTTCACTAGTAGAAAAATTTATAAATAGTACAATATTTGTTTGTTAATTTGGTTATCTAAATTATACGGTTTGCGAATTTATCAAAATACTTGTATCAAATAAGGGAACTACTCTTTAAATCAAAACTAAACCCACACACTCGAATCAAAAAGAATAAAGCTCTTCGAAACCAACGAGATTAATCATCAAACCCCCACCACAAAAGAAAAAAAAAGAAAGAATTGAGACAAGAAAACAGCATCAGCAAATCCCAGGATCCCAAGGATCGGTCAGCTATATCAGAGAGCGAAGAAGTGGTCTGGTTGGTGTGATGCTGGAAACTTAATGGTAAATCTGCCCCACCACTGACACTGACTTGAAACCTGCGCCTCCCCAAATATTATGAGCTGCTGGCTGTTGTTTTGTTGTTTATACACCTATATATCTCATAAAGGAATATAATAAAATATATATTATATAGCTATAACTGTATCCAAGGAGTGTTTCAAATTGTGCCAAGCTTAAGATTTGTTAAATTAGAAATAAATGCTAAAGTTTGGGAAATTTTGTTTCGTTTCAAGTTTAATTCAAATAAAAATTCTATAGTCTTGGAAAATTCTGTTCTGTTTTATTTTAATAAACAAAACAAAATCTTTTAAAAGAGTAATAAATTAAATTACTAGAATATTTACTTAGAAGACTTGCCACAAATTGTGCTAGAATAAATTCACATTTCCTGGCTTTGTTCCTGAATTTTCCTAGAATATTAATTTATAAGTAAACAATACCAATCTTGGTACACCCTCTTGAAGCACTCTTATTGTACATATACATAAAATAATATACTTACTTAATACTCTACTATTTAAATAATGTCTATTAAAAATATACTATGGATTTATACCCTCTTGTTGTTACCTATTGTTACACGTTTTATCTGCAAATTTTGTTTATCCTTTTTGTGTGTTGTACTCGACTCTCAACACCCAACGACCATCGATCTTGAGTTATTTTATGAAATAAACATAAACTTTTGCCCATTGTCGTTCTTAATTCAATTTACTGCTGTTTATTGTTGTCATACTCCCCCGCTGGGTGGGTGTGGAGATACCAGGACACGAGCATTCGCATCTAAATTCATGAGAGTCATTCTGCATATAAAGGATTATCACACGAGACACGAATCAGAGACAATCTTCCAAAGTCATACCATGTTTCGAGTGTGTGTGTGTAGTGCATGTTATACGACGAGATTAGGGCTGTCCAAGATGAGTTCTGTTTCGTTTTTTCCCCCCTTTAGACAGTTACTAATTGTTTGTTGTTGTTTCCATTGTTGTGTTGTTGCTGCTGAGGCATCCCCGAAAATAATAATAATAAAGAAAATAATTAACTAAGCATGCCCGCCCCCTAAGCACCGACATAATCGTATATTGCTTTCGATATTCTCTGTATAATTTTAACTAATTTTGTTTTTTACTTTTCTTACCTTGACGACGACTTCTTTTCACATTTACACAGCAACTCGATGCCTACAAGTCGGATAATCATCGCCTGAAGGAGGAGAACGCCGCGTTGATTAGAGTAATTAGTAAATTAAGTAAATGAAATTATGTTTTACTTTCACAGTGTATATGTATGTCTGAGAACCTATATCATCATCGAGAAGCAACAATTTTACTTTATTAACCAGCTAAAAAGAGAAGGCTGAAAAAAGAAGGAACTAGGGAGAGAGAATGTTTCAAAATTTGTTTATTATTTTTGTGTTAGGCATTTAAGCATTAGGTGAAACCATGTTTCAAATATCGTTGAGAATTGTTTCGTTCGTTTTATATATAAACAAAGCAACAGAAAAAAAAGAAGAAGTAAAGAAATTATGTATTTGGTCAAATTTTATATACGAGAATAGAGAAAATTATAAAAATAAACTTACACAAATCAAGCTTAACTATATTTACACACACACACACACATTGCGATCCAAGGATCCGAGGATCAAAGGAAAACCTTTACATACAAAACTGAGAACATATTCATCAAATGAGCCCTAGTTACAGATTAGTTTAACTACATAATACATGCATATACACGTACGTATATAAATATATATATATATTTTTTCATATATAAATTATATATACACATTACATACTATTATATATCGAATCATAAGTTCAACATTTCAATGTGTAATATCACCATCAAGGATCCAGGCGATGTTCCAAAAGCCACCCAGCCCCACGCGTCAACTTACCAAGTGTAATAATCATTATTACCCATCCAATATCGTAATATTGTGTTTAATCGTGCTGCAGATATCGGTGAAGCTATCCCCAATCCGAGGAGTCATCCTCCATGGCGCTCTTCTATAGATACTTACGTATAAACACGGATAGTTTTCACCGACGAGGATGCATTATTATTTTTATTATCAGAGCGTACGTCTAACTTTAAGCAGACACTTTTAGTTCTCTCCTCTTTGTCACTTTTGAAACGTATTATATACCATATTTGACCTTCGCTTATAACGAAACAAATGATCATACGCATACATATATCTGTTATTTATTAAATTCGCCTAAGAGATATTTTGTGTTACTCGTAAATGGAAACGATAATCAAGCAAGAAAACAAACATTTAAGAACGTGAATTGTGTAATATGTAAAATTGTGTGAGAAAATATTTAAGAAAAATTTGATTCAAATACGAAACTTAATAAATGTGATCGCAAGCAATCATGGCATGTGTCTTAATTTGTTTATCGGGTTGACAAACTAACCATAAAGAATGACTATCGGGGGTTTCTCAGAAGATAACTGTCAATATCTTGGGCTATCTATCTCTCATTCATTCAAGGTTTTCTTTATGGATTTATTTTTTTATTGGGAGCATTAAACAACATTATTATTATTTCATATTCCAGTGATAAGATCTACGTAAAAGTATAGAAAGCTTTCTGGGTATCTCCAAACCACAGGAATTTCTTTTAAATCTTTTTTATATATTTCTAAAAAACAATAAACAAAATAAACTATTAAAAAGGTTAAAAATAACCTGATGCTTGTATGACACTAAAGCAATGCGAGTATGGTCATATTGATTTAAAAACTAATGTGTAGATTGTATTTTCCAAACCCTTGTTTATATTTAAAATATTTCTGTTTAGTTATTTTTGACTCATGAAATTATAAAAATATTTTCTGTAGGGGAAAAACAATCTGAATATGGTCATACTGATTTAACAACTAAAGTATGGATTATGTTTTCAAAACCCCTATTTACATCTAAATTATTTTTAAAAATTATTTTGAACTCTTGAATTTTCTTTATTTTCTTTAAAGACACACTTGAAAATTCTATATTTATTTTCGAGTATTCTTTGTTGTTGTTAAAAAAGCTTCACTATTTCCTTACGATAGCAAATTTATGACTGATGATACCATTTCTGATAAAGAGACCTAGATCACCTGATGCAACCAAATGCAGTTTATGGATGAAGCTTTGGATGCAGTTCTCAGCTATATAAGAAGGCAACAGCTCATTGCAGTTAGTTAATAGTTACTCTGCAGTTTAAACGAAACCTCCAAGATGCAGATAATTCTTGCAATTTTCCTCATTTTTGCTAGTGGTAACCTAGCCTTAGAAACCACCACCACCCTGAAATGCCAAGTGTGCCTAGACGCTAATGATGTTTACTGTCTTAACCAGACCTCATATCAAAATTGCATGAGTAAGTGGAGGAGAGAGTTACGTAAACCCTAGGACTTAAGGCTGTCAACTACTTGTAGAAGGAAAACCCTTTGGCGATGTGGAGGTGTGTCCTACGGGCACCGTTTGCACCAATGATGCTGATGTTTGTGTGGAGAAACCCGATGGAACTACAATCCAGGATGTTTGTGGAGATGCATCCACATGTGAATCTTGTACTGATAGTAACAAGTACACTTGTGTCAGCAGTACTCAATTTGCCAGATGCAAAGGCACCACTCTGGTTACCTCCGCTATCTACAGTTGCGAGGAAGATGAAGTTTGTTACCAAGAAGGTTTAAAGACATATGAAACCATTTGTGTGCCCTCTTGTGCCCTTAATTATGTAGGTATCTTTGCAGTTTACTCGAACTATATTAATTTTTTATGAAATTTTAACGCCAGCTTGATGCAAAACCCTCTTGCACCAACAATGAATTTACCACAACCACAACTACAGCGGCTCCGCCCACAACGCCTAGCGATGATGAGGAACAGGAAATATGCGAGGCGGCAGCCAATCCTTCAACATCCAGCGAAGGCGCAACCACTGCCAGTACATCCACCGCCGACAGCACATCCACCAGCGACAGCACATCCACCACCGCCAGCACAAGCACATCCACCACCGCCAGCACAAGCACATCCACCACCGCTAGCCCTGGAAACAAATTCTTCTATACCAAAAACACATTAGATAACACCTGCAACAGTTATCTGTATTGCCAAAAAGGCCCTAACGACACCAAATGGGCTACAGTTTTCTTAACATGTCTCGCACCCAAGCAGTATTTCGATTCAAAAACCTTGGGTTGTGTGGCAACAAAGCCTGCTGATTGCTCTTAAAATTTGAAACTTTTTATTGAATTTACCCGTTTAAATTGTATTTCAGTTAAACAATTTAGGGATCTTATTTGTCTTGTTTACACGCATTTTGGCCTATAATAACAACAAATATTGTAAAATAATAAATATTTAAATAAAGTTTTGCTTTTGAAAATTAAATAATAAATTCTTGAATACAGTTTTACTTTTAAAAAGTAAACTTACTTAAATGTAAACTTAGTCATTATTAAGTATTTGTAGATATACCTTCGTAGACATATATTTAGATATTAACCTTCAAACCCAGTAGAGATATAGACACGCGCCATTTCTTTTTTAAGCCATAGTTCAAGAAATCATCAAGTCTTGTATAATTTCATACTTTTTTATAACTATATGGCACATTTTTGGAAGACTGATAAGTTATATTATCAACTACCCATAAACAGCTGAAGGTTTCCGCCGAAAATGATTTCTGCAAAGCGAACCTCCCCACTATATAAGACAGAAGATTGCTGTTGGAGATCATATCAGTTTATAGACAACATCATTTCAGACAACATCATCTCTTTGAGTTTCGAAGGAACATGCAAAGGATTATTCCGATCGTAGCCATTGTGGCTTCTCTCTTGGCCTTTGTGGGTGCCCAGATCTGTCAGGAGTGCCAGGCGGACAACGATGTCTACTGCCTCAATCAGACCTCGTATCAAAATTGCATGAGTGAGTCCAGGAAGCAATTGTAGATTCTAGATTTTACCTTCAATATGGATAATTATTGCGTTCCCTAAACCCAGAAAATGCCGCCTTTGGAGCTGTAGAGACCTGTCCCACGGGCACAGTTTGCTCAAATTCCGCCGACGTTTGTGTGGACAGCTCCCAGGTGGATGGCACCACTGTCCTGGACGTGTGTGGCCTTTCGGCAAGCTGTCAAACGTGTAACACAAACAAAAAGTACACCTGTGTCAGCCAGACTCAGTTTGCCCGGTGTTCCTCAAGCGGAGTGGTCTTAAGCTCCAGTGTGTATAGCTGCGAGGAGGACGAAATTTGTATAGAAGCGGGATTAACCTTTTACAACAACATCTGTGTGCCCACTTGTGCAGCCGATTTTGTATGTCCTTTTGGATGATTCTATTGAATATAACTAATAGCTTTTGTCTGTTTTAGGTGGGTTTTACGTCAACCTGTAGCAACAGTGTGTACCAGCCGAGCAGCACGACCACAACAACAGCCTCTCCGGCCACCACCCCCGAGCCTTCAGTGCAAGCCACTGGGTGCACTAAAGCAGCTAATGCGGACGCAAGCCTTAGTTCCGCTTCGTATTTCTACACCTCGTACACAGCGGATGCCACCTGCCGCAGTTACCTGTATTGCCAACGAGCTACTACCGGATGGACCACCGTATTTCTATCCTGTTCCGGTACCAGGCCATACTTCGATCCGACCACCTCTGGTTGCGTGTCAGCCAAGCCAACTGAATGCACTTGAGTTTTTTGTAACCAGTTTATAATGACAAATGTACAGCTTTAAAAAATCAAAAAGTCTTGTAAAATATTAATAAAAAACATCTAAACTTTATTTTATTTTAAAAAACACAAAGATTCTTTCTTTTTTAAAGACATTTACCTTTAACTGTAAACAGGATATTAGGATAAATTAAAGTGAGACGCTTTCCTAAAATATTTTAAATCTCACCTCGAAAAAGCTTCAATATTGCTTTATGATGGCACACTCCTTTGGCTTAAATCAAATCTGGTACACATCTTTATTGCTCGAAGATCGTAATCATAAAGGTTTATGATTTCCAAAAATACTCTGCATTGGTTTAGCTTTGCATTATCTCAGCTATAAAAGAAATGTGCAGTATCAGGAGACCATGTCATTTTGCTGCAATTTTTGTATTAAATTCTGCCATTAGAATGAAAAGAATCTTAAATATATTACTTGTTATATCCTGTGGCTTGGCTTTAACTGCTGCTCAGAACTGCCAGGAGTGTCAAGCGGCCAACGATGTTTACTGCCACAACCAGACCTCGTATCAAAATTGCATGAGTAAGTAAGGGAAAGACTAGCAAAATCCCAAGAAACCTCAAAGATCCATTGTTCCAATTAGGAGGTGCCCCCTTTGGCGATATCCAGCACTGCTCCTCGGGCACAGTTTGCACCAATTCCGACGATCCTTGCAAGGTTATAACTACCACCAATCCAGATATCAAGGATGTGTGTGGCAGCACTGGGGGCAACGGTGCAGGATGCCAAGTGTGTGATGGTACTAGCAAGTACACTTGTGTGAGCAGTACTCAGTTCGCCAGGTGCTCTGGTACCACTCTAATTGATGCCATTACCTACGATTGTGAAACTGGTGAACTGTGTAACATCGAAGCTCTTGTGCCTCACAAAACAGTTTGTGTGCCGTCGTGTGCTCTTAAATTTGTAGGTATCCCTTTGGAATATCGTTTCCCTTTAGACTTATCCTTGAGCTTTGATTTACAGCTGGATATGAAGGCCACTTGCAGTAACGTAGAGTTCACAACGACCACAACAACTGCAGCTCCGACCACGTCGCCCACTCCAGAGGTTCGAAAGACCAAATGTTCGGAAGCAGCAGCGGCTTCGGGAACAACAGCCAAGTTCTTCTACACGAGATACATGGATGATGCCACCTGCCGCAGTTACCTGTACTGTGAACTAGCTGGAAATGATTATGCTACCGTGTTCCTCTCGTGCAAGTTACCCAAGATATACTTCGATTCGAATGTCGGCGAATGTGTGGATACTAAGCCTGCTGAATGCACTTAAAGAAAGGATAATTTAACAAAGATTTTAGCCACAAAATATACATGTGAATCCATGTATTCCTTTGTCTACTTCAAACAGAAATTTTTCATTAAAGTAATTATATAACGGTGTATATTTTTGTCGTAAAAAACCTTGAGAACCTTGAAAATTGTTCTGTTGGATGTTTTCCATAAAAACAGCTTTATGAGATAATATACCAAAAATAAAGTAATACGAGCTGAAAGAGTCTTTGAAGAATACACGTTCGGACGGCCAAATTACAGATAACATGATTCAATTCCCGAAGAAATGGCTATTAACCTTCAAAATCCGGATAATAGTACCTTTTCTAAGACGTTTAGGCAAAAACAAATTGCTGTCAATAGCTGATATGCGGCGGCACCTCTTACCTTCAATATCTTGTTTTATTAGGGAGGATTTTCAACAGCGACGTAGAGCTCCAAATCTGATAAGTAATATTATCAACTAATATCCCCATAAACAGCTGAAGGTTTCCGCCGAAAATGATTTCTGCAAAGCGGAACTCTCCGCTATATAAGACAGCAGATCGCAGCTGGAGATCATATCAGTTTATAGTTTAGTTTAAACTACATCAACGCGTTGAGTTTCAAAGGAACATGCAAAGGATTATTGCGACCATAGCCATTGTGGCTTCTCTCTTGGCCTTTGTGGGCGCCCAGACCTGTCAGGAGTGCCAGACGGACAACGATGTCTACTGCCTCAACCAGACCTCGTACCAGAATTGCATGAGTGAGTCCAGGAAGCAATTGTAGATTCCAGATTTTACCTTCAATATCGATAATTATTGCGTTCCCTAAACCCAGAAAATGCCGCCTTTGGAGCTGTAGAGACCTGTCCCACGGGCACCGTTTGTTCAAATTCCGCAGACGTTTGTGTGGACAGCTCCCAGGTGGATGGCACCACTGTCCTGGACGTGTGTGGAACCACGGGTGGTAATGATGACTGTCAAGTGTGTGCGACAGGTGACAAGTTCTCCTGTGTCAGCAGCACACAGTTTGCCCGTTGCTCCTCCACCGGAGAGCTCATCACCTCCACTGTGTACAGCTGCGACGAAGATGAGGTTTGCATTATCGATTCCTTGAGTCAATTTGGAACTCTCTGTGTGCCCACTTGTGCTGCCGACTATGTAAGTTTTCTCAATGTCACACAATAAGCAAAATATAAACTAATTATTGCTCCGCTCTTAGGTGGGCATGGAGGCAACCTGCAGCAACAGTGTCTACCAGCCGATCACTACTACCGCAGCGCCGGCAACAACGCCCAGTGCCGATCAGAGGCAACAGGCTTGCAGGGATGCGGAGCCCAGTTCCAGTCCCAGTTATTTCTACACGCGAAACTACGATGACTCCGCGTGCAATAGTTATCTGTACTGCCAGAAATCGGGCACCGACAGCTGGGTGGCCCTCTACATGACTTGTTCCGCCTCGAGGCCCTTCTTCGATGTGAGCGTCGGCAACTGTGTTTCGACACGGCCGGCCAGCTGCTCGGATACCACCACGTCTACCTCTACTGTTGCGCCAAGCTCTACTCCTACTGATACTCCAACTGATACTCCAACAGATACTCCAACTGATACTCCAACTGATACTCCAACTGATACTCCAACTGATACTCCAACTGATACTCCAACTGATACTCCAACTGATACTCCAACTGATACTCCAACTGATACTCCAACTGATACTCCAACTGATACTACAACTGATACTCCAACTGATACTACAACTGATACTCCAACTGATACTCCAACTGATACTCCAACTGATACTACAACTGATACTCCAACTGATACTCCAACTGATACTCCAACTGATACTCCAACTGATACTCCAACTGATACTCCAACTGATACTCCAACTGATACTCCAACTGATACTCCAACTGATACTCCAACTGATACTCCAACTGATACTCCAACTGATACTCCAACTGATACTCCAACTGATACTCCAACTGATACTCCAACTAACTAACTCCAACAAATTTAAACATATAAACATAGTTGGGAAATATATGTAATCTAAATAATCATTAAACAATAAAGAAAGCTAACTTTGGCTAGCCAAAGTTTGTATACCCTTGCAGGTAACAATTAAAATTATCATAACTAAGCCAAAAATGCATTAATTTCGATTCGAAAAGCAGTTTTGTGTTAGTATTTATTAATTAAAAAAAACTGCATACCAAATTTAAAATTTTAAGAAATCAAAATTTTTGGCCATTTTTGCTAATTTTAATTATGTAACCCCTTATCAAATTTCGCAAGAATTGCCAAAAAATCGATTTCTTCCGGGCATGTCTAGAAAGATTCGCATATTGATGCTGATCAAGAATATATATGGTTTATGGGGTCGGAAACGTCTCCTTCACTGCGTTGCAAACTTCTGACTAAAATTATAATACCCTGCAAGGGTATAAAAATAAAAAATTTCTTAGACTTAGATATGACTTAATTTCTACTCTGACTAACCACAAATTATCCTAACATCCTTGCAGCACAATAATCACTTTGTTAAATAAAAAATATATTAAAATTAAACAATTAAAAAAAGCGCAAAGTACCTGTGGAATTAGTTAAATAAGTTATAGTTAAATATCAGAATATAATGCAGTAGTTAATGGATACGAGTCCCGAGGTACTCACGTAGCATTTTTATTTTTCCAGATTTTGTATCAAAGTTGAAAGTTGAAACCCCGAATTTTACCAAAAAAACAAGTTACTTTGTTAAATAAAAAAATATTATAAAATAAACATTTAAAAAATGCACTCAAGACGGATTTTTAAAATTGTATAATTTTAATGGTATTAGTAAAAGAAGATATAGCCTAATTTCAACTTTAGCACTTTTAAGGAGAGCGTTTTAAACTTTTTGATAATCATGCATTAAACATCAAACGGCCTCCGTTCAACTATGCATAACTTTATCAATTTTGCTACGATCGATGTGAAACTTTGACAAAATATTCTTAAGATATTGGACAATTACTTTAAGAGAAAAAAAATTAATTACCATACCCTTAATAGAAGCATCACTTTTACGGTGCCAATGCCATTAAATGAAAATCCCTCTTTAACCGACATGTAAACAATCTTTAATAAACATTTAGTAAAATCATAAATCCTAAAAAAAAAATATCAAGTTACTGGTTTGATTAGCTATAGCTACCAGCCTAAGCTCTTAAATACATATGACTACAGTCAGGGACACGATCTTAGGCAGTATAAATCATCAGCTAATGGAGCTCGCTCACATTTGCTCTTGCTCTTCGGGGATTACAAATGGGGTTCTGGGAAAGCCTCGAGATGTTTAGCAATAAATATATGTGCCATGAAATACCATTTGGATATTGGATTTTACAAAACGAATGTGTTTAGAACAGCTCGCGTCATAAGTATATGCTTGTATGTACAGTCATTGGTTTACGCTAAAAGTAAAAGCATTTTCGAAATAATCAAATCATATTCTCGGGACCTTGATATTGTGTGTGCATGCTGCGGCTTCTGCTGCTGCTGCTGTGTCGTCGAAATTAATGGGTTATGTTCTGTACATTGATGGCCGTAAACACTTGGACACACAGATGCACACACACACACACGTCAGCGCGTCTAAATATACATACGGATACAAACATATGCCCCCACTCGAATATGATATGCCGCCGGCTGATTTATCTAGCGCACACGGCTGTTCCCAGGAGCAACGGAGCAAGGGGGTTAGCCAGCACACATTTGAGAAATCCTATTTCATTGCTAGCAGTACACTACGTACACAAACACAGTTCTGGCTTACGTTCTACGAGAGAATTTACAATAAAAGTTTTCGCTTAATTATCTTAATATTTCGGCAAAGACAAAGCCCTGCCTCCGCCGGCGCCGGCTGTCATATAGCCACCATATAGCATTGGCAGCGATTGTCGCGGCAATTAAACATTAAATCAAATGAATTGCAGATGCGCCGCGGATAAGGGGGGCAAGCAGATGCGGTCCGCAGCCAGACACTGCGGCTAGTTAGTTGGCCAGCCCAGTCCGGCCCACATCTAAATGCGCAAATGGAAATTCTGGCCATTGACGACGCACGATCGGCCTGGTACGCTGTACGTGGGCAGCGGCGAGTGCACAAACTGCAAGAAGAAGACACACGGGAAACGGATTATGGGAAATGATGGATGATGTGTGGCTGCTGGCGGCTATGCCTGAGTACGAACCTTTGGCGCCCGCTGCGAGGTCCCCATGTAGCCGACGCAGAAGGACTGGGTCGTGTGGCTCCACATCACCTCGCCGCTGCTCTGGCCCGGATAATAGAGCAGGGTCAGGGCCCCGGCATAGAGATCCTGCTGCCGAGGCAGCAGCGGGGAGTCGAGGAACTTTTGCTTGAACGTCCGGTGTAGACTCGTCACCGCACAATCGTTGCTGAAGGCCCCGTTGCAGATCTCTCGGGCCAGGAGCGTTTTCATCAGGTACTCACCGTTGCCGGTGGTGCAGGTAGCCACGGCCAGCTTATCGGTATCGGTGGCCCAGCAGCCGGCTCCGTACGTGGCCGCCTGGCCCACCCGTCCGGGAACCTTGAGCAATATGCCGCCAGAGCTGCAGCCCGCTGCAGTATTACCAGCGCCATCAACGCACACAGCGCCCACGGTGTCCAGGGCGGCGGCTAGCTCCACCTCGGCGCCGGGCTCGGGCACTGGCCCCGGCACCGGCTCTTCGGAGGCCTCCTTGCCCGACCTGCAGTTCATCACCATATCGTATTTGCTCTTGTAGTGATTGAACTGGAACTTGGCCTTCGAAGAAATCAGAACGGAGGGATCGACCATGGAGCAGCCCACCTCATCGGCATACCGTTCGGCTCCAGTGCCGGCGAGAATCATCGGTGGAATGCGCTCCAGTAGCTGTGGACTGGCCTGGGCGTCGCAGATACGTCGGGCCAGCTGGATGGGATTTTTTACCCGGCTGACGTTCGTGCAGGCACCAAAGTTTAGGGTGGATCCGTCCATAATCGCCGCGTCGCACTGCACGGATCCGTCCAGGCAGAGATTGGAGCCGAAGCCGGCGTTCGTGTAGCCGCAGTTCTCCAGCCGGACGATGGCCGCCTCACAGGCATCCACGGCGGAGCCGCCGTTGCGCAGTATCTCCGTCGCCCGCAGGCACGCCTCCTTGATCACCCGCTGGTACTTGGTCTCGTCTATGCAGTTGCCAGCCCCTGAAAACGGATGGCGGCCATCAATCATCTGGCCGTCGGTCGGGGCGGATCCGTGTATACAAACCTGTGTGCACCGCCACAAAGCCGGCCATCTCACTCTCGTTGTTTATGCTGGCGCGCTGTGCTGTTGTTGTTGGCCCAACCGAAATCCGTGCTGAGTGTACGGCGTAAACAAATTCGGTGACCAGAGTGACCAGGCGGAGGCACCGAAAAAATGTGTTGATACAATAATACTGGCAGATCCAAGAATCCGGAAAATATACTGGAAAATATGTTCATATAAAATGCACCGTTATATTGTAAATATTTACAAGTGAAGCACGGTTCAGAAAGGGACTGTCTGCGGACTGAAAAATATTTATTCTTTTGAAATTTGACCGCTTTTCAAAGATTACTTTTGAAAACAGTTTATTTGAGAGATCAGTCATCGCAGTAGAGTTATCGGCTCATTTTCGATAATCCCAACATCTGGTATTAACTGGCTTATCACGCTCTGGTCACACTGAATGTGGTTTTTTGCAAATAAAATATTCGCACACAAAAGTAAGCACTTTACCAATGAAATGTGTACTATATAAGTGATTAAAATACCTGTTCGATCCATCCCAATGCCAAGCCAAACGAGTGCACACCTCCAAAGCGAGTAAAATGGAAAGAAAGTGAAGTGATTGGCTCCAACAACTGTTTGTGTGTGTTTGTACTTAGTGACGTGCGCTCGCTGCGCTGCTACTGCGCTGCCTCGACTGCAACGCAAAAACGCAACAAAAATTTGTGAATAATTTGGAATATCTAGAATTATACGCGTAGAATAGCAGCAGCTGGACAGGGACAGGAATGGAAAAGTTTCCGCTTAAGGGCAGCAGAGAGGCTGCGGCGGAGGGCAACAGCTACATAACCGCCTACCAGACGGTGATGAAAAAGGTACGCAGCCCACATACGTGATAAGCCCAGGTGGGCCTTAACCCCATCGCCATCACATTACGCACAAAAACACGTAAATAGGTGGTGTCTTTGGCTTGAATATTTTGTGTTAAAAATAATCATTATGTTATCTATTAAAAAGCCGTTTAAATTAATTATAAAAGAAACCGGAAACTATCTTAGAAATAACAGAATCAGTTCAATTTCTTCTTAAACTCTTTGAGTTTACTTATCACTTGAGAATTCACACGAAATTTACTCACCACAGATTTAGCCCAGCTTACTGCCCAGCGATAGTTTCATTCGCTCGAGTAATCACATTATCCGGATCCAAAAACATCTGACACAAGGGGGCGGAAATGCTAGAAATTATTCAGAATTTCACGCACAGATGTGTGTATTGTATGCCGATCCTAATCTTATCAGTTTCAATGCATAAACAAAGCGCCCATAAATCCCCCTGAGATCCCCCGAAAGCCATATCTGATATCTGATTTGGGTTTCGTTATTTTCTCTCTTCCAGTCGAACGGCCACACGAACGGAGCTACGGGCGACAGTGACGGTAGCTTCCACGACCATCCGCTGGCGCAGCACTCTAAGCTGACCACTTCGCTGACAGCGACGGCGGGCACAGACGAGGAGGATATGATCGACATCACACCGCGTTCTAGTCCGGGCGATGTAATCGGTGGCGGCATCGGTGGAGGAGGCGGAAGCAGTAGCGGCTATCACCGGGAAACGGCCACCGAATCGGATACTGAGCGAGAGTTTGGACACTCAGGTGGCCACAGTCAGCGAACAATGCACCAGCATGTGCCAACTCACAGTGCCTTCGGTGATCCCATGGACGGTGAGTTCAGAAGTGAGAGAGAGGGCGAGAGCGAGAGATCGGGATCCCATTGCGCAAAGCGTCTGCTGTCTGCGGTGTTAATCAAGATCATGATCATATGAGTACGCTCCGCTTTTTCGGTGGCGTGGCACACAGCTGTACTTGCTCCAAGTGGGGAATTCAATTCAATTAATATCCACGATCATTAGCAATCAGACATATGTGCATAATTGCGGCCTCAGGGGAATCAATTCCCTGTTTGGACAAAGAGTAAAGGCACGATAGGTAAACACAGTGCTCCATAGTTTAGTCACGTGATGCTAATTCATGATATTAAGTGACTTAACCAACTGGCAGAGCTGTTTATTTGAATGAAAATTAAATGTATTGTATGAATGTGTTGGGTAAATACACTAATTCACATATATATAAACTCGATAGCAGCCGAATTATGATGTTAGCAAATGGAGCTCAAATCGGGGAATATAACTCTCTGTTTACAGAGTCGTAATTGCCAGGAAGAAGAAATTACCCACAAGAAACAATCAAGTAAATCAAGAATATAATAGTCAAGTATCCCTGTGCCCCCAATGTAAGTGAACCTGAATCTGAACTTTGATCATTGCTAACGAACATGAAGAATCCAAGCTTGTGTTGTCAAAATGGAGATAATTTATGTGCTTATGTTTTTATCTTTAGGAGCACTGTCCTTCTATGGCTCCTCGGATGTGCAGGATGATATTCCGGGGATTGGTCAGTATGAGGATTTCCATACCATCGACTGGCAAAGGGACATTGCTCGAGATCGGATGCGACATCGCTACATTGTGAAGAAGCGGCAGGACTCGCTGTGGGATTTGATCAAGGTAGGAAGCTGCTTTTTTTTTGACCATAACAGAACTTATCTTTATATTGTGCTTCCAGGGCTCCATTGATGCCGGATCTGGGTGGTTGTGCGTTCTACTCGTCGGCATTGCCGCTGGCTGTGTGGCCGGCATGGTGGACATTGGCGCCAGTTGGATGTCCGACCTGAAGCATGGTATTTGTCCACCCGCCTTTTGGTTTAATCGAGAGCAGTGCTGTTACCCGGCCAAGCAATCGGTGTTTGAGGAAGGCAACTGCTCGACGGTGAGTTGTGTGCTGCCTTAATAGTAACGGAATAACTTGATGCGCCGTCTTCTCTTATAACAGTGGAAGACCTGGCCGGAGATATTTGGCCTGGATCGAAATGGCACCGGACCGTATATCGTCGCCTATATTTGGTATGTGCTTTGGGCACTGCTGTTCGCCTCTCTCAGCGCCTCACTGGTGCGGATGTTCGCCCCATACGCCTGCGGATCGGGTATACCGGAGATCAAGACCATCTTGTCGGGCTTCATCATACGCGGCTACTTGGGCAAGTGGACGCTGCTGATCAAATCAGTGGGTCTGATGCTCTCTGTGTCCGCTGGCCTTACGCTGGGCAAAGAGGGACCTATGGTCCATATTGCCAGCTGTATTGGCAACATATTCTCGCACGTTTTCCCCAAATATGGAAGGAACGAGGCCAAGAAGCGTGAGATTCTATCAGCAGCAGCGGCGGCCGGCGTTTCAGTGGCTTTCGGAGCACCAATTGGAGGAGTTTTGTTCTCGCTGGAGGAGGTATCCTATTACTTTCCCCTGAAGACCTTGTGGCGTTCCTTCTTTTGTGCCCTGATCGCCGCTTTCGTGCTGCGATCGCTGACTCCATTTGGCAATGAGCATTCCGTGCTTTTCTTTGTGGAGTATAACAAACCGTGGATTTTCTTTGAGCTCATTCCCTTTGTTTTCCTGGGAATAATGGGGGTAAGGTTCTTTTGTTTACTTACTTTTTGATACATTTTAATAGTTTTTGGTACATTTTCAGGGTGTGATTGGTACGTTTTTCATCAAGGCGAACTTGTGGTGGTGCCGCTATAGGAAATTCAGCAAGCTGGGCCAGTATCCCGTCATGGAGGTGCTCTTTGTGACTCTGGTCACTGGCATCATCTGCTACCCGAACCCCTTTACCCGCATGAACATGAACGAGCTGATCTTCCTGTTGGTCAGCAAGTGCTCGCCCGGCGATGTCACCAATCCCTTGTGGTGGGTTTCAAATATTTTACAATTATTTTGTAAATTATCTCTATTAATTTAAAAAAATTTTTTTCTTTTAGCGAGTACAAACGCATGAACATTACGATGGGCAACAGTATCATTGAGGTCACAGAGCCTGGCCCTGGCGTCTACAGCTCCATTTGGCTGCTGATGCTCACCTTTATACTCAAGCTGGCTCTGACTATCTTCACATTTGGCATGAAGGTGCCGGCGGGTTTGTTTATTCCGTCCCTGCTGCTGGGCGCCATCATGGGCCGCATTGTGGGCATTGGCGTGGAGCAGTTTGCTTACAGCTACCCAAATATCTGGTTCTTTACCGGTGAATGTGCGGACAGCAATCTAATTACGCCCGGACTGTATGCGGTGGTGGGTGCGGCAGCTGTTCTGGGCGGTGTCACACGCATGACGGTCTCCCTGGTGGTGATCATGTTTGAGCTGACGGGCGGAGTGAGATATATTGTGCCACTGATGGCCGCTGCCATGGCCTCCAAGTGGGTGGGCGATGCTTTGGGCAGGCAGGGCATCTACGATGCGCACATTGCGCTGAATGGTTATCCGTTCCTGGACAGCAAGGAGGAGTTTGCGCACACAACTCTGGCAGCGGATGTTATGCAGCCAAAGTGAGTAAATTTAGTAGAACAAAGGAGCTTTATACATTTTATTTACTTTATTTACATTTCAGACGCAATGAAACCCTAAATGTCATCACCCAAGACTCCATGACGGTGGACGATGTGGAGAACCTGCTTAAGGAAACGGAACACAATGGTTATCCGGTGGTGGTGTCCCGCGAAAATCAATACTTGGTGGGCTTTGTGTTGCGCAGGGACCTGAACTTGGCCATAGGTGAGCGTCTCACTCATCCTCAAGCTGGTGTTTCCCTAGTTAACCTGAGTTATCCCTTCCAGGCAATGCCAAGCGTCTTATTGAGGGTATTAGCAGCAGCTCCATAGTATTATTTACCTCTACTCAGCCCACGCAAAACCTGGGACCGCAGCCTCTCAAGTTAAAGAAGATCCTGGACATGGCACCTATCACGGTGACGGATCAAACGCCGATGGAAACGGTGGTGGATATGTTCCGTAAGCTGGGACTGCGCCAGACGCTAGTGACACACAATGGGTGAGTGTGCTCTCCCTGGAAACCAGTAACAAGTAACTACAATTCTCTATCTTTGTTTGCAGTCGCCTGCTCGGCGTGATTACAAAGAAGGATGTGCTGCGGCATGTAAAGCAAATGGATAACGAAGACCCCAATACAGTTCTCTTCAACTGAATTTATCATCAGCCAATCAGCCGCTTCTAGTTATTATTATTATTATCGCGAAACCAACTATATTTGATATGTGCAAAGTGCAGATTGCAATCTAGGCTTAAGTGAAAAGTAGAACAGAGTGTGGAGTGATCGGAATGAACGGACTGAAGCTAGCAGATTGGGCGTGAGAGATTTAGCAAAATTGTGTGTGCAGTTCTATTATATATTTATACATATATCGCGTATATCTCGTTAATGTTAATTGTATAATTTATTTATTACGCTAGGCAAGTGTCTATATAGGCAGGCCATTTTGTAATTACGTCTTTGTAAACACTCGTACGCAACACACATTATTTTTACATGTCCACCATGATACCACAAGCCTGCGGATGAGGAGTAAGTAGAGAATCTTTTATTTTTATCGAGATCCCCAAGAAAAAGAAACTGCTTATTTTAATGCAATATTATCAAGCTTTAAGTTTTCTTCTGCATTTTGTTTTTTTGAAATTATACACAAAGAAAGTCTTGTTTATACAAATGAAATTATATATAGTCTATATCTACATGTGGTATTTGTTAGAGATCTGGAGAAATTTTAAAATAAACTCGTGTAAATAGCAATCCTAAGAGAAGAAGATAGAGCCGTACACATTAACATTAAGCAGTCATTGCAAATATAAGCGATTATTTCAAAAACTGACAACCTGATATTTTCAATATATTCGATATGACTTATTAACGTTCCACGTAAAAGATTTGGAACTCGTCGCCATAGAGACCTGTGATTAGCCAGCAGCTGGAAACGAACTTACTTTAGTTCAATTTTAGTTCCTTTCGACCTACCCTTACCCATTATCGCTGCTTCGGATAATACTGCCTTTGCCGCGCAGTGCTCCCTTGACATGAGCCTGGGCACCATCGCTCACCCTGTAATACTCGAGGGCTCCATCGCTGGCAGGACAGTAGATGATGTTGCCATCCCGGCTGCAGGCGATGACATTCTTAAAGGGTAAAGGTATCTGCACTATCACCTGCGCCATATCCTAGAGAGTAAGGTATTAAGCAGAGTTAATGGTCAACTAAAGGATGTGGCATTACCTCATCTGTGAGTCGCAGATCGTGAAAGAAGGCCTGGCCGCTGAGATCGCAGCTAAGAACAAACGGGTTTCCCTCCATTTCCGTGCGTATAAGAGTAGAGACCATGAACCGATGCTGTCTAAGGGCCAACAGTTGGATTTGGCGCCCTGTGCCCCAACACCTATAAATGCCACCATCGTTGGTGCCCAGCACAAAGTCATCAAGCCCCAAGGCCACCATGGCTGTGGGCTCCGAGGTAACCGAGGCGGGCAGAGAGTACCTAAAGAGATCCATTAATTAGGGTTCCATTTACACAAAAGCACTCACTCCCAGTCCAGAGACATCTGTTTGGTCAAGTCCCAGCGGCGAACACTTCCGTTGGCATAGCACGCCATCAGTAGGTTTTCCCGGGGCCAGTCCAGAGCCACAGCCGCTCCTTGGGCAGAGGACAAACTGTGAAGCTGCCTGATGTCCACGTTGCCATCACCACCAGAGCCTCTAGCCTGCTCATACAGCCAGACGAAGAGCTCTCCGTCCATCGTAGAGCCGGCAAACATGTTCTTGTTGAAGGGATTCGTGCAGAGACTTTGTAGGCAGGACTTCAAGGGTAGGGTCTTGGCTTCTTTAAAGAACACATAGTTTCCATGGGACATCCTTTGGGGAACGAACAGCTTCAACTGTTGGTCTACATGCTCGCACCAGTCGTCGTGGGGAGCCACCGTGGTTGCCACCAGGACTGGAGCATTGTTGGTGTGCACGCTCAGCCAGATGGCCAGGCCCTGTGAGTTTTCCGCTCCGCCCATGGCCAGTTTCTGGTAGGTGAACACTTGCAGTTCCTCCTCCAACCGGCATTGGCTCATCGTTAGATCCTCCATCAGCGGAGTAGGATTCATCAGTTCCCGCTCCACTATGGGGCATATCTGGCGCAACCACTTGGCCAGAGCCCGTTCATCGTACTCTACGTCTTTGCTGCTGATTTTTAATAATTGCTCCGTTTGAGTTGCCATGTCCAGTTTCTCCTGTGTTCCGGTGGCGGTGTCCCGGTTGGGAGGCGGCGGATCAGTGCCTGTGCAGTTGTCGACCAGCGCATATTGCTTCTCCAGCGGCTGGGTAGCCGGAAATTCGACCACCGGCGAGTTGTAATGCGATAGAACGTCCATGTTTCATGTGTTTTCTTCCACTGAAAACCAATGTGTTTGGGCTTTGGGACTTCACTTTAGGTAGCCATGGCAACCGATAGAATCCACTTGTATGCTTGCTTAAGTGGGAACTTCTCTGGAGATCCTTTCCTTTCTCTTAATGCTCTTCCTCTTAAAATGTACTAATTTAGTTTTAATTGTATTCTTATTCTTAGTTTATATGAAATATATTTTCTATATAATTATTAATGTATAAATATTTTCATAAATTTGTTAGCCAATGAGCACAATAAAAAAAGGTAGCGACAACCCACTAAATAAAAAAATACAACCATTAAGTCTCCAATTTAAGCAGGCTTGGCTTTCATCAGTCACTTGAAGGCTGTCATCATTAGCAGGATTAATTTCAGGCGAGACAACTTTTAAGGAGCGAAGAAAATTAAGTGAAAATGTTGGTGACTTGGGGAAGATTGGCCACAGGTAAGCCCAACATGCTGACCATTATCCCTCCTTTATCTAATTGTTAGAGTCCATGTCAGCCTGTGCCAGAATCGGGCTCCAAATTGGCCACCAGAATGGGGGTCACTTCAGAGGCCTGCAGCGCAAACTGGCTCAGGTCCCCCTCCTTGACCATGCTCGCTTCCTTCATGCATCCTTGGTGCGGTGCGACGATAAGGACAACCTGAGTGACGAGTGCAAACCCGAGCCAAAGGATGTCTGTGAGAACGAAGAGGATGTCAAGGAAAAGGATACTGGCGATGATGAAAAGTCCGGCGACGGAGTCAAGAAACTGAAGGGCAAGGGTCGTGAAGGCGTAATTCATGCTGTCATCGGTCCCGTCATCGATGTGTACTTCCCGGACGAAATTCCGGAGAATCTGAATGCTATGGAGGTGGTTGATGCGCCGATCGGACGCCTGGTGGTGGAGGTGTGATATTATTTTCGGTTTCTTTCTAATTTTAATTTATTTCCCATTAATTTCTATAATAGTTTATTAATTTACTATATTTCGTTCGTTTAGGTCTTCCACCACCTAGGTAACAATGTGGTGCGCTGCGTAGCCATGGACTCCACGGAGGGTCTTAAGCGCGGCCAGAAGGTCATCGACTCGGGCTACCCGATCCGTGTCCCGGTGGGCAACGCCGTCCTGGGTCGCATCCTCAACGTGGTGGGCGATCCCATCGACGACCGCGGGGAGATCAAGGCGGATAAATACTCATTCATCCACAACGAGGCTCCCGAACTGGTCGACCTGACCGTCCACCCAGAGATCCTGGTCACTGGCATCAAAGTGATCGACCTGCTGGCCCCCTATGTCAAGGGCGGCAAGATCGGTCTGTTCGGCGGCGCCGGAGTGGGTAAGACCGTGCTCATAATGGAGCTTATTAACAACATGGCCAAGTCCCACGGTGGATACTCGGTTTTCGTGGGTGCCGGAGAGCGCACCCGCGAGGGCAACGATCTCTACCACGAGATGATCGAGTCGAATGTCATTTCCCTGGAAGACGACTCCTCGAAGGTGGTGCTGATATTTGGTCAGATGAACGAGCCGCCCGGCGCCCGATCCCGCGTGGTGCTCACGGGACTGACCATCGCCGAGTACTACCGGGACATTGATGGCCAGGATGTGCTGCTCTTCATCGACAATATCTTCCGCTTTATTCAGGCGGGCTCAGAGGTGTCTGCCCTGCTCGGCCGCATACCCTCGGCGGTGGGTTATCAGCCCACTCTTGGCACCGACATGGGTTGCATGCAGGAGCGCATCACCAGCACCCGCAACGGCTCCATCACCTCCGTCCAGGCTGTCTATGTGCCCGCCGATGATCTCAGCGACCCGGCGCCAACCGCCACATTCGCTCACTTGGATGCCACCACCGTGCTGTCGCGTCCCATCGCCGAGTTGGGCATTTACCCGGCTGTGGATCCCCTGGACTCCTCCTCGCGCATCCTCGATCCCGACATTGTAGGCGAGGAGCACTACAACGTGGCCAGAGCGGTGCAAAAGACACTGCAGGCCTACAAGTCGCTGCAGGACATCATCGCCATCCTGGGCATGGACGAGTTGTCTGAGGAAGATAAGCTGACGGTGGCCAGGGCCCGGAAGATGCAGCGCTTCCTCTCGCAGCCGTTCCAAGTGGCCGAGGTCTTCACCGGGCATCCCGGTAAGTTGGTGCCTGTAGAGAAGACAGTCGAAGGCTTCAAGCGGCTCCTGAACGGGGAGTACGACGATATCCCAGAGATCGCCTTCTACATGGTGGGCGACGCTGAGGAAGTGCTGGCCAAGGCCACTCAACTGGCCTCCTCCATGCAGCCGGATGCAGCTTCTAAGGCGCCGAAAGGAAAGGAGGGAGAGGCCAAGAAGGATGATAAAAAGAAGGAAGGGAAGGAGGAGGAGCAACCGAAAGGAGATGCTAAAATAGAGGAGAAAGGAGAAGCCAAGGAAGAAGACAAAAAGGATGACAAAGACAAGCCCAAAGAGGACTAGTGATTCAATGGATAACAGCATCGAACACTGGAAAATGGGACATTTTCTGTTACTATTGCCTTTTCTCACTAGTAATTATTAACATTAATTATAATTTATAAATAATACAAATATTTTAATATTAAAAATAAATTCAAGACAACGAACAGAAGGATTGGAAACAAATGCCAGTGCAATTGGTTGGCCATTTCGAGTACCTGGCGGAAGGGGGTAAAGGTTAGGGTAATATCAGCCGTTTTGTTAGCTAGGAAGGAATGCAGTTTTCTTACTCAGAAAAAGCAGATCGCAGGATGGCATAGAAAATTTGTTGATACATGATTGGGATCAAATCCTAGCGTAAATTGTTCGCCATTCCCATTTCGAGTACCATGATAACATAAAGCTGTCGGCCAACGGTGCTGACGTCATTGGTGGATTGTGGGAGAGACCTTGGTGAATGTCATTATATATTTTATTTGTTATTTTAAAATATTTGTCTTTTATAATAACTATATTACAAATTAGTAGTAAGAAAAGCTAGTAGCTAATTTATTTTCCCATTTTCCAGTGTTCGATGTTTGAATCACTAGTCCTCTTTGGGCTTGTCTTTGTCATCTTTCTTGTCCTCTTCCTTGGCTTCTCCTTTCTCCTCTATTTTGTTGTCTCTTTTGGCCTCTCCTATCGGTGGCTCCTCCTTCCCTTCCTTCTTTTTATCATCCTTCTTGGCCTCTCCCTCCTTTCCTTTCGGCGCCTTAGAAGCTGCATCCGGCTGCATGGAGGAGGCCAGTTGAGTGGCCTTGGCCAGCACTTCCTCAGCGTCGCCCACCATGTAGAAGGCGATCTCTGGGATATCGTCGTACTCCCCGTTCAGGAGCCGCTTGAAGCCTTCGACTGTCTTCTCTACAGGCACCAACTTACCGGGATGCCCGGTGAAGACCTCGGCCACTTGGAACGGCTGCGAGAGGAAGCGCTGCATCTTCCGGGCCCTGGCCACCGTCAGCTTATCTTCCTCAGACAACTCGTCCATGCCCAGGATGGCGATGATGTCCTGCAGCGACTTGTAGGCCTGCAGTGTCTTTTGCACCGCTCTGGCCACGTTGTAGTGCTCCTCGCCTACAATGTCGGGATCGAGGATGCGCGAGGAGGAGTCCAGGGGATCCACAGCCGGGTAAATGCCCAACTCGGCGATGGGACGCGACAGCACGGTGGTGGCATCCAAGTGAGCGAATGTGGCGGTTGGCGCCGGGTCGCTGAGATCATCGGCGGGCACATAGACAGCCTGGACGGAGGTGATGGAGCCGTTGCGGGTGCTGGTGATGCGCTCCTGCATGCAACCCATGTCGGTGCCAAGAGTGGGCTGATAACCCACCGCCGAGGGTATGCGGCCGAGCAGGGCAGACACCTCTGAGCCCGCCTGAATAAAGCGGAAGATATTGTCGATGAAGAGCAGCACATCCTGGCCATCAATGTCCCGGTAGTACTCGGCGATGGTCAGTCCCGTGAGCACCACGCGGGATCGGGCGCCGGGCGGCTCGTTCATCTGACCAAATATCAGCACCACCTTCGAGGAGTCGTCTTCCAGGGAAATGACATTCGACTCGATCATCTCGTGGTAGAGATCGTTGCCCTCGCGGGTGCGCTCTCCGGCACCCACGAAAACCGAGTATCCACCGTGGGACTTGGCCATGTTGTTAATAAGCTCCATTATGAGCACGGTCTTACCCACTCCGGCGCCGCCGAACAGACCGATCTTGCCGCCCTTGACATAGGGGGCCAGCAGGTCGATCACTTTGATGCCAGTGACCAGGATCTCTGGGTGGACGGTCAGGTCGACCAGTTCGGGAGCCTCGTTGTGGATGAATGAGTATTTATCCGCCTTGATCTCCCCCGCGGTCGTCGATGGGATCGCCCACCACGTTGAGGATGCGACCCAGGACGGCGTTGCCCACCGGGACACGGATCGGGTAGCCCGAGTCGATGACCTTCTGGCCGCGCTTAAGACCCTCCGTGGAGTCCATGGCCACGCAGCGCACCACATTGTTACCTAGGTGGTGGAAGACCTAAACGAACGACAATATAGTAAATTAATAAACAATTAAAGAAATTAATGGGAAATAAATTAAAATTAGAAAGAAACCGAAAATAAAATCGCACCTCCACCACCAGGCGTCCGATCGGCGCATCAACCACCTCCATGGCATTCAGATTCTCCGGAATTTCGTCCGGGAAGTACACATCGATGACGGGACCGATGACAGCATGAATTACGCCTTCACGACCCTTGCCCTTCAGTTTCTTGACTCCATCGCCGGACTTTTCATCATCGCCAGTATCCTTTTCCTTGACATCCTCTTCGTTCTCACAGACATCCTTTGGCTCGGGCTTGCACTCGTCACTCAGGTTGTCCTTATCGTCGCACCGCACCAAGGATGTATGAAGGAAGCGAGCATGGTCATGGACGGGGACCTGAGCCAGTCTGCGCTGCAGGCCTCTGAAGTGACCCCCATTCGGGTGGCCAATTTGGAGCCCGATTCTGGCACAGGCTGACATGGACTCCACCAATTAGATAAAAGAGGTATAATGGTAAGCATGATGGGCTTACCTGTGGCCAATCTTCCCCAAGTCACCAACATTTTCACTTAATTTTCTTCGCTCCTTCAAAGTTGTTTCGAAATTAATCCTGCTAATGATGACAGCTTCAAGAGACTGATGACAGCCCAGCCTGCTTAAATTGGAAATGTATGGGTTGTCACATTTATGGTGTTAACAATACTTTCTATTTAACCTTTTCATGAATAGAATATTAGAATATTTTGAATAAAAGGGAATATAGTCCAGCATTAAAAACGGTATATTGAAGATCATAGAGCAAAATTTATTTAAAATAACATGTTAACTTAATAATTACATTTTTAATTATTTTTTTATTCTGGCAGGATTTAAGCGTATAATAAAATTGTGTCGAATATTAATTTAAGTTTAGACGGTTTATGTCTAGTAAATGTTAATAAATGCTTTCGTTGAAAGATGAAATGATGTATAAAATAAAAACCTATAGTACTCCAAATTATGTAAAAACAAAAACTTAAAATTAAAATATAAGAAATATTTTTTTTACAACATTTTTTATAAAATAAAAACTAATAATATTTTATGGAGGATGAAATTATTTATAAAATAAAAACTAAAATTTATCTGAAAATAAGAAACTTAAAACCAAAAATATATAAAATAACTATAAGAATTGTACAATTGTAGAAATTTGTTTATAGTAAAAATGTAAAAGTAAAATATCAATAAAATAATTTCTTTTATGTTTACGTAAATTCGTACTTACGATCCACACCCGCATACACAGTGTAAACGGCACTTACGTTCCACACACACTGTGCCGGCGCTGTTACGTTTGCTCTCTTCCTCTTCTTCGGCTGCAAAATGCTTCGTGTTTTCAATTTTCGCATTGGAAATCGCTTATATTGTGTGAATGCGGCTAGGAAAGATGCAAAAAAGTACACAGACACCATTAACCTGCCGAGGACGAAGTTTCCCAACCGTCTGACAGCAGCCAAACGGGCGGAACAGGAGCGTCTGGTCTTGGAGGTAGGTTTCTGGTGACCCTCAGCTGAGAAATATTCAATTTAGACGTGGTGTTTTTCTTGTAGGGGAAGATTGCAGTGTCCTATGAATACCAAGAGCAGCAGCAGGAACTGGAAAAAAGGCTACCCACCTTTGTGCTGCACGACGGGCCACCCTACGCCAATGGCCAACTGCACATGGGCCATGCCGTCAACAAGATCCTGAAGGATGTGACGCTGCGACAGCGAGTGGCCCATGGCCAGCAAGTCAACTACATTCCCGGCTGGGACTGTCACGGCCTGCCCATCGAGCTGAAGGCCACGAGTGCTGCTCCGGGGCAAAATGCCCTGGAAATCCGGCAAAAGTGTAAGTGATTCCTTGACTTGCAGCACTTGAAATCATTTAAAAATGCTTCTTGCAGCCCGCGCCTTTGCCTTGGAGGCCATACAGTCGCAGAAGGAGGAGTTCAGCAGCTGGGGTATACTGGCCAACTGGCGCAAGAACGATATATACATGACCTTCCAGCCAGAATTTGTAGTCAATCAACTGCAGATGTTCTGCGATCTCTATGACAGGGGTTTGGTCTATCGGGACTTGAAGCCAGTCTACTGGTCACCATCGTCCAGGTAACATGTGTAACACCTTGGAGAGTTAAAGATGTACCTATCGGTCTTCCATTAGAACAGCACTGGCGGAGGCGGAACTGGAATATGACCCCAGCCACACAAGTCCCTCGGTCTATGTCAGATTTGCCCTCAACCCAGACGGACTTGAAGTAGACGCCAAGCAGATTTATGCACTCGTATGGACCACAACTCCCTGGACACTGCCGAGCAATCAAGCCATCTGCTACAACGAGTCTCTGGAGTACGTGTTGGTGAGGCTCCAAGGCCACAGCCCAGACGACCTATATCTCATGGCCTCGGCTCTAATGGCAGACTTCGAGGCCAACACGCAGCTCAAATGCGAGGTGATCCACACCCTGAATAGCAGCTCCTTAAGCAAGCTTACCTACAAGCATCCCATAGACCAGGAACAGTCAGACTTGCCCTTCTTCGAAGCCAGCCATGTGCAGGATAGCAAGGGCACGGGTTTGGTTCACACAGCACCTGCCCACGGGCCGGAGGACTTCCTGGTCAGTTTGGCCAGAAAAATACCCGTCAAGTGCTTGGTGAACGAGGAGGGTGTTTACACCAAGGAGGCTCCCAGCTTTCTAAGCGGACAATCAGTACTGGATCAAGGAAATCCTTTAGTCCTACAGCACATAGCCAGGGATGTGGTACATTCCGCCAAGCTGGAGCATTCGTATCCCATAGATTGGCGCACCAAGCAGCCGGTGATCATTCGGGCCAGCGAGCAATGGTTCATCAACACGGAGAAACTAAAGACCCCGGCTGCCGAGGCACTGGAGCGAGTTGAGATCTATCCCCGAACAAATGCCGAGGCCAGCAAAAAGGCATTGCTCACGCAGCTGCAAAAGCGTCCCTACTGGTGCGTTTCCCGGCAGCGGGCGTGGGGCGTTCCCATACCCGTTTTTTACAGCAGGGAAAGTGGCAAAGTGGTTATAAGTTCTGCTTTAATAGAACACCTCTGTCAGTTGTTGCGTCAAGAGGGTTCCATGGACTTTTGGTGGTCTAGGAAGATAGAGGAACTTGTACCGGCTGATATTGCCCAAGAACTAGGCTATGACATCAAAGATCTGATCAAGGGAAGTGATATTCTGGACATTTGGTTTGACTCTGGCAGCACTTGGTCGGCAGTGCTAAAGAAGGATAAAGTGGCTGATCTTTATCTGGAGGGATATGACCAATTCACAGGCTGGTTTCAGTCCTCACTGCTCATGAGCATAGCTGCTCGAGGATGTGCTCCCTACAAGTAAGTTTAAAGATTTGTATTATAAATAATACACTAATTAATTCAATTCTATTGAAAGGGCGCTCTTTGTTCATGGCTTTACAGTGGACGAGAAGGGCCACAAGATGTCCAAATCTCTGGGCAATGTTATCTCACCGAAGCAGATTACCAAGAAGTACGGCACGGATGCTCTGCGTTGGTGGGTGGCCTCCCATGGCACCCAGCACATGTCCATTACGGTGAGCGATAAGCTACTGCAGCAGGCAGCCGAGAATCTGAGCAAGGTGCGCGGCACCCTGCGCTACCTGAAGGGTGTGATTGGAGAGCAAGAAGCCAGCCAGGAGCGGGAACTTCTCCGCGATAGAAGCTATCTAAATAGATATTTGCTGAGCCAGTTGGTGGAGTTTGAATTGGAGGTTAGTGGGGTGTACAATACATTACATTTTCTTCTTATTCAAGTTGATTTTCAGGTGGCAAAGCTATACAACGCCTACGAGTACAATCGCGTGGTGGCCTGCATCCAAAACTTCATCGCCAATCAGGTATCTGCCGTCTATGTTCATCTCATAAAGGATCGTTTGTACTGTGGCGATGATCAAGAGCTACTTGCCATTCGCCAGACACTCACCCAGTGCTACCGACAGCTGTGCAAAAGCCTGTGGCCCATTGTGCCTTTTCTGGTAGAAGAAAGCTGGAGCTATTACGATATATCTGGCGGGGCTTTTCATGAGCAGAGGGTCCAAGCGAAACCCGAATGGGAGGACCGAAAGGCCACGGAGGTTGTGCAGGCAGCGCTGGATGTTAAAAGACTCATCAACCAGCAAGCTGGAGAGGTCAATACCTGGCATTTGGCTGTGACCATCAAAGGAAGCCAGCTGAAATTGCTAAAGGAACTGCATCCGGCTCTGGACGAGCCCCTCAATAATTCCGAGCTGTGCGAGCTGCTCCAAGTGGGAGCTGTACGTCTCGTAGAGTCAGATAATAGCGACGTTAGCTTGACAATTACTAATTTACAGACCTCGTTGTGTCCTCGTTGTCGTCGCTTTAGTCTAAATCCAGATCAAGAGACCTGCCAGCGTTGCTCTGCGGTAATGGACTCCAAGAACTAAGCCTTAAGTCACGTTGTTTTCTAGGTCTAAGGAATATATATTTATGTTTTTAAAAACTCTGTAAGCATTTCATGATCGTGTCCCGTAGTTTAAGGCGCGTTGTGGGCTTGCCGCCGCAGATAATGTGCGTCTCGTTGTCCTCGAACTTGATCACAGTATCCTCGGCCACCAGATTGAGTGTGATAACGCCGCCAGTGCGGTCCAACTTGATGTTGGAGAAGCCATCCTGCGCCAGCCGTTTCATTACAGCTTCCACATCAATGCTGCCGTACTCGTACTTGACGTTCTTCAAGACATCCTCCTTGGTGGGCGCACTGCCATTCGAGCTGGAATTGTCCTGAGTGCCACTGTCTGCACATGGCTGGATGCAGTGCACCTTGTCTTTCACCTGCAGCACCCCCGTTAGCGTGGAGAAAGTCACGCCAGCGGCCACCTCGCGTGGCGATATCTTCTGGGCCAGCTCCGAGGTCAAGTAAATGCGATCCAGCTTTCGCTTCAGCGGCAACCGTATAATTTCGCCACATTTGAACGTAATTATCTTCTTGTCCGGCTGCTCAATGAACAGATTCGGCGCCGAGGGATGCGGCTTTGTGTAGGCCTCGGGTATAACCAGGACATTCGGCTTGAGCTCCTTGATTAGCTTGTTGGCTTGCTGGTAATTCAGCGAGGTGTCGATGGGACAGTAGAAGGCCTTCATGGCCAGCGGCTGGAACGGGGCCAATACCTGTAGATAAGGAAAATCCGGCTCCGTGAAGATGATGGAATTGTTGGGATTGTTTCCCCACATTTCTATGAAGTGAACGGCGTCGCCGAAGCGCAGGCTCGGGTGGCCGCAGAAGACGACGCAGGGCTGTAGAAAAAATGGTATTAATAACTAGACTGGATCATCTGCTTATATCTGCCACCCTACCTGCCGAAAGTCCTTGCTAAATCCCTCCGAGAAGACATGGTTATAATGCTTCAGCTTGTTGTTTCGCAGGTAAAAGGCGTGCGGGAAAGGATCGTCCGGTAGATACACCTTGTTCTGCTTGGCCGAACTGAGCCACTCGGCCAGGATGTTTGAATAGGCCAAGGAGCTGTCTGCCACCGGGGATATGAAGAACATGGGCACATTGTTGAGGCCGGCGTTTTCAAGATTCTGGGTTAGGCACTCAAACAGATCGTAGACCACACCCGAGGGATAGCAGGGAATCAGAGCGGAACCGTTGTTCCTGATCGTCAGCGCCACATTCATGCAGAGCTCGCCCAGCTTGGTGTCCGGATTTACAGTGGGCGCCTGCGTCAGTCCGGTCATGATGAGGACATCGGCATGCTTCAGCGCCGACTGATTGATGGGCCGCGGATGTGTGGTCAGCGTGGATGAGCCGCTTACATAGCATATCTTCTCGTGGGCGGTGCTCAGCACCCAGTTGCTGGAACCCAGGCAGTAGCCAGAGCTCACGGGAGTGGCGATAAACGCTCCCAGAATGTCCAGCTTCTCGTCGTAGCCCATAATAGTCACCTTCGAAAGGCTGCCCTGGACATCCTTAAGGCTGAAAATGGTGCGCCATTTCTTGGCGCGGAACGCCTCGCTCAGCGGGCTGGGCAGCAGATGGAGCTTCTCCTTCCACAGACGCGCCGTGCAGGCCTTGGGCGACACCTCGATGTAGTCGACCAGTTCCTCGAGAAAGAACCGGCCAATCTGCAGCGTTGGCTCCGTGGCATAGACCTTGCCCTTGAACCCCGTGTTCTCCGTGATGTACGGCAGGGCCAGCATATTGAGATAGTTCGAGATAAGTATCACTTCCACCTCGCTGAAGTCGAGCATCTTGTCCATCGGCAGATTGAACTCCGGTGTCGAGTCCACGAACACCCGGCCACAGCACTCCTTCAGCTCACCGTCCATCTGGGGATCGTGGTCCCGACTGGGTATGAAGTTGGGCAGATTGGACCATTTCAGGGACTGGACGAAGGGCAGCGGCAGGAAGTTCAGCACCGTCTGCTCCGTCAGCCCGCAGTCCAGCATTATCCTCAGGCCCTTGAAGGTAATGATGTAACATGGCTTGGCCAAGTCCCCGCTGAGACAATACTGCAAGAGAGTCAAGTCACTTCCGCTGATAAAGGTGCTTTATGAACCTGGACCGGGATGACTTACCAAACGCATATTTAGAAAGCGGCAATCGCAATGACAGCGTTCCACCGGTCAAGTTTGTTTATATTTTGCACCAGGGATGGCCATGCATGTGGAACTGCAGACTGGTTCACCGGGCCAGTTCTTGGCCGGAACTAGTGGTTCTCAAAAGCTTATTAATTTAAAATTTAAATTCATTTTAAAGATTAGAACTCATTTAGAATTTATTATTTTAATAATTTTTTTAATTTAGAATTTTTTAAATAATTTTATGTGATAATAATATTTATTTTAATTTATATTATAAGTATTTGATCTACATTTTAAGTACCTTTAAACCAAGTTCTGTGGTATATTTACCTGAGTGCGTTATGGTCTCTCTAATACATATCTGAGGTTTTTCCTGCCTAATTTAAAAATGTCTCAGCAAATTCGCGTTTTACAATGCATTCAATGCAAAATGTACCAGGTTCTTGTTGGAATGCACAAATTCAATCGAGGCTCTGCCATAATTTTATTCTTTTTTAAGGTTGACCTGGTAAAGAAGGCCAACAAATGGGAGTGCAAAATATGCCGCCATAAGCAGGATTTGCTTAAAGAGTTCTTTCGAGGATCGGGACCAGAGTGCCGGGCCAAGGTGCAACAAATGAACCTGGAGCGTGGACAACAAGAGGAACTTCTAGAGGAAAATCTGCTCTTACATCAGGAGCCGAATCAGGAGGATTGCTCAATTGAAAGCCAGGAAACCAATCCTCCAAAGAAAACCAAGAACAAGTGGACAAATTATGTGGATGAAAACATTGAGGTTCCCCAAAAGTCTGCAATACGCCCAGCGAAAGTAGCAGTTGTTAAGGAGGATCAAAGTGATGGCTTTTGTATGAACTTTGACAAATCCAAGGATCGCGTCTCGAAGGCCACAAAGCGTCCTGGACCAAATGTAGTAACCTCTCTTGGTAACAAAAGTTCTAAATGGAGCAATTATTTATAAATTATAATATAAGTCTTTTCTTGAGTAAATATAGTTCTTGATCATTTAAAATAATCACCAATAAATCAATATCTATGGTTTATTACGTTTTATTAAAATCTGTTTCGTTCTTTTACATTTTTATATTTGTGTGTGAAACGCGTAAGGACCAATGTGTGTTCACATCTAAATTGGAATACATTGCCTTCTGTTTTTGCACTAATGCTAAAAAAATACAAGTAATGATCGATCCGTTAAATATTGTGTAAGTTAAAGAGTTTATAGGTTTATAGGGGCTTCTTCCAAGTGCCACATGTTGGACATGCTTAGCTCCCTGCCCACGCAATCGATGAGCCACAATGGGAACTGAATACTCTCGCTTGGAGATATACGAGTTAGTTATTGTTAATCGTGAGAGAAATTGTAATATTAGTATAGCCAACTACGTGTAAATATATAATCTATTGCCTTCGGCGGGCGGGCTCTAGGCGCTAGCGGCACTTCCCCCGGCAGCGTCCTTCTTGGCCACCTTCTCGTCGGAACCGGTGGTGTCGTCCATGTCGTTGCCCTCGGCCTCGCCGCCGGGTGCGCCACCAGCCTTGCCGGATGACCTACGCCGTTTGCGATTAATGCGCCACGGACGCATGGGATACTTCATGGCCGGCAGCTGCTCCATGCCGAGCACCTTGTAAATCTGACGGAAGGCAATGTAACGCAGGAACAGCTGTGCCGAAACAGTAAGATCCTCGCGTTCCTGTTTGGTCAGCTCCAGCAGAGCATCGGTCGGGTCCTTCTCACAAGGGTCTAAAAGTCCCGGGCCATTGATCAGAAAGCCGGAGGACAAGGCCTCCATAATGCGACGCATGCAGTCGCCGGGAGAGATGGGAAAGCCAGCCGAGGAGATTACCTTCTCCACCAGCAGTTCCAGCGACCACTGGGGCAGCGCCTGCCAGGAGGCAACGCGCTGGCACAGATCCCTGAGGATGCGAATAACCATCACACACGATTGCAGGCCGGTGGCCCGGGCCTGGAACCATTTGGCGTGACGCAAGTCGGCTAAAGCCTGCAAGGAATAACATTTTTGGTATCCAAGTGGGTGGTTCCAAGAGAATGACTACTTACACGCAAGCAGGGCTCACGAGGCAAGGTCTCTACATCACCCTCGCCATCGTCATTGGCCGAAGCCTCGGCGGGACTGGTGTCGCGCAGCAGGGGCGATGTAAGGGTTATCTTCACAGAAACGGACTCGTCCAGGACAATTACCGCGGCATCGTCGGCGTTGACCTCCACGCGATAGTTGACCTGAATGTCACCTGTAAACGAGAGAGCAAAGAAAAGGAGGAAAATGTTAGCGGCCCTTAGCAAACATCGAAAGACTCTTAGATTCAATTAAACTTGGATAAAGAGCAGGGACCGTAATCATTATAGGTGAAAAAATAAAAATCAATGTTTAATGATTTTGGATTGATTTTAATCAATTTAGCTTACTATTATATTTGATATTTATTTAATCGCTCAAAAAAACTATTATAATTTATTTGAATGATTTTTTCGTTCATCTGTTTTCGCTTTATAGAATCATGCAAAAAGATTTCCGAAGAAACTTTTTAGAAAGAAATATTGAGCGAAAAAGATTGCATTATTTTTGTAGTATTATTTTCCAGATTTAAGCAATCATTGCTTTGAAATAATTCGCTTTTTTATCCTTTTTTGTTTAAAGAAAACATTGATAATCATTATTTACGGTCCCTTGTAAAGAGACAAACATTGTGAGTGAAGCAAAAATTCCAGTGTGGGCCCGAAAAGTACATATAGTGATTGGCAAACATTCGGTTCAAATGGACTTGATTGATGCACGTATGGATTGGCACGACTAATGTTTGTTTCTTCCCACGATCCAGGTATCCGCTCCTCGGTTCCCAGCAAACAGGAGACGAGGCTTATGATTCGTTTGACTTGCGTGCTGGGATCGGGATGATTTCGGTCGGTTGGTTGGGTCTCGGTAAACGGAATTGCAAGCTCGACGAGAGACTCGTTGCAATTCCATTTAGAGCGCGCTTGACCCCTGCCCGAACCGAGTTTACTGAATTTGGATTACTTTTGATAAATTATTATTTTGAGATTCTTGATTATATATTTTCTATTTTGTGGTTGATTGTTAGTTTTAAATTGCTTAAAAAACATTGAGCGAAATTTATGGGTTGCTTGCGGGAGACGTTGGCCATTGCCTTGCCTTGTCGTTAGCTTTTGCTCAAATTTCGATCGCAATTTTTTTCATGATTTTATTTGGATTTTTTCGATTGACAATCAAGCTTGATACACACAACTCGGCCGCTTGGACACACATATATATGTATACGACATTACAGAGTATAGATATACATAGTATTTTTGCTTGGGTTTCGAGTAAGAGATGAGGCGGCGCAGATCGGCGCTGCAATTTTGGCTCAAGCAATTTGCATTGTTTTTATTTTTTTTCCCAAAAGTCTGTGTGTGGATCAATCGCATTGCTTCTTGGCGTGTGGTTGTGTTTTGTTCAACTTCTTGGCCATATGTCAAAGGACTTTATTTACACAAAGTTTGATCAGGACGAGAAAAGGGTGCAAGAACCGAAGAACGGCGAGCGAGTGAAACGAGCGCTAAACTTTGTATAAATATATTCCTTTGCTTCGAGAGAATTGCAGTTGGTTAAGTTTGGGGCCACGAGAGACCACACCACTCTCTAGACTGAAGACTGGACGACTGTGGCATCGCATCCGTGTCCGAGTCCGAGTCAGTCCGCCCGCTTGTTACCGTGACGATATCCGTTTCTGGTGGTGGTTGTGCTTGTGGAGTGGAGCAGAAGAGCGGAGCAGCAGCAGCCGAGCGGGAGGGAGCAACCTTGGGAGGGCTGAGGGCTGAGCTACAGCTAGCTACAGACGGCTATAACGACACTGAACGACACACTCTAGACTCTAGGACTCTCGCGAGCTTCTAGGCTAAGGCTCGAGGCTCGAAACTTATCCTGCAGAGAGAGAAGCTGAAAACGGCAAATACGTTACGTTTTTATTCGCTATTAGTTGGCTATGTTGGCTGGGGGCGTTGGGCGCGGTTTGGCGGGCGTGGCAATCTCAAAAGGTCCACCGCAACAACAGGGCTCAACAGTTGTAGTTGTCCTAAGTACTTTTTACTTTTTTTTTTTTAAACTTAATTTACTTTTTCCACACAAATTGCCCGTCGAACGTGATCGAGTAATGAATTGCGAATTGCGAACGGATCCATTGCTGGCATCTTAGCACTCCAAAGTGTTTTCGTTATACATATTTAACTAGTTCAAGCCGCTCTTCCAGTTGGCCAAATTCACCAGCGTGAAATTGGCCAAACCAAGTACGTATTTGTATTTATATATATAGATCTTAATTCAGTTTTTTGGCTTTTTGCCGCATTTGTCACTCAAGCCATTTCTCTGGAAAAAGTTTTGTTTTGTTTTCTGTTCCTCTTAAATAGGACAACCGAAATGTTGTTCAACAATATTGCTGAGCAGGGACTAGACTTACCTGCCACTTCCTTCAGTTTGTCGGGTAGCACATTGGCCACACGCTGCAAAAGACCAGCTGTTGGCTTCTCCGCACAGAGCACAACCAGCTCGACGGCATTGTCACCGTGTAGAAGCAGGCCCTTGGCCAGGTAGCCCACACGCATCACTCCCTTGAGAATGCGCAATACATTGCCGCCGTTATCGGCATCCTTGTGGAACGAGAAGATCTGGTTATCACGTCCGTCCTTCTCCGACGGTTTGTCGGTCTTATCCTTCTTGGCAGCCGCACCCGCTTCGTTTGGCTGCTCGGCCAGGGCGTCCGAGACCAGTTTCAGAGCACGCTCAGTGTGCGAGACGATGCGCTGGATGGTCTGCAGCTCCTCTTCCTTGGGATAGATCTCGGCGTGACGCGCAATGGCGTGGCGATCATCGGTGCTTTCGGGGCGGCGAACATTGCCGCCGGGCATCATGCCAAAGTGCGGTGGCGGTCCATTACCCATGCGTCCAAAGCGCTGGGCGCCTGCAAAGAAATTAATATGAAATGCATATTAAAATACATATCGGCCATGATCTGAATTAGAGATTAATATTTCAAAAGTATATTCTGGTTCTTGGTTCTTAATAATTTGACTACGTATTAAATACGTAAATATAACAAACAGAAGTGGATTTAGAGGTGTATTTTGAATCAATATTTATCACAAACCTTATCTAGTGTACACTCACCTCCAAAGCTGCGCGACATCCAGTTGTTGTAGTCATACTCCTCGTTGTACTGACGATTGCGCTGCTCGTCCCAGTAGCTGCCGCCATCATGGTCCTCGCCACCGCGATGGCCGGACATCATTGCCCGCTGAGCCCGAGCCTCGGCCAGGCGACGCTGGCGAGGTGTTGGCTTGAAATCAACCACCAGATCGGGTTGCACCTTGCGTTTGTACTGCAAGCGGTGACGACGCCCCTTCATGTGCATCTCTTTGGCATTGGGGTCGTTGAACTTGCAGTCGCAGAGCTTGCAGTTGAAGCTCAGAATCTTACCCTCCTCGTCCTTGACCTCTTCGATATACTCTCCGCCCACTGGCTTGATGTTGTCCGTGTTCTCACCCAGCGAATCATCTAGATTGTCATCCAGATCATCTCCTGGTGAATTACCCTCGTTGGCACCGCCCTCAGTCTTGATGGCAGCAGCTCCTGTGGCACCTGTGCCGGCTGCCCCAGCAGCGGCTGGCACAAAGTTAATCTTGCCCATTTTCTTTGGCTCCTCCGAGGGAATGGGTTTGCCCAGCTTCTGGTGCAGCTTCACCACCTTCTGATGCTTGGCGCCGCGAACGTGGGCCGCGTACGCATCGGTGCCTGTGCAGGTGACGTCGCACAGCTCGCAGTGGTAGTTGTTTCCCCTGTTCTGGGTGGTGCTGGTGGCACTGGCCGACATCTTGAGCGAGGCCTCACGCTTCTTGTGCTTTTGGCCCTCCAGATGTTCGCGGTAGGTCTGTGGACCGGCGCACGAGATCTTGCACACCTCGCAGTAGTGCAGCTGCTGAGGGCGTGGCGGGGCCTTGGGCCGCATGCCGCGCAGAGCGGGCGCACCCGGAATGGTGGGCCCCATCTTGCGCTGATACCAGCTATTAGCCCCGCCGTTCGGCTTCTGCGGTCCGCCTTGGTGCTGCTGGGCCACGTACATACTGGCGGCGTTATACAGGGCGGTGTCGTAGCCGTAGTTGTTGCCACCCGAGGGAGCCGAGTTTTGAGGTTTCGGCCCGCCGTTGGACTTGTCCATCTTGCCCTTAACCGGGTTCTTGACGGGAGGAGCCGAGTAGTGGGTCTTGCTGACTGCGGCTGCCGAGCCCGGCGCGTTGTAGCTGGCCGGCGACTGCTGGTAGAATGTCTTGGTGGCATCGTACGACTGAATGGCGTTGCGGTAGTCACCGCCGCCGCCGTAGCCACCGTAACCGCCCGCCCCCGGTCCGGAGGAGGCGCCAGCGCCACCGCCAGGACCCCCGGCCGCTGCATAACCACCCTGGCCGGCAGCCACAGCAGCGTTTTGGTAGGCCGCCGCGTTCGCGTAGGTGGCGTTGGTTACCGCCGGGTACGAGACCTGTCCCGTGTTGTACTGGGTGCCGCCGTAGTTAAACCCGGCGTAGTTGTTGTTCGCCATTCTTGTATCTGTAATTACGGAAATCGAATTTGTTGCCAATCTGTTTGTGGTGATGAACCCCTTCCCGCCTCCCTTCCCCATCCCCACCACCAAATACAAGCTACTCCAATGTGATGTGTGCTACTTACATTCACTATCCGGCTGTCAATATTTATGCGGATTTATTCAGGAATTTATATGTGCTTTCCGGGTAATAGCCTGTTTATAGCTGTAATGGCAAAGTGGACTTAGTCACGTCATGTCACAGAAGAGGAGTCGCCGCCGACCGCAGCCCAAGGAAATCAAAGGCAAGGAGACGGAGCGCCCCCTCCATTTTTTCATTCGTTTTCTGCTTACGGCTATTGATTTTTTCCGGGCAACTTCAGACGCACTTTTCGCGTGTGTGGCGGACATGCAAGCGCGCGCCGTCGAGGAACCCTTTCGGAGCGGCACTTTTTCCACGGGCAGCACACTGTTTGAGCACGTTATTCTAATTTTAATTACCTGATTTTGCTTGGCTTGCTGAAAAAATCTTCGATAGCTCTAGCCGGCGAGCTACAAAAACATCGTTATTGCAATCGATGTTTTCACCACACCCTCGAGGAAGCTGGTCTCACTTAAATCGATTACAAAACGATTATTAATTGCTTTCTTTAAATCGATATTTTTATGACAACTTTTATATTTTTACATATTTTTAAAAAAGACAGCCAAATGAAAAAACATTAATTTAATTTCGGGAAGCTTTTCTGTGATAATTTTTTAAATTGATTAAACATTATTTTATTTTAACAAAAACAAAAATTACTTAATAATTCTGGTATATTTTTAAAATAAAATGGTATACTTGTTGGATTATTTGGTATAAAATGGAGTATTTTTTGCTGATGGCCGTACGGCTAACTTTGTGAATAATCTTGCGGTCTCACTAATCACTCGTCCGACCTCGGCGGTCCGTAAACATTATTTACTCGGTTTTCGGCTAAATCGCCAGCAAAACGCAACGGAAAATCGTTTAAAATGCGCTCCAGTGCACCGAGTTCGAACGCAAAATGAATTGAAGTGAGTGCATTGGCCGCACGGCCGCAAAACTGCCACCGACTGTTGCAGGCTGTACAAAACTGATACTGATACACACACACGGACACGGGTACATGCCACCACCCGCCCGTTGCCCGCAAAAGTAGAAATTACTAATACTATGGCTGCTTAACTGGCACGATGCTCCATTTGTGTTTGGGCTCGCGGTGGGTCGTCGCCTGTACCCAGTAATGTGCGGATTTAATGGGGTCAAATAAATATATTTTTTTGTTGAAATAAATTCAAATTTGGTTTATGTTTAAATTGGTGCAAACTCCTTCGAAAACATCTTAATTTGTCCCGCATGAACGTGCAGCGTTGCCGGACCGTGGGCTTCATGTTTTTCGCAGCCCTCTGGCAACGCCGGCCCACTCGATTTTCGCTTTGCACGCGCATTCGTGAAAATGGCGGCGTTCTCGCACCGTCGCTGCCAAATTTTTTGTACATCAAAATAATCAAAATAAAGCATTCTTCCAGTGCTCAACAATCTGTCCGTGCGAGCGCGCGCGTGTGTGTGTGCGAAGGAAATCCCCAGCGCCACCGCGGATCGAGAAAGTGGATAGAACGCAGAAGGCAGAAAACAAAAGGCAGCGAGCACCGACAGCGAAAACGCAACGCCAGATAACACACGCGACGGGACGGGCGGACGAAAGCAGGGAACGGAGGTGGTAGTGAGAGGCGAGCGCCAGGAGAAAGGAGGAGAGTGCAAGTGCGAGGGAGCCAGCGCAGCAGCAGCCGCGTGAATAAGTCAGCGGAGCACCCGCGGTCGTTCCTCGGGTTTTTCTGGCCAAGGTGAATGCAGTTGCCTTAATACCTACCAGTAGTGTACGTGCGTGCGTGTGTCTTTCCGTCTGTGTCAAGTGGTGCTCCTCCCACGTCTCCAGCCATCTGCTGGGCCTGTTTTTGGTTGGGCTCTTGGTTTATGACCTGACCAGGTAGCCGAGACTGGTGGCAGCTGCAGCAGTCCTCGGTCGAGGTTGCACTTACCTGCTCCGACGCCCGAATCGTATAAATACTAAAGTGCCTCCCCTTACCTTGCAGTTCGCTTCTGGAGCGCACAGCATGCAAAAGTCAGTGTCCCGTGTGAATCGCCAGCACAGGATGTGCGCCAGCAGTTGATCGGCCAGGATATACCACACAGAACGCGAGTTCAACAAGCTATCCAAGGATACACACTCACACATACACAGCGCCCAACCACCCTGCACCCACACTCCTCAGCACGATGAACACCAGCCAGACAGCTGCCGGCAACCGCATCACGTTCACCAGCCAGCCGCTGCCGAATGGTACCATCAACATAGCCGGCAATCCCGGCGCCGTCATCTCGACGGCCCAGCTGCCGAACACCACCACCATTAAGACCATCCAGGCGGGGATTGGGGGCCAGCACCATCCGGGACTGGCGCAGGTGCATCAGGTGCAACAGCAGCAGGCGCAGCAGCAGACGCAATCCGTAGGTGCCACCCAAACACAAACCCTAGTTATTAAATCCAACCACCATGCTGTCACCCTGCCGGCGGGTCTAGTCTCAAGTGCACCAGCAGGAATCGTAACCATGACCAAGACCATCAATCAGGTATCCACATTAAAGCTAAACCCATTCCACTTCGGGCGCTAGACGATCGCAAGTCGGCCGTTTTATTCGTCCAAATCTCCTCCTCTCCTCCTTTCGAGTCGGATTGTAGTAACTGCAACAACACACATACACACACGCTTGGTTTTATTTCATTATCGTTCTTAATGTCTCCAACTAGAGCTTTCTGTCCTGTAGCCAATCCGAGAAGCCTTCCACAACATACAAGAATGAAGTGTATCCCACATCCTTACCAAAAGTACATGTATCTGAAAATCCAAGCTTATACCTTCTCCCTTATCTCTGAGTTTCACAATTCGAAATTTGAAATTATAAGGTTTTTCTAGAGTTTTCCAAATTCTAAAATCCACAAGCTTACATTTTCAATGTTTTTGTGGAAAAACCTTAATTTGTTTCTTGCTTCTTAATGTTTTTTGAGCTGCCTAAACCAAATTAAACAGAAATCTAACCTACCTGCTTCAGATTAAATCCTATATGGAATTCCCCGCCAATCCAAATTTTCTTCCCAAAACCCAAAATCCAAGCACAAAACTCTTTCTGCTTTATGTATACCCTAAGATCCTTGTCATTATTTTTTTGTAGAACTATTTTGCTTACAACGCTCGCTTTATGTAGAACAATTATCTGAAACACTTGCCTTAAGATACCAAATCAGTAAGCACCACACAAGCCGGCTAAGAAACCTACATAAACCCCACCATATATATTTGTGATCCGTAAACTGGGCCCCTCAGACGAACGAAAATCCCACTGGGACCGCTGCATGCTGTAGGCTTAGACTTAGAATCCAACCAACCAACACCTCTAAATGCTACCTCTGCCCAAATAGATTATGAAAACTGTGATGAGATAACCGAGTGATGATCGTGCGATTGATTAATTGTAATAATAATGTGTGTGTTTTTCCCAGGCCGGTCAGCCGCTGCTGAACTCGATGCTGCCGGCGGGCGTGGTGGTGGGCATGCGCCACCAGGCGCCAACGCAGCAGCAACAGAAGAATGTGCCCACCAATCCGCTCAGCCGTGTGGTGATCAACTCGCACATGGCGGGCGTGAGACCGCAGAGTCCATCGGTGAGTAGATTCGATTTGATTTGATGTCTTTAAAACGGTTGTTGTGGTGGGTTCTTCTCTACTAACTGACCCCACAAGAAGCTCCCCACCTAACCCACCTCTAACCCCGTCCCCTCACACACATGTGCACAATCCGCCCACCGCCCACTCCACATACACATTCACCGAAACACACAGACCATGGTCCAGCAGATGAAAACCGAGTATCTCTGTCTTCTCTCTTTACTTTTAGATAACTTTAAGCACACTAAATACGGGCCAGACCCCGGCATTGCTGGTCAAGACGGATAACGGATTCCAGCTGTTGCGCGTGGGCACGACGACGGGTCCGCCGACGGTGACACAGACCATAACCAACACCAGCAACAATAGTAGCAACAACAGCAACACGACAAGCACTACAAATCATCCCACAACAACACAGATTCGTCTGCAAACTGTGCCGGCTGCAGCTGTAAGTAGATACCAACAACAACAACAACAACAACAGCAACATCAGCAGCAGCAGCAACAACAGCAAGCCACCAGCAGCAGCAGCACAGCCAGCACTAGCATAGCACTGCGCAAAACGATTGTCCGTACATCATCCACCACAGTCCCATCCAGCAATAATAATAACAATAATAACAGTATTATCAATGCCACCACCACCACCACCAACACCACCACCTCTACCAACAACAACAACAACAAACCCGCTACTAACCAACAACAGCAGCAACAGCAGAAGCTCCAACAGCAACAGCAGCATCTCAAGGCCCAGCAGCAGCAACATAAACAGCAGCAACAGGCATCCGCTGCGGCTGCCGCTGCAGCAGCTGCCGCCAATGTGGCGGCCACCATAAAGATTAAGCAAAACGTAAAGAGATGCCTTCATTGTCAGGATACATGTCCTCGATATGTTCTTTATATATTTTGCTCTTCTCTCCTCTGTTCTCTTATGTCTGTTTATGCATTTGGATTTTTGATCTTATTTATGACTTCTACGTACATACGCCTACATATATGCTTCAGTTCCGTTTTTTTGGTTCGTCGTCCCACGAACGAACCTGAAATTTTGATTTATCCAGAATACTCTCTCCATATACGATTGCATTACCTATATATACATGGTATATGTATACTTAGCTACGTTTTGCATGCTGCGTTGTGTAACTGTCTGTGTAAAGTTTGATAAAACTCCTTATTTCGATTCGATTTAGTTATATGCGCTTTCGCTGTCCACGAGTTGCTGATTCAGGCCAAAAAAACAACATCATTACCGAGGGCTCACCAATGATGTGTGCTGGGCTGCTGTGGTTTATTTATGGGAAGACCAGACCCCCTTTAAAAAAAAGTTCCTTAACAAAAAATACTTTACATTACAATGCCTTAGCCAGTGGTTTCCCTTGTGACATTTTTTTTATATTTTAAATGTATAAAATCAATTTTAAAGCTACGATTGTGGAGTTGCTTAATAAAAAGATAACACAGATCAACAGATTTTTGGAACCTAGAACCGAAATATACATTTCTGTTAGTTTGAATCCTTTTTTTAATTTTCAAAATATTAGAGAGATTAAAATGAGTTTAATAATTAACCATTTTAATAATATGTCACTGCACTGGGCAGGCATTTTAGTGTAACGTTCATCTCATTAACCATTCCCCTAGTCATAGCCCTGCCACCCCTGCACACACATTTGGAGGCTGATCAAGGAGCTGCCCTTCCTAAAAATCTAAGCAAAAGAACCATCCATCATCATCGTTATCACAATCTTTATTCCGCTATATACAATATTTATATATTTGTAACATTAATTATTCTCTAACGCTTTTTAGTATTAATTTTGCACTACTTTTAATGAAAATCTCTGTCATAGATACCCCATACTAATGCATTCGTTTTATTGTCCACAGTCTCTGACCAACACCACCGCCTCCAACAACATAATTGTGAATTCGGTGGCCAGCGGCGGCTATACGAACGCATCGCAGCCGCCGCACCTGACCCAACTGAATACGCAGGCGCCGCATCTGCCGCAGATAACGCAAATTCAAACGATACCAGCCCAGCAGCAGCAGCAGTCGAACAATGTGAGTGGCGCAACCACGGGCACAGCAAGCACAGCGGTGAGCAGCAGCACGACGGCAGCAGCAGCGGCGACGACGACCACGCAGCAGGGGAATACCAAAGAAAAGTGTCGCAAGTTTCTAGCCAATTTAATCGAATTGTCGACACGGGAACCGAAGCCGGTGGAAAAGAATGTGCGCACCCTCATCCAGGAGCTGGTCAATGCGAATGTGGAGCCGGAGGAGTTTTGCGACCGCCTGGAGCGCTTGCTCAACGCTAGCCCGCAGCCCTGTCTGATAGGATTCCTCAAGAAGAGCTTGCCCTTGCTCCGGCAAGCGCTCTACACCAAGGAGCTGGTCATTGAGGGTATCAAACCTCCGCCGCAACATGTGCTTGGCCTGGTTGGACTTCCTCCACAGTTGCCGGTGAGTAGGAAATGATCTTTTTCCTTTCTTTGATTTTATTTAAAATTATTTTCTTTGATTTGAAATATAGAAAATCCAAGCGCAAATCCGTCCGATCGGCCCCAGCCAGACAACAACCATTGGACAGACGCAGGTGCGCATGATAACGCCAAATGCCTTGGGTCAGCCGCGGCCCACCATTGGCCACACGACGATATCAAAGCAGCCGCCCAACATCCGACTGCCTACGGCTCCACGGCTGGTCAACACGGGGGCCATTCGCACCCAGATACCCTCCCTACAAGTGCCCGGACAGGCGGTAAGTATACCCTGGCAGGGTATTACGATTTTAGTCAGAGGAGTCATTTCCGACGCTATAAATCACATATATTCTTTCGGAATGATAAGAATCTTCGACTTCCCGAAGTTAGCTTTCTCTGTTTAAACATTATTGCGAACAAGTCCTGAACGCATCTCTCTCTTTTATAGAACATTGTGCAAATTCGTGGACCCCAGAATGCCCTGCAACGCACGGGATCGGTGCAGATCCGTGCCACCACCCGGCCGCCGAATAGTGCCCCCAGCACGAACAAACTCACTGCCGTCAAGGTGGGCCAGACACAGATTAAGGCGATTACGCCCAGCCTGCATCCGCCCTCGTTGGCTGCCATCTCGGGCGGGCCGCCGCCCACACCCACGCTATCTGTTTTATCCACGCTGAACTCTGCATCGACCACAACGCTACCGATACCATCGCTGCCCACAGTGCACCTTCCGCCGGAGGCTCTTCGGGCCCGTGAGCAAATGCAAAACTCGCTGCACCACAACAATAACAATCACTTTGAAGCGAAGCTGGTGGAGATCAAGGCCCCATCTTCGCTGCATCCGGCCCACATTACCGCTTCGCTGACGCCAATTGGAGCCAAAACGACAATGGCAAAGGCATCGCCGATGATCGGCAAGGCGGCGTTGAATAAAAAGAAACGTGACGCAATGGAGGATGCCAAGATGAACAGTGCGGGTGGAGGAGCGGCAGCAGCGGCAGCCAACTCGTTCTTCCAGCAAAGCTCCATGTCCTCGTCGATGTACGGCGACGATGATATCAATGATGTGGCTGCCATGGGTGGCGTCAATCTGGCGGAGGAGTCGCAGCGGATACTCGGCTGTACGGAAAACATTGGCACCCAGATACGGTCCTGCAAGGACGAGGTGTTTCTCAATCTGCCCGCGCTGCAGGCTCGGATACGGGCCATAACGTCAGAAGCTGGTCTGGACGAGCCGGCGCAGGATGTGGCCGTACTGATATCACACGCCTGCCAGGAGCGACTAAAGAACATCGTTGAGAAGTTGGCTGTGATAGCGGAGCACCGCATTGATGTTATCAAGGTAAGTCTTTTTTTAAATAATGAGCCCAAATAGATTCAATAAGTAAATTCCTTTCTTCAGTTGGATCCTCGCTACGAACCTGCCAAGGATGTGCGCGGACAGATCAAGTTTCTGGAGGAGCTCGACAAGGCCGAGCAGAAGCGGCACGAGGAGCTGGAACGAGAGATGTTGCTGCGGGCGGCCAAGTCGCGGTCACGAGTGGAAGATCCCGAGCAGGCCAAGATGAAGGCGAGGGTAAGATGAGCTTGAGCGTTATTCTTCCCGAGAAATCCGTGCTCAAGTCTTTCGATTTGCTAGGCCAAGGAGATGCAGCGTGCGGAAATGGAGGAGCTGCGTCAGCGAGATGCAAATCTGACGGCGTTACAGGCGATTGGACCACGAAAAAAACTGAAGCTGGACGGGGAGGCAGCCAGTGCGGGAGTGGTATGTAAATTCCAAATAATTCTATAAAATTTTTTAAATAAATAAGTTAAAAATCAGGGACCGTAATAATTATAAGTTTTATTTTTAAAATCTCGGGAGAATGATTTCACATTGATTTGTATTTTTGTATCATCAATAATCATTAAAATTGAGTAAATCATTCCGGAAATGGATACATCTGACAAGGATTCCCAGAATATTATGCTTTTTAATCCATGTCGATTATAACTTGTTGATTTTTTCATTAAAAAATGATAATAATAATCTTTATTACGATCCCTAAAAAAGTCTTAGTCTTAGTAAAGTTAACCCACTAATAAAATTACCTTCTCTTTCACTCATAATAGGGTTCGAGTGGCGGCGGACTGCTGAGCAGCTCGGGATCTGCGCCAACCACGTTACGGCCGCGCATCAAGCGTGTGAACCTGCGCGACATGCTCTTCTATATGGAGCAGGAGCGCGAATTCTGTCGCAGCTCTGTGCTGTTCAAGACATACCTCAAGTGATCGTCGTCCATCATTCGCAGAAGCAGCAGCACCGTCTTCTCCTCCGCCGCCTTCTCCCTCTCCCCGGCCTGTCGTCGTTTCCAGCTTTACGATTTCATCATCCATTTGCAATATACACAATATTTTTTTACATAATTTAGCCTCAAATTTAACTGCGTCGCGTCGTCCCTTCGTTGTTGTTTTATTCTTTTTAGATAGGCGACCCCCCTCTCCATTTTATATATTTACCTTACTTAAACCATAACTTGTAATTTTAAGACTTAAAGTTCGTTTAGTCCCCCTGCCTCTGCCCCCAATAAATTGTCTGTAAAACTCAAACCAAACCAATCCAATCCAAAAACAAACCAAGAAAACCACGGTAACGTAAAAGTGAAGAGTTGAAAGTAAAAACGAAGTGAAAAGTAAAGTAAGGAGAACGCGCAGTCAGCGGGCGTTTAAAATGTAATTAAAAAGTAACATAAAGTTTGCATCAACTGCATTGACGGCCTTATCTAAACGATATAAACATAATTATTAATATATTTAATTATTTTAGCTTAGTTTGTTAAACGAAAACCGAGCATAATTCCTAGATGTAAGCGAACGGAGAGGTACAGCGCTCGCAGCAGCCACAGAAACCGAATTGCAAAGAAGAGAAAATGGTTTTTAAAACCGGAAGTAAGGATCGAAGCAAGTTTAGCAAGAAAAACAAACAAACAAAACACACACACATCAAAGCAAAGGCAACAAGATATGCATATTTAAAACCTACATTGAATTTAGTTAATACTTTCGTAACAAAAAAGGAAAAGCGATGTAATTTGTAATTATCATTTAATTGTTTAAAACGGAGAACCTAAATCGGTATGCAAAAGAGAAAACCAATTGTACATACAGGCTAGGCTAAGATTTTTCAAATAGTTTAACTTAGGTAAAAACGCAAAGGCATAATTAACGAATTCTCTATGGCGAGGAGCGGGCGCTGCACTCCGAAATCAAATATGTTCTTATTGGCGGCGCTCTCGATCATCCAACATATATTATTATTATTCTGAAACACACGGTTCACTAGACTAAGTGCGAGGTGCATTATGGTTTATGTGCAAACTGACCAAACAAACACATTGGCGTCGCCCAGTCCCCCTACCCGAACCTTATACAAAATAGACAAATTTTATACACCTAGCCAGAAGATAAATCTTGTAAAATATACGCCCCAAAATAACATAAATCGACAACAATTGATGTAATTCAGCAAAACTCTAAGCTAAACAAAAAGAAAAAAAAAGAAACCAGAACAATTCTAACAAATTCTTTGTGTGTAAATGAAATTAAATTGTGAACAGCAAACAAAGCAGTGGGCAAATGCATCAGTAAACACAGCGTATAGTTTGATAGGCATATAACTGAATATATATAATTATATATATTATTATTATTATTATGTTTTAACATTAAGCAACAAAAAATAAAAGCAAAATGCAGAAAACCCAACTCTGAGCACTGTGGGCGATTATTAGCGGGGAAAAGTAGAGCTGACTTCAAGTGCTTGGTGTGTTTTCATTTATGTATGTAACGGTATCTCAGTTAATTAGCTAGTTAAATCACTACAAACTTATATAGTCGAATTAAACAATTATTAAAATAATTATTATTATTGCTATTTTTATATTCATTCTTATGTTAAATAATCTTACTGAAACCTTTGTGTAAGTAGTAGTAGAACCTAACACAAGAAATAAAATCGAACCAAATTTACATTTGGATTCAACACCAGAAAAAAAATATATATTCAAATTTATATTTTTATGTTTTCCTTTGTCTGCTTGCTTTTAACTTTTGGTTTAATAAAATAGAGTATAGCGTCCTTCAAATGAATTAGTTATGCTTTTTTATTTATTATTTCATGGTATGTACTTTAAGCCTATAATTCCCAAGCTTAGAGTTAAGAAAATTAAGTTATTTCATAGCAAAAACAAAATAAATAAATATCATGAATAAACTTGTTAGGGATCGTTACAGTTATAACTTGTACAATAAAAATCACAAAATAAGAGTTATTTTTTTATATATATTTTATTATTTAGAAAACAAAAAAAGAATTTAATTCTTATTATTAAACATTTATAAAAAGTTTTTTTTTATTTGTATAATAATAATAGAAAATAAAAATTATTATCCAATTTTTGGTAGTAACTTTTTGTACTTATATATATATATATATATATATATCCCTGTATATTAGTAGTATTTCTGAGACTTTAGATTGTTTTATTTTTATGTAGGCTTACAGCTCTACAAATTTCCATTCTTTTTCTTTAAATTGAGCGCCAAAAACCTTCAAAAGCTTTGACAGCTCTAAACAGACCGTTCAGTGTGACCTTATGACAGGTGTATTTTTGTTATTGCAACACACAGCCACTCTAGAGTGCAAGTTTCGCTGAAAACAAAATAAACCAATTAAAAACAACAACAAAATAAAGTTTTTAGTGCACTTTAAGTAATAAATTACATTTCAGTTGTTCTGCCAAAAGGTTATACCAACGTCCTGAGTCTCCAACAAGAAGAAAATGCTTTTTACTTGCCGAAATGACCGAGTTTTTCGATGAAAACAATGCCTGCGGCCAGAATCTTTTAAATATTGTCTCCGTGGGAAATTCCATTATAGCAGAGATCCTGCGCCTCAAGGACTACGTACCCAGTATCTATAGGTAGGAATACTATAAGAAACAAAGGCCTGGAAACAATGACTAATCACTCGCCCTCGCCCAGATTGGAAACCAAGGCAGATAAGTCGAAATATGGGGAGATTCTGGTGGATTTCAGCTACTTCAAAGCGGCAGAGGCTCATGAAAAGAAGATTGAGGAGAGCCAGGTGGGTTTGGATCCTCCAGTTACCTTTAATAAATTCCCATTAATAAATTTCCATTTCAGTCCCTCACCGAACTGGATGACGAGGTGCGCAGCCAACTGCCGCTGATAACGCGCTTCTATCTGGCCTTTCAGAGTATCCATCAATATGCCTCCGACCTGCAGCATTACATTAAGGAGCTGGAAAGCGGCTACTACATTCAGCAGACGCTGGAGACGATGCTTCAGGAGGACGAGGGTCGTCAGCTGCTCTGTGAATCATTGTACCTCTTTGGCGTTATACTCCTCCTGCTGGACTTTCACATACCGGGCGATGTCAGGGAGCGTCTGCTCATAGCCTATTATCGACACAGTGGTGGCGATGCCACTCCCATGTCCGGTTCGGATTCCAATATCCAGGATGTGTGCCTGCTCCTCCGATCAACCGGCTATGTGCATCCCTCGGAGGCGGCTAAAGTGCCAGTGAAGGCGGCTGCCAGCCTGGTAGTTCCGAGATATCCGGAGGAGTACTTCTCACGCTTTCGCTTCGATGAGAACTTCGTGGATTTGGTTGTGGCACGCCTTCGTTGCGATGACATATACAATCAGCTTACCCTTTACCCACACCCTGCCCACCGCTCCACCGCCTTATCCACGCAGGCCGCCATGCTGTATGTGTGCCTGTACTTCTGTCCCAAGGTCCTGCACTCCCAAGGCTCCCAGATGCGCGAGATTGTGGATAAGTTCTTCTGCGACAACTGGTGCTTGTCCCTCTATATGGGCATCACCGTGAACCTGGTGGATGCCTGGTTAGACTTCAAGGCGGCCCGGTCAGCTATCGAGAATGTGACGAGTTCGGTGGCTATCAAGACCCTTTGCGTGCAGCAAAGGGAGCAGCTGGTCAAGGTCCTGCAGAAGACGCAGGAGATAACACGAGAGGGCGTCCTCGACGATGGCTTCGTGACGGAGCATGCCAACAAGATCATTTTGATGATGCGGCAGTCCAATGTCCTGCTGCGCTGGTTCTGTTTGCACACCTCCAAGGAGGTGTTCGTCTTCTCACACAACACCGCCAGCCAGCCGGGACATGTGGAGCAGATGGTGATCCAGGAGCTGAAGTTTGACAGGAATGCCCTCTACCACCTGATGCTCAACTGCAGCCAAATGGAGCTGTGTGTGCGTGAGCTGCTGGCGGATATCCAGCAGACCAAGGAGGATCGCTGGACCAAGAGCCGGGAGGAAGCCATGCAGAGACTCAAAGAGCTGAGTGAGGCCTTTGCCGGTTCCAGGCCTTTGACCAAGATCGAACCGAATACCCAGCTGCAGCAGTGGTTCGGTGAGGTGGCCGATCGCCTCAAGAAACTGGAGCTAGCCAGGCCCCAAAAGTCGGGCCGCCTACTCATTCAAGTGATGCAGGCTCTGGACGAGGTGCAGGAGTACCATAATCTCCACTCAAACATGCTGGTCAAGCAGCACCTTCAGGAGACCAGGGACATGCTGAGCCACATGGCTCAGCTGATCAACCTGAAGGAGGACATCGAGATCCACATCCAGATGATCACCGACTTTAGTTACGCGTGGCATCTCCTGCAGCGGGATTTCAAGCCGCTCATGCAGGAGCACATCAAGCGACAGCCCCAGGCCGTGATCGGTATCCGCGCGGTGTTTCTCAAGTTGGCCAGCACCCTGGAGGTGCCACTGATGCGGATCAATCAGGCCCGAAGCGAAGATCTGGCCTCCGTGTCCAACTACTACAGCACGGAGCTGGCCAACTTCCTACGGCGCATTCTGCAAATCGTTCCCGAGACCATGTTCAGCATTCTGGCGCGGATCATTCACTTGCTGACCAATGTCATCAAGGAGTTTCCCACGCGTGTGGAAAAGGAGCGCCTCAAGGAGTACGCCCAGTTCGAGGAGCGAGCCAAGGTGGCGCAGCTCACCAACTCCATAGCGGTTTTCACCAAGGGAATACTGATGATGAAGACCACTCTGGTGGGCGTAATCGAGCTGGATCCCCAGCAACTGTTGGAGGATGGGATACGCAAGGAGCTGGTTAATCATCTGTCCAGTGCCTACAATCTGGGCCTGATCTTTACGCCAGAGAAGGGAAAAACACCGGTGCAGGTGCTCCAGCAAAAACTTCAGACGTTGGCCAAGACGATCGAGGGATATCGCAGGTCCTTTGAGTACATTGAGGACTATCTAAGGGTTCAGGGCCTGGGCATCCTGCTGGAGGAATCGCAGCGCATCATCAACTACAATGTGGAAAAGGAATGCAATGCCTTTTTGCGTCAGAAGGTCCAGGAGTTCCAATCGGTGTATCAGAGTTCGATTATTCCAATTCCAAACTTCCCGCCGGTGCAGGGGGATGCCTCCGGCTCCAACAACTTTATTGGACGCCTGGCTCATGAAATCCTGCGCTGCACGGAGCCCCGGCATACCATCTTTCTGGATCTCAAGAACATCTGGTATGATAAGAAGGCTCCGGCACACCTAGAAGTACTATCCGGTTCTGGATTCTTTGGGATATTGCGCGAAGCCTTGGCTCCGTCGGGAATGGTAGGACTGGAGCGTCTCTACGCTCACATGCTAGCGGATGAGCTAAAGCGCAACCTGGAAAGGTTGCAGAAGAACCTCACATCGGATCGCATGTGGGTGGAGGCTTTGGACAGCCTAACCCGAGAATTGGAGTCTCGGGACTTCCCCCCACCCGACGTGGCCAAGCAGCCGTTGAAGTATTATCAGTCCTACACCCAGCGCTGGCTCAAGGTGTGGCCAACGGTTCTGGATTGGGTGCTGGCCATGGGACAGAAGCAGCTGCTGCGCCAGCAGATTGCCGGCGAGCTGAGCTTCAATAGCAAGTGCGATGCCAAGCTCCTGGAGAACACGGCGGACACATTGAACCGGGCCCTTCTTCTAGAGCTCTCGCTCAGCCAGAGTCTGTGCGATGAACAGGGCGTGGGCATGCTGACCGAGCTTCAGGACATACTCCTCTATACGGGCAACTATGAGCCACTGGAGCAGGTCTTTGTCACCACCAAAAATAGCCACAATGTATCGCTGTTCCTGTTCCTCTTTACCATTGCCCATCTGGGTCGCCTGCAGCACTCCACGAACACGGATTGCCTGCTGCCCAAGTCAGCCAAAGATGTCATAGACTGTGTGCCTTTTGTGGTGGGTCTGCTGACCATTCTCCAGCAGTTCCACAAGAATGTCAAGATGCTGTATATATCCTACATGAGCCAGTATGTTGTGACCATTGCGGAAGCCCAGTTAATGTAAGTTTCCCAAGCTCATTGGGCTCTTAACAAACTGTCTTAAAGTTATGCTTTCCTTTTGCAGGGACAAGGAAATCCTGGGACCTGACACAGTCACTGCCCTCCATTTCCTAATGACCTTTATACGCAGCGCCCGCCTGCCTCTAAGAGTGCTGGAGCAGCGCATTCCCAACATCTTACTCAGCGAGTTTGAGTATCTGGCCACACCCACAAAGTAAGGTTTGGGCTACACACAAACTTTAATAAAAACCGCAAACATAACAAAGGAAATGCCTCGCTGAGGTACAAGTACAGGAGATTGTAGTTGGAGGGGTTGTTGGTAGTAATCTCAGTGATCTCTATTCCGCGCAGGAACTCCAGTTTGGGTCCTTACGTGATCACGGTGGGGGCATTGCGCCCGGTGAACTTGGGCAGCTGAGAGATCTCCAAAGCAATGTCAATCAAAGGCTTCAGCATTACGCTGGCCTGACCCAAGACGTTCTCCTTCTCATAGGAATCGATGTACAGGCTAGGAGAAAGAGGTTTCCATAAAATTCCCAGAAATATTCAGTAGAAAACCCAGGATAACTTACCGCACGGTGGCTCCGGAGCTGCCGGTTCCACTGAGACGCATCACAATGCGACTGCCGTCCTCGAAAACAATGCGCAGGCCCTGTTTCGTGGCCACCGACTTGTCCACCGGATCCGTGTAGCTGAAGTTGTCCGCCTCCTTGACCTTGTAGGTTTTTCCTCCACTGGAGTAGCTCTTGCCCACGAATGCCGGATCAGTGATGGCCTTCTCCATGGTGTTCATCATGTCGTTGCAGGGGTCCGAGGCGCACTCCTCGTAGTCGTAGCGGGTGAAGTAGTTGCGTCCGTAAACAGACCAGTGCTGCTTCAGGATATCCTCAATGCCTTTGCCCGTGTGCTGCATCACTGAGATCCAGGCCAGCACAGCCCAGATGCCATCCTTCTCGCGAATGTGGTTGGAGCCGGTTCCGAAGCTCTCCTCGCCGCACAGGCACAGCCTTCCGGCGTCCATGAGGTTACCGAAGTACTTCCAGCCAGTGGGCACCTCGAACACTTCCTTGCCCAGCTTTCGGCCCACCAAATCAACGGCGGAGGCAGTGGGCATGCTGCGGGCGAATCCCTGAACACCATTCTTTTGGAAGTAGGGGATGGCCTCCAGGTAGTGGGCAATCACGGCCAGCGAGTCGCTGGGCGTCACAAAGAACGCCTTGCTGCCGATGATCATGTTGCGATCACCGTCTCCGTCGAAGGCGGCACCGATATCGTAGTCTCCCTGCGCCACAGTATCCACGAGATCCTTGGCATAGGTCAGATTTGGATCAGGATGCAGACCCCCAAAGTCCGGCAGTGGTGTCGTGTGCACCACCGAGGATTCAGAGGCACCCAAACGGTTCAGGAAGATCTCCCTCACATAGGAGCCAGTTACTCCATTCATCGCATCGATACGCATCTTCAAGGGCTTGCCCGTAGCCTTGCCGCTCACGAAATCCTTTAGCTTGGCAAAGTCAAAGATCTCCTCCATGTGGCGCACATAGTTGGCCACCGAATCGATTACCTCCACGGTGAAGGGCTTGCCGGCCACATCGAAGGAGGTCACGCCCACCTTGGAGATGTCGATCTGCAGGTTGCGGACCAGCTTGTACTGCTTGATCTCGGTGGTGATCTTGTAGATGTGGTTGGTGAAGGCGTCCGGGGCGGGGCCGCCGTTCTCGCAGTTGAACTTGATGCCGAAATCGTTCTCGGGACCACCGGGATTGTGGGAAGCCGTCAGAACGATGCCACCTGAGGAGGAGGTAAGTAAAAGTTGACATACCATAGGGTTTTTATGTTAAAATAATGGAAAAAATGTATATTTTTTATATATATTTAATCAATTTTTCCCCTAATTAAGTTTAATTTAAAAACGGAAAGCTTTATATCAAATTATTTTTATAATAATTAATTAATTAAGGTTAACGCAAAGGTGCTTCCATTTTGTGAAATTCTGCAAATGAATTTTCCGATTAAAAATTCTTTTATGGGTATTACTACTTTATTAAGTAATTAGTAAAGCCAATAAAAATCCTAATTAAAAAGCTTAGAAATAATTAAAATATTAAAATTAATAACCAACGTTTCTTTTTTTTTTGTAATAGGAAATGTTGTTAAAAAAAATCTATAAAAAATTTTTATTTTATTTTTTTTAACAAAGATTTAAGCTGCCTTTTTCCTTTTCCAACTTTTTCAGCAAGCCTCTGTTAAGCCTGTTTCCTATACGACCCCAGGGACGACCTCTGCCAGTTAACAGAGCGCCCGCCACCCCGTGCGTTGATTATGGCAGTAGGTGATGCTTCTTATCAATTAAAATCTTTACGAACACAGTGGACGCCGCCTGTGCATAGACGGAAAAGCACTTACCCAAGGCCTTGTTATGACGAATCAGACTGGAGACGGCGGGCGTGGACAGAATGCCGTTCTGGCCCACCAGCAGCTTGGAGACACCATTGGCGGCGGACAGGCGAACAATCAGCTCAGCAGCCTCCTTGCAATAGTAGCGTCCGTCGCCGCCGACCACCAGAGTGGAACCCGCAAGGGCAGCGCCATTGGCCTCCAGAATAGCCTGGACAAAGTTCTCAGTGTAGTTTGCCTGGGTGAAGACTTTCACCTGCGAGATTTCAAGAAGGGATTTCCCAAGTTAAGATGAGATGACAACACGGATCTTTGTCCCGTTTTCAGTGGCGAACCTTTTTGCGCAATCCACTGGTGCCTGGCTTCTGACCCTCGTAGGGCGTTGTGGCGACAATTTCCACCGATAGCGACATATCACTGGACTGGAGTTTTCCGGCTGCTGGCTTTATTCCAACTGGACGACCGACCCGCGTTTGCGTATGATGAAAATTGAGTGTCGAGCACAGCGCAGCGTTTTCGCCTCCCACTGATAACGCGATTCTTAAGAGGTTCGGCTATGACGATCCCGATAAGCGCTATCATCGATGCGTGCCGCTAGTCATTCCCAATCTATAATTGGGGGTGTGTCTTAATATCGCCAGAAATCGCATAAATTCCGTTATCTTCCGTTAGACATTTTGAATTTCTCTGCTTCATCGTGATTTACCGTTATTTCGTTATTCTAGTTGGGTGAACGTATAGGCAGAAAAGCTTTCTGTAGGGTGCAATGTCATTCAAGGGCATTCTCAGGTGCCGGCAAACAGCTGTTTTGCGCAGAAAATATGCCAATAAAACAGCAAGAGCCAACTAAGAAAAATAAATATTAAGCAAATACTAACTAAACAATAGCTACAGAAATAAAACAAAAAAAAAAAACAGTTTTGTTTACATTAGTTTAGTCGGTTTAAAAACAACAGAGCGCTGGATTTGTGTAATAAATATCAGATTAATTTATGCAAAAATTAATTTATAAATTTAAATATATTTAACGATTTAATCATCTTTAATAACTTAAATTATTGCAATTAAATAATTAGTTGGTTAAGCGATGTTCTTCACCTATTTTGATGACATTTGTTCCGATTTCTCAAACCACTTTTTGACACTTCTCAAGTGCACCTTGACAGCTGTGTTGGCAACTCTATTCACGGAGTGGGCAGCCCTGGCACACGAAGATTTGACAGTTCCACGTCACGAAGCAACGAGAAAGCGGCCGAATTCAGTTCCAAAATACTCGCAAAAGAAACAGCCAACATTCAAGTAAGTACTAAAATTACAAAATTATTGCTTAATATTTGCGATCGATTTGTTTTCGGATCACCATTATGTTATAAAAACGGAGTAAACCGATTGCAAAGAGGCTCCCTTTTCGGCCTCCCCCTCTTCCGCGTTTGGCCCTTCCACGTCTACAAAAAAAGTGAAACGTGAACTAATCTCTATGTGATTGCAGGATGTTCAAGCACCTGCTTCTCCTGTGCGCCCTCAGCGCCGTTTTTAGCGTCTGCCTGTCTGAGGACGAGACCCGCGCCCGACTCCTGGTCTCCAAGCAGATCCTGAACAAGTATTTGGTGGAGAAGAGCGACCTGTTGGTGCGCTACACCATCTTCAATGTGGGCAATGGAGCCGCCACCAAGGTGCGCCTCGTAGACAGCGGCTTCCATCCGGATGCCTTCGAGGTTGTGGGCGGACAGCCCACCGCCGTGGTTGACAGGATCGCTCCCCAGAACAACTTCACCCATGTCCTGGTGGTGAGGCCCAAGGCCTTCGGTTACTTCAACTTCACCGCCGCCGAGGTGTCTTACAAGGCCGTCGAGGAGTCCGACCTGGTGAGTAGTAATCTTGGACTTGGATAATCGGGACTCACATTGCCCTTATCTGTTTGGAGTTGATAAGATTTAAAAGTGAACTTGTTCTAAAACTATCTATCTCGTTACAGCTCCAGCTGGCGGTCAGCTCCGAGCCCGGTGAGGGTGGCATTGTCAACCTGAACGAGTACAACAAGCGCTTCTCCTCCCACTTCTTCGACTGGGTGGCCTTCGCCGTGATGACCCTGCCCTCCCTGGCCATTCCCCTGGGTCTGTGGCATCAGTCCAAGAGCAAATACGAGCGCACCGGCAAGAACAAGAAGCACTAAGCTGTGCTCAGTGCCCCGTTGGAGCCTCACCTCAAGAGATTTCTGAACGAACACCCCATTCACGCAAATTCCGTATAACTTTGTTGCTTTAGTTTCCAATTGATTCCATGCGTTGTTCATCCCACACATCTATGTAGTTTACTCCAGTCTGGAGGCGGGCGTTGAATCGTTTTAGATTTGATACGAGGACGCATCGAGTAAAGGGAGAGTTGAACCAAGTCCATCAAGAGTTAAGCCTAGACTGCTTTTCTAAATAAATTAAAACAAATTGTAAGCCAGAGTATTACTTATTACTTATGGGGCTGTTTTAAGGCAGAAACAGAGTATTTTTGACTACTGTTTTCACTAAATTTAATAATATTTACACTTATTTGCTAAGAACTTGCAACACATTTAGGATAACAGATACTTTCGGCCAAAGATCTCCGACTTCTTTTCAAACATGGGCGACTTGATGGGCGTATTGATCCGGTAAAAGGCGTTCATGGAGTGCTTGATGTAGGTGTCGTACATCTCGTTGAAGAAGTTCTTGATGCCCTCGTCATTTTTGTTGTCGTGGACGATGATGAACCTGATTTGACTGGCCGTGATGAAGGCGGAGACGAACCACTGATTGAATCTATCGATGGACTTTAGTTGCATGTTGGCCGTCTTCCATTTGTGCTCGTCCACCAGGTCCAGGGCGGCATGGGCAATAAATTGGCTCAGGTGCCTGTGGTCCTCCTTCTAAGGGATATAATATGGATTTTAATGGTTTTCTTTTGTGTTTTCCTGATTGTTTACCCGCAGCTCCTTGTTCACTGTGCTGAATTCCTTCTCAAATATGGGATTATCATTGTGGCCAACAATAACAAAGTAGTAGGTTGACATTGTCACGAATCTGGTCAGTTTTGTTTAATCTATAGTGAATTAAGTTTTTTATTTTTATTTACTTGTGACGACAGTATGACCATTCAGCTACTATCTTTTCCACTGGTCACACTCTTTCTTTACCATGCAGTGTTGTAAATCACAAAGTTATAAACGCTTTTCAACACTTTTCCTTCGCGCCTTTTTTCTCGACCAGCACACTTTGCTCTCCGTTTTAATGCCGAAAAACACAAGTAAAATGATTAAAAACGCCTGATACGGATACCGGAATGCTGTGACCACTTGGAGATCCTCCAGTACCGTTAGCTAGAGAAACGTGACCAACGCGGCGGCGCTCGTGCTACTGCGGCAGTGTGTGTGCGTGTGGGAGGCTAGCGAGAGTGTATCAAAATCCAGAATCGAAACGAAAGAATCGCAGCGAAGGTAGATCTCACCCTCTATTATTGTATTATTTTGCTTTTGACACTTGCGTTCCCCCGCCTGATAGTTGCGATCTTTTGAGTTTTGGCTTAAGTATAAATCTGTATTATTTCGTACAATCCCGACGCTTCAACACTTAGAAAAAAACAAAAAGAAACCCACAAAAGACACCAAACACACTCACGCACACACACCCAACAAAAACATGTACTAAAAGTAGAAAGAACAAACCCAGAAGCGATCGCAGAAAATGACCGATGTAAATTGTCTTACAAGCGAGCACATTGCCACTGCGAGTAGTCCCCCAGGAACGCCACCGAGAAATGCCGGCACGGATCCGGTAGAGCCCTCATCCCCGTTCGTGCTCCGTGCACCGCCCAGCGCCAAGTCCAAGCTGATCCTCCAGAACATGGAGGAGGTACTGCACTCGGTGAAGCAGAAGCATCGCGAGAAGCACAAGCGGAAGCGCGAGGAGAAGCGCAGAGCCGCTCTCCTCGCGGAAAGTGGAAGTCAGGAGAAGCCCCACAAAGACTCGAAGCCGGACAAGGAGAAGCCGCAGCCGCTGCGGGAGAAGTCCTCGCAGGAAAATGGCTTGAAGAACGGCAAGCGGCGCTCCAGTCCCCTCAAGTGCAGTACACCCGTGGCTGATCACCAGAGCATCATGAAGCACTTTGCCAAGGCCGGCAAGCCGGAGAACGTGTCAGCCTCTCAGGTCCAGACTTCAGCGTCCGCTAAGTCCAAGCCAGCCACCAATGTCTTCGAGTTCATGATGAATGCCCGCAATCGCTCCATCGGCGTAAACGAAGGCGGCGTCGAGTCACCCGCTGATCAGGAGGACGAGGGAAGCGGCGGCGGTGCCACGCCGCAAACGAAGCGGAAGCAGCTGCTCCAAGAGTGGAATGAGCGCAAGGGCGGCGCTAAGCGGAGGCTCGCGGACGAAGCCCGCGGGGAGTTTATCGAACTGCAAATGGAACAAAGGGCCAAGAGGTGAGTTTGTGAATGGATTTAAGGGTTAGCCCACGTAGAAAGCGGCACGTGTTTGGAGGTTAAGGGGATGGGAAACGAGGAACGACAAATATTGTTGTCTTTGCCTTAAAAAATAAAGCTTTATAAAGACTTAGGAATCTTAAAAAACAAATAATAAATATTCACATCCCTTAGATTGAAGAAAATGCTAACCAAGGCTGACCAGAAAGAGGTCTCGGCTCCTTCATCAGCGCCCACTGAACCAGCGGTCAAACGTAGAGGCAGGCCACGCAGTCGCCGTCTCAGCTCCGTGGATGCAGCTCCGGTGATCAGCGTAGAAACCAAAAAGCCAGATCCAGAAACAGAGGAGTTCCTCGCCAAGCTGTCTTCGCCCACCAAAAAGCGAGACAGCCTGCTGGGTTACTTTGCCAAGGTGGAATCACCCAAGGAGATAATCGAAAAGCATACCATTGCGATAGATACTCCTCCTATGGATACGCCAAAACGAAGAACGCAGCGGAGGAAAAGCCAGCAGGAGACGCCTAATGTGGGTGTGGAATCAACGCCATCGGGGCGACCACGCCGCTCCTGTGCTGGCAAGGCACGCTACGATTACGATCTGGAGACGAGTCCCGCCAAAACGGCTGCCAAGGGGAAAGTCCAAAAGGCCGATGAATCTGTGGAGATCATTGATCTGGACAGCAGTAATCCGGCTTCCACGCCAAAGAAACTCGCGCCGCTTTTTGTACGGCAGTTGCCAAAGCCAAGTCCGGATCCCTCGGTCCTGAAGGCTCGCCAGGCTTTCCTGCAGTCCGGAGTTCCAGATAAAATCCGACAGGAGCAAATCCGGCAGAAGAACCACGAGCAAATGTACGAGGAGAGCTATGAGGTGTTTCCCCGAGTGTCGCACGTTGGCTATGAGAGTTATGTAGCGGACGATGAACCTCTGGTTTTACCCTTTGCCTTGAGGGAGGAGGATGAAAGCACGGGAATCACTACTAACACCTCATCGTCTATGACAAGCAAACGTCGCACAAAGACGAGTGGCTTCACCAGCTGTCTTCCATCAGATTTTACGTCCAGTAGAAACTCTAGCGCCAAGCGTGACTACGCCATTCTGCCCCAGCTGGAGAACAAGCGAGGATTCGTGAAGCTCTGGAAGAACGACTTTGACCGCTTTCCCACCTTCAAGTGCTACAATCAGATGCGGGAAAAGTATCGTCACTTTAGCGCCATTGACAGTTCAGACGATACGCAGCAAGTGGGTGAATCATTTGTGGTTACACGCCGGTCGCGCCGATCGATGGAGCAGCGATCCCTGGACCAGAATGATGAGGAGGCTAAGCCGCCCTCCTCGGCTCCCAATGGCGAGCTGCTCTTCACCGAAAAGTACAAACCGCTGCTGTTCGAGCAGGTTCTGGTGAACCTAACGCCTGTTCAGGAGCTCCGAGAATTCCTGGCCAGCTGGAGCGGTTCAGGTGGCAGTAATCGCAACTCGCAGACCATGGATGACTCTACCTTTGATTTTGGCAACGATTCGAGCTCTGTGGGTGTTAATAGCAACACAATGGTGCTGGTGGGACCCTCATCCAGTGGCAAAACCAATGCTGTCTTCGCCCTGGCGAACGACATGAACTTCAATGTGCTGGAGATCAATGCGGGAATGAAGCGGACGGGAAAGAAGCTGATCCAAGAGCTCCAAGAAGCCACGCAGTCGCATCAAATCAGAAAGGATAGCAAGGCGGCGGGCAGTGGATCCTCGCAGCAGTTGCTCCAAAAGTTGCAAAAGAGCGGCCTAAAAGCCAAAGCCAAGGTCGTGGAACCTCCGTCGGAGGAGCGCAAGTCCCTGATTCTTATAGAAGATGCAGACATTGTCTTTGACAACATGGATGCTGGATTTACGGATGCCATTTATACCTTGGCAGCCAGTTCCAAGAGACCTGTGATTGTGGTGGCCACCGATCCAAATAGCGCGCATCTGCAGCGTCTGATGCAACAGAATCAGATCCATTTCCAAGCCCCGAACGCCCTTAACATCTCCAGGTTCCTGGCTGTTCTGTCTCTGATGGAGAACTGTCCCATTGAGCTGGATGAGCTGATTTCTCTGTATCTGTACAATGCACAGAATCTGCGAAAGACGCTGATGGAGCTGCAGTTTTATATTCAAAGTGGTGGTGATCCAACTGGCGGAAGAACGGCAGCCGTTAGATCGCCGAGCAAGAGCTCACACAGCCGGCTAGCCACCGTCGATGGCAGTCGCATCCATCAGCGATTGTTTGAGTTCTTCACCAGTCCACAGAATATTCTGCACCGGATACCCTTTCCCGTGGACTTTGGGCTGCTTCGCTTGAATCTCAACGATCTTATATCCAATTCCCCGCTCCTAAAGGAGCCACAACCACCTGGAGGTGGTAGAAACACTGCCAAGCGAAAGTCCCGCTCACCAAAGAAGGCCTGGCTGAGCAGCGCCACCAACACCTCATCATCACCCCTCGCCACGTTGGCTGCTTTCTATGACAATATTTCGGTGGCGGCACTGATGGACTCTAGCCGGGATTGCAGCGATCGCTTGCAGTGGCATCTGTCGGAGGACATGGCCCACCTGCTGGTGGAGCAGGCTCTCCAAACCGGACTGGCGGCCAAGGAGTGTCCATACAACCTGTTCGACAAGCCGGCACAAAGGTAATAGAAGGGAATATGCAACAATAAGGGGAGCTAACTTCGGCACGCCGAAGTCTCTATACCCAAAACTAACAGAAAATATATAGAAAAGATATATATTTATACATAGCATAACATTATTTGGTTTTGATAATTCAAAAACATTTTTAAATCGATTTTTCTTAAACTCTTTGGTGCATTTTAGTAACTCCGATCTCTTTAACCACAGTTGAAAATATGTTGGCATTTTATTCATATCATTCTATATAGCTGTCATAAAAATAATGGATGGTAAAAGGAAGTCTGGACTTTTTTTTATCGTCTGGCAGTCATATAAAGTGGTTTTCCTTTTTGCATATCACACTTTTTAAAGGCATATTGTGGGAATGACCGATCGTTTAGCTGTCATAAAAGCACAATCATTCATAAAAGTGTCCGACAGAAAACCTAAAACCTAAAGTTTTAACTATTTCCGAGTGAAATCACTTGACAAATTTGCATTTTTTATTTAATAATTATTAAATTATAATTATAATTGGTTTTTCATAATTTACTAAACTTTGTAACAGTAATAACAAGATCCTTTTGATTTCTTTTCCAGAGTGACAATTTGCGAGTATCTGGGCAACGGCATTATGCGTTCCGCCTCCGCCAAGGCGCTGGACTTTGAACCCAACTTACGCTCCATTTGCCGCAGCGAAAGGGAGCGAGCCGGGCAGGAGCGGAAATCCAGTAGATTCTATCATTACCTGAGAAACCACACGGTGAATGTGACGAGCTTTGCAATGGAATACTTTGACACTGCCTGCGGAGTGTTCCAAGCGAGCAACCATAGTGATCCGCCGGCGGATGCCGAGGAGCCAAGGGATTAGCAGTGGTCGGAGTTAGTTTAATTTTTGTACGATTAATATTTGGCGGAGTTGCTCCGCCGGAATTGTTTGCAATTTATTCAGATCGCGAGGTAAGCAGAGTTGATCTTCTTAGGCTAGTTTTGTATGGACACGATGAGTATGCGAGAGATGAACCTACCCTAGTTACAAATTAATTACACTAAATTAATAACGACCTGAGCCTATTATGTTAATAAATCAATTATAGAACACAAGACGAAGTGGTTTCTAGCAGCAGCAAAGGAAACCACCGGAGCTCTTCTTGGCCGGCTGTGGATCGCCGGATATTGGGTTTTCCGTCGGGCTCTTGGCGGGCAAGGCAGTAGGCTGGACCTGAATGGGCGGCGCTGCTGGATTTATTTCACCAATTTTGTAGTTCTTCAGATCCTTTTCGGCATCGCTAGAGTGACCAGCTTGCTTGAATGCCTTAGAGGCATCCTTGCCGCCATATTCGAGGAGGACATCGTTACCGCCAGGATGTTCGTTAAGGAACTTGGTGACATCGTACACGTTTCCCTTGATGATCAGCCAGCAGGGCTTGCCGTTCTTGCCATTCTGCTGGGCCACCTCCGTGAGATCGTACAGCTGCGACATGATTGGACGGATTGATTGATTGATTGACTGATATCACGATTGCCTTATAGATTTCCGGTGCCAGCGTCTACTCTGAATGGCTGTTGTAAATTTGGCGATAAGTTTGCTCTGGATTTCCCTTTTTTTTGGAGCTGTTAATGGTTGGACGGACCTGGAAGCACTGGACGCGTGCCTATGGCAAACCTTTGCTTATGTTTAACCACTTATCAATAGTGCAAATATCGCTCCGATCGGTTGTACTCGCGCCTCGTCGCTTCCCGCAACTTGCTCGCCTATTTCGGTGAATTACTATTTGCTGTTTTATTTCCACAATCTGTCTGATGAGTTGTTTCTGTGATAAGGAATACGTGAGAATTTCACCGTCTTTCAAGGCGACCCACTGTGTAGACGCTGCCTTATAACGCTGCCTGGATTTGTGCAACTCATTAATGCAAATTGATGAGCATGTGTTGACATGGAGTGGCTTTCTATCTTCGGAGAAATCTAAAGACAGTTTGTGATTCACTGGAGCATGATGTTGAAAAAATTGTTGAGTTCTCTGGCTTGGTGATTAATTTATGGGACATATTTCTGTGTCACCTCTCGACTTTTCAGATAGAACAAAATTAAGGGAGCGGAGGTGAGTATGATACATCATAGGAAAGCCCTTCTTTTTGACGTTGATATGGGCTAATCAGTCGGGCAAAGCTAAATGGAGATATAAGCTTATAAACGTCAATCAACACTTGAACAGTTCTATTTCCAGATTTTTATTCGGTTACCAAGCATATTTGCTTCTTTTTCACTTTGAACTAGAGGAGGAGAAATACCGTTGTAAACATCAATGCGTAGATGGTTATGAACATAAAAGTAGAGTAATATATATTCCGAATCGCCATTAAAATCTTCATTCTGAGCGCCTGGTACAAGCAATCAGGATGTGATATATTTATTTATAATGGGAAGAGTCCAAATTGGTACCATATTCCAGTGAAATTGGTTCTCCTTTCTCATGTTAAGTACCAGGCCAACGATGTTGACGTCAGTGGTATTGTGGATTGCGGGAGAGACTTTGGTGCTCTTATCTAGAGAACTGTGGATGTTATTTGTGCCCCCATTTGCTAGAAAGGGAACACATCTATCTTACTCAGAGAGAGCAGTACTATCGACGTCATTGGTACTGTGGATTGTGGGAGAGCAAGAGCAGAAGATCGGTAACTGCTGCATTCTGAGCGCCTGGTATTTAAAATCAGATATTTGATAAATTTGTACTGAGAAATGAGTTGATTGAGACCAAATCCCAGAGCAAATTGTCTTCCCCTTTCCCATTTTGAGTACCAGGCTTACAGAAATCAGTATGGCTTACGACCTCTTTAAAAGAAACAAAGTTGGTAGGGTATTTTTGGCTTTCAAAGTTTATATTCTATATATTTTGGAAATATATTTTAAATTTGCTTTCGTTTTTTCTCCACTTTGGTTTTCATGGTTTTTTGGATTTGTTTTTTTGTTTTTAAGAGACAACAACAATAATTGGTATTCATTTAATATATATATGTATTCAGATATATATATATCGATTTATATATAGATTTATTATGTTTTAGACGTCTGGCTTAATGCGCGTTTAAAAAATTTCGCTAGTGTGTGGGTGCAATTTATGCAGCGGGAGATCGGGATCGAACCTTCAGTTCGATTTCGTAAGGACGGGATTGTGAGGGGGGATGGTGGATTATGATCTCGGATGGGTTCTGATCGGAGGAGTAGTGGGAGTTAGGGCTTACATTAACATAATGCTCCTCTACGCATTGTCCTGCATTCGCGGTGTATTTACAAATGAATCTCGCGGGTGATTTCCTTGTGATCTTTACTTTATTCATATATATTTATCTTTTGTTATAAATATCAGTCGACGGCTTCGCATTTTCAAAACGCAGCTCGTGTGCGCTTCGATTTGTATTCTCGATTTAAATGTACAGAGATAGCATATCGTTATATATATATATATTATATATCGTATATATAAAGTGTAAAATTAATTACTTGTCAATGATTGTTGATTTGTTGTCTGAATTAATCGATCGATCGGCTTGAATTTCCTCAAAAATTGTAATTCAATCAGTTGATTTACTATAATTTAATCATATCCTTTTGTTTTATCATTTGATTTACTTAGTTACCGTTTAGTTTTGGCTAAACACAATTCGTAGACTTGATCTTCGTTTAGAATTTAATTGTTTAATTTAAAAAACAGTTTTGGAGGTAGTTGAAATTAGGCCTGTTTACGTAAATTATATTTAAGAATATAATTATTTGTATAAATGTGTAAATATGTGTAGCTGATTCAACGATTTCGTGTCTCCTCCTTCGTTTATCATTTTCGAGCTCGCTTCGATATTTTAGCTGGACTTAATTCGTTTATACCTATTTAATTAAATAATTTCTACTCGTTTTATTTAGTTAATCATTGTCTCCTGTTTGCTGATCTGTGACATTTCGGGCTATTTCCGGTTTCATTACTTTAAGTATCCGTTGATCCATAGACATCGAGCTATATCCGCTATATATCGTATGTGTTTAAAATGTAGGCTTGTAGGACTTGTTGGCTTAGTAAAGTTTGTTTTGTTTTATTTTTGCTTTATTCTGAATTCGTTATCGTCATATTTTCCTAGTTTTTCCCTCTAAATTGTTGGTTAAATGTGGTTTAAATTTGATTTAATGGATCGTAAGTTCTTGAAACCATTTTCCTTTCATAATTTCTTTGATATTTTTTTTTTTTTAATTTAAATTGTATTAAGAATTTGATTTGTTTAGAAACGACATGTTATACATTTGTCGGGATAAAAAAAACGGGTGAGATCTCTAATTATATTTATAATTACCAAAATGATCTAAAATGTATTACTTGTGCTTAGAATTTACATTGCAGTGGGCTTGATTTGTTAAATTGTTTTATTTTTCTCTAAACTAAACACACAAAAGTCTATTCGCTTAAAAGGATTGAACATTTTCAGAAATAATTTATAACTGAATTTAGGTCTTGAATTTCTAATCGGAACAAATTATCGTTTCAACACTGGAAATTTATCGATAAATTGTACCAGCGCGATCATGCAAGTTTGAAATGTCAGTTCGATTGGCGGGAAATTTAAATGAAAAATATTCTTGAAGTTGCCTAAACCAACTTCATTTTCAAGTTGTTTCCTTTCGAAAATTTCCCGATTTAGGCCAGCAGAAAATCCACAAAGGGAGAAAAGCAATAAAATAAATAAAAACAATAAATTTCTCTACAATTTGGTTTACATAGATTTCATTTCATTTTTTGTTTGTTTTTTTTTTTTTTTTTTTTACATTGTAATTCCGTTAGCAAATATACAAATACAAATTTCAATTGAACTAAAAATTGTGTGTGTGTGGTGTGTTTCGTGTGTTCCAGCACATGGGCCATGCATAAGAATAATAATAATTATAATAATAATAATAGGGGGACAGAGGGTAGAGGGATAGAGTATAGTTAAGAGTGGCTTTTCGTTAGAAACTAGCGTTATTCAAACTAAAATGTGTGTGTGTATACAATATTCATTCATAAAATTACATTACATATTCACTTATTTTCGTTATTACTTTCTTTCATTCCTCTTGCCGTTTTGTTTTTCAAATTTTTGGGTATTTTAGTGTCTGCTTCTCCTTAATTTATACAAAAAAAAAAATAGAAATTCTTGTGGCGAATGGAAATGATGTTACAAGAACTAAATGAACCTCTTCTATGGTCTATGTTGTTGGTGAGTGCTTAAAGGCGGCAGCGCAGCTATGTCTTCTCTTCTCCTTTCCTTTCCCCCAAACTCATTCTCTAACCGTCGTTCCTTCTCTACTTTTAATTCCATTTACAAATTAAATTCTGACTAATAAACAGTCTTTTCGTACCAGCGCAAAAGTTGGCGACAGACCTACACAAAATAAATCTGTTAAACTTTAACATAATAGTTTAAACATAGGCTAACATAAAAAAAAATATATGCCGTAGATATATAAATATATATATGTTGGGGATGTTGGAGATTTTACAAGCAATGGGGACATCACCAGCTCCCGAAAACGATCTATCTATAAGTTGCACTCATCTCTTAGTTCTGTATATTTCCAGCAGAGCCAGTGATCCCTCTCCGCCTTGGAAATCTCTTGCGGCTCCTGCAGCATCCCCGATATATATTTTAATTGTAGTTTTAAACTTAACACGAGCTCAGTTATGAGTTGGCCGCACAGTGGCTGCAATTTCGGCTATTGCAGCTGCAGTGGCAGCTCATCATGCTAGAGTTGGAATTATTGCGGCTCATCGTGGTCAGCGGGAGGAGATCCCCCGTCGCTCCAGCGGAGAAGGAAGACTGAGTGGCTGGCGTCGTCTCGGTGGCGGCGGGTAAGCTGGCGGTGCTGCTGCTGCTTCCGCTTGTCCTCAGCGGCTGCAGGCCAGCACCAATTGGCACGGAGACAGACAGCGGCGGTGTGGGTATTCTCTCCGGACTGCAATTCCCGCTAGGCGTTCCCGTTGGCGCTCCTCCTCCAACTCCGGCTCCTAAGCTAGTCAGCAGCTGCGTGCTGGGTCCCAGTCCTGCGTAGATATGCGTTGCACTGGGATTGGTGCCATAGCCACAGGCCGTACTCTTCAGGAGCGAGGCATTCGACACTGGAAGCGTGGCCAGAGGCACAGCGGCCAGCGAGGAGGCCGACGATGAGGTGGACACGCAGGCGGAGGAAGCCAGCGAAGAGGCAGACGATGACATGGATACGGAGGACGCGGAGGAGGCAGAGGCAGAGGCGACTGAGGACAGCGGACAGCTTGGCGGTGATTTGGGCGAACTGATCCGCGAGAAGAACTTGCTAATGGCATTCGGCTTGGACTTGCTGGACGATGAGGAGGCGGACACAGAGGCACCCGTGGGCGAGTACGTGGAGGAGGCGGCCTGGAGCGTGGTGAGGCGGTAGCTGGAGCTGGAGATGCCGCAGCCGCCCGCCGAGATCTGCTCGGGCACATCCCGCACCGTCTTGTTGGGCGGCGGTTTGGTGTACGACCTGGTGATCTCCGATTGCTGCACAGAATGTATAAAAGGGAATCATTAGTTTGCTAATTAAATTTACATTTTTTGGGTTACCCACCTGATAGCTGCTCCTGATCTGCAGATGGCGATCCTGTCCGTACTCGCTGTCCGGCAGTGGTACGTGATGGGGACAGCGAGGCGTCTGCTGCTGCTGCAGCTGGTACTGGTAATGTTGGTGGTGGTCATTGCTGTGGCTTTGCAGCGAACTGCAAGAGGATCCGGTTGAGGAGTTGCCGCAGTCGCCCTTGTAGCAACCGCTACCGCTCCCACTGCCGGTGTTGCCGTACTTGAGGGTGGTGGCTTCAATGCCGCCTCGCGCCACATTACTGCTAATACTATTGTTGTTGTTGCTGCTGCTGCTGCTCAGCTGCTGTTGCTGATGGTGGTCTCCTCCTCCTCCTCCTGCTCCGCCGGAGTTGTGCGTGCTTGGAGTTGTCATGCGTTGTTGCTGATGGTGGGAATGTTGTTGCTTGTTGCTGTGATGGAGATGGTGTTGCTGCTGCTGCTGTTGCTGGAGTTGATGATGCTGATTGTTGCCGGCGGCGCCACGAATCACAGTCTCGCCACGTACAGCCAGAAGCTCACATGCCTGGAGCGCATCTACGCGCATTCTACATCTAAATTGATCCCTGTTAAATAATCAGTATGTAAGTAATTTATAAATGAGAAATATTTAAGTGTTTTTGACACTCACCTATCATCGGGTGGTGTGCTTAAAGATGTGCGGGTCGGAACGCCGAGCCGCTCCATTCCCGCGCAGCCGGCCGTCTGTACCGATAGCATCTGCAAGGATAACAAAAAAATCAATTAGAAATCTTTCAAGGCATATAAATAGTTATAAACTAGTGATAAAGATAAGTAATAAAGATAAGATATCTAGAAAAAACACCTAAATTTCCACTAGTTCATCCTGGCAACTGGCCACCTCATCGACAGTCTGAAAGTGCTCTAGCATGAGCCACCGCTTGGTCACCAAACGATCGCAATAGCCACCGTACCAGTCGTCGTCGAAGTTCTCACACCCGTAAAACTCTATCAGAATTTCCATTTCCTTGAGACTGCCCGGCCGCAGGGGCTTGAACTTCAGCTTTCCCATATAGTGGCGATTGGGGCGCATCACAAATGCTTTTTCCACAAAGAGTACGGTTTGCTGCCAGAGGGATTTGTAGGGAATTCTCATACAGGGATTGCAACTCATCTTGACGGGGGTGTGGGAGCGACTAAACTCCACATCGAAGTAGAGCAGGAAGCACTCCAGATAACCCTGTTTTTTGACCTGAAGCCTTATGGGATGATCTATAAACAGATCCTCCTTTTTGACCGTATTCAAGTCCAGGCCTAGTATGGGATGGGCCAGAGTCAGGAGCTGTTTTCCGGTAGTCTTGGCATAGCGGGGCTCGGCCAGGGCATACCGACGCATGGCGTTCATGTTGAATCCGTAGACACTTAGCCACCAATTGCAGCGATCGTTCTTCAGCATTCGCTCCTCGGAGCCCACGAGATACAGCGAACCCAGATCGGGCAGTATAAAGCCATCTTCCTTCAGCCAGCGATCGCGTGCCTCCAGGACCTCTAGGATCTCTGACTCAAATAGGAGACAGTGGCCCATCCAGTTGCATAGGATGCCATCGACCTTCTGGGGCAGCCTTATGGCGGCTATGCGACCTTGAATCACCTCGATGATATTCTCCATGCGATTCTCTTGCACCACCAACTTCGTATAGCTAGTGACCTTGGAATAGTCTACGGCGTAAACCCTTCTCGCGCCAGCCTTGGCGGCCATAAGGGCCAGGGTTCCGGGACCGCAACAGAGCACCAGAATGCTGCTACCCTTGAAGAGATGCTGATTCTTCTGGATGGCTTCCGCAAAGAAGCGCATGTGATCTTGGCACTTGAGCCGGCTTCGCATATTTTCCAGATGGGCGCCGTAGTCATGCCGGAAGTCAGCCGAGGTCATGCAATCCACAGGCTTCAGCTCTGGCGGTACATCCCTCGGAGGCGTGGGAATCCTTGGGCAGGATCGCACTTGGGTTTTGGGACGGCCACGTTTAGAATCAAGCTGATTGGGTCTTTTTAGTATAGTAATTGCCGAGTTATTAAGACATCCATTGGTTTCCGAATTTCCCGGAATTGCTGAGAGTCCATTCTTGGGGAACTTGTGATTTTTAGGTACTACTTTGGACTTCTCCGAATGTCCGTTCTTTGTTGGCTCTCCGGAATGTTTGGATGCTTTAGTAGAGCTACTCTTGGCTTCTTTGGGAACTTCGCTGAAGCCATTTGCTGTATCCTTCGACTTCTTCGGAGTTTGACGGGCTTCTACCAGACTTCTTTCCACCTGGGTAACTGGATTCCGGTGCTCCGGAACACCGAGATTCCTGTCGCAAAAACTGCCACGACAACGAGTTCGGCCGCTTTGCCAAATTTGCGACTCTGCGGTGCCATTTACTGGATTCATCTTTTGGACATTTTCCGGAGTTTTTTTCTGATCTAGAAGCGCGTGGAAATCGGTCAGACTAAGCTTGATGGGCTTTTTGCGTGTGTTTGTCGCCGTACTGACGGCTTTCACAGTTTTTGTATTCTTATTTCCAGGCATTTGCGGTAAATTTCGTATAAAAAAAAGTTTGCAAGAAACACAGACGGCGAGAGAGAGTGCGATTGAGAAGGACTTAAAGCAGTGAGTTGGAGAAGGTGACGCTGAAGACATATCGATAGGAAACGAATGTGACGTCACAAAAGTTCAGCGAATACAAATTAATACATTTTGGATTAAGCATTAGCTAAATGTACTAACTCCTAAGCCCTACTTGTAATCTTGGAATAATTAAGGTATCTTTTCTTGGTTATTTTGAAAAATTGAGCTTGCTTTTTATGCATCAGGAACGTGTTAACAATTAATCGATAAAAAGTATGACCAGCGCTTTGATTCAATTATTTTCGCAACAAGTTTGTGCCAGTTACATTTTTAAATCAAACAAATAACGGGTATATTTGCTTTCTTTTGTTTGTTTTTTTTTCCATTAATTTCCTTCATACAAAAAATTATGTATATTTTTGTAAACTATATATTTAAGAAAGCAAAGTGTTTTTGTTACTTATAATAACACTCCATAGAATCCCTCCATTTCTTAAAACATGAAATCTCCCCTCTACCTGACTTCTACCATGCCAAACCTATCTCTGCACTGCCGATTCGCATAACTCAAAATGTTCCACATTCCGTTGGCCACCTTTTTCTTCTATTTTCCTGCGAGTGTGCTTTTTGTTATTATTTTGTGCTTTTTGTGTCTTAGCCCCCGAATGCCCCACCGCCTCACCTGGCGATTGATGTGTGCAAGCGAGCATGAAAGAAATGACAAATCTCTGCGCGAACATCAACAAATAATAGAGCAGCACGAATATTTTTGGGCGACGGCTACGTCGGCGGCCGCCGACTTTGTAAATTATACAAATATGCAAATGCAATTTTGTAAATTAAAATCTCGTAAAATTGTGTGGTCAGATTTGTGTGCGTGTTGGTAAGTATGTTTCATATAATTATAATTTTCAGGCATACTAATTTAACTGAATTTATATTTTATATACAGAACGTAGGTTTTTGTGAAAAATTTCCTGCATAAAAAATGTAGGGGAAATTATCTTACTTTTAAGTGCAGGTCTGATTGTTATGGGTCCTTAAGGGGGGGTAAGGTATTTAATTTTTTTTTTGTAGTAAATTTTTTTTTTTTTTTTTATTTTAAAAGTTCAATATCTTAAGAATATTGTGTCCAAGTTTTACATCAATCATAGTAAAATTGACGAAGTTATGCGGAGCTGAACGAAGGTCGGTTGGTGTTCAATGCATGAGAATCACAAAGTTTAAAGCGCTCTCCTGAAAAATGCCATTTTGAAAATCGGTGTACACGATAACTAAAAATATACTGAACCAATCGGTTTGAAATTTGGAACATAACTTCTTTAGATAATTCTACAGGTATTCTCGTCGAGCTATTTTTAATTTTTAATTTTCTTATATTTTTTATTTAACAAATTAACTTAATTTTTTAGTCAAAAATCGGGGTTTTGACTTCAAATTTTGATAAAAAATAGGGAAAAAATTTTAAAAATAAAAACGCTTCGAGAATACCTCGGGACACTTATCCTTTAACGAATGAGGTATAATTTTTGTAGATCGGATGATTCTGTGGACAGTTAGGATGTACACCGCAAACCAACTTTTTTTGGAGGCGACTCGGGAGATTCCCTATAACTCCTCTACCTCTAAATATTTTTCAATACAAAATTTATCACAAACTGTTCAAATGTTGTGTTATTATATGGTATTTAATTCGTTAAGCTAGCTTTAGCCGTTTCGCCACAACATTTTTTTGAAAAGTGGGCATTTTTGCACCGAATTAACCTTACCCCCCCTTAACTCATGGAACCTTAAAAAAACCGTAAACCTTTTAAAAACCTTGTAAAATATAAAATAAAAGATTATTTAGAAACCCAAAAATTGCATTGCATACTTTTAGATACCTTTTTATGAGTTTTAAAAACCCTACAGAGTTCTAAAGCACCTTAGAATAAGTCGTACTAAATTGTAAGGACTTCTGAGACTCCGATTTTGTTTTGGTTTTCATTTTATTTAAAACTATACTAAAAACCAAACAAAATTCAAATAAAAGCGTATAATAATTTATTAAAATCTGTAAACTCTACATATTCTTAATTTTTCTTTGGTTTTAAAGCAGGTGTGTGTAGTTTTGTTGTGCCATTCGACTGTTGTATGCATGTATGTATATTTTTGGGTCATATTTGCTTTCTTTGTTATTATTATAATATATTTTTTCCTTTTTTTTGTTGGTAATCCGAGTACCAGAAAATATCGCATCACATTGTCTGGGGCGTCTCCTCTCGCAACACACACACCCCGCCCCGAACACCCTGGGCTGCCTGTGCAAAAAAATTAGGTTAAAATGTTTACTCGAGCATTGCAGACGGGATTGGCAATAACCTCATTTTCTGTTCGTGCTTCATGGTGTGTGTGTGTGTGTGTGTGTGCCAGACTCTGACGTAAGAGAAATGTCTGCTGTTTGTTGTTGTTATTATTATTGTTGCTTTTGTTGGACTAAGCCCAGGCCATAAGTTAGCATGCTTTTTCCCACTGGCTCTGCATCTGTCGTTGTTTGTTGTTGTTTATCTTTATCGTGCTTCTTTTTTATTTTCTTTTATTTATATTCTTCTTTTTTTTTGGGAATAAAGTGACATAATATTGAGGGTAAACCCTTGTTTTTGGTTTTTGTGCCCGCTTTTATTTGCCTTTGGCCTTCTTTGAATCCTTGAAAGTTTCCGACTTTTTCTGTGTTTTTTTAGGTTAGTCTAATTTTTTAAATTATCCGAATTCTAAAATTCCCTTAACGCTTAGGGATAATACAAGCGTTTATAAATGCCTTCTATTCAAAGATGTTTAACGAATCAAACGATTTATTTTCATTAGAATAAATCAAGATATGTATATCACAGAAAACAAGAAAGGAAGCTAACTTCGGCACGCCGAAGTTTTTATACCCTTGCAGATTGTTTTTGATGTTTGTATTATAGACTTAAATGCTGGAAACACACACAAAACAGAGTTTTATTACATTTTACCTATACTTATGTTTACAGTTGACAGTTAAAGTTTTAAATTCCGAGCTTTACATCTACCGATCGCTTCTATGGCAGCTATATGATATAGTTGTTAGATTTTCATAAAACTTATACTAAAATTCTGAAATAATATCAAAAGCTCATATCTCAAAGTAGATGAAAATACGTTGAAAAACAACGAAGTTATAATTATTTCTATTTATTTCCCGATCGTTCCTATGGCAGCTATAAGATATAGTCCACCGATTTTCATAAAATTTAAACCAAAATTCTGAATTAATAACAAAAGCTCATATATCAAAGTAGATGAAAATACGTTGAAAAACAACGAAGTTATATTTTTTTCCTATTAATTTCCCGATCGTTCCTATGGCAGCTATATGATATAGTCGTCCGATTTTCATAAAATGTTTACCAAAATTCTGGAATAATATAGAATGGCTATATCTCAAAAATGATGCAAAAATATTGGAAAACAGCCTAGATATAATTTTTTTTCTAAAAATTTATCGAACATTTGTATGGCAGCTATATGATATAGTCGTCCGATCCGGCCCGTTCCGACATATATAGCAGTGAGAGTATATAGAAGACTATATGCAAAGTTTCATTCAGATAGCTTTAAAACTGAGGGACTAGTTTGCGTAGACGGACAGACGGACAGACGGACATGGCTAGATCGACTCGGCTGTTGATGCTGATCAAGAATATATATACTTTATAGGGTCGGAAACGTCTCCTTCACTGCGTTGCAAACTTCTGACTGAAATTATAATACCCTGCAAGGGTATAAAAATAACAACCCAAAAGTATGCATCGGAAAATGTCTTGTTTCCTAGCATACTTTGAAACCCATTTTTAAAAGGATTTAAAATTATTTAGCCTTTTTAAAGTGATTTTTTTATCCCCTAATAAAGGGAAATGGAATAAAAATAATTTGAAATGATTTAAAACAGATAATAAATAATTTTATAAAAATTTGAATTTTAGAAACTAGGCAAACATTTTATATTAAAAATGAATACATTTTCAATAAACCCAAATTTCGTTCGCCAAAAATTTGTAACTTTTCGAAAAGTTCCGCAACAGGAACAGCTGTGTGTGTGTGTGTGTGCTTGTGTTTCGCTCTCTCGCTTTGTATGTAATTGTAATTAATTTATGCACGTCTGCGTCTGGTGCGTGCGTCTGGCATAGATAACGGTTTTAATGAAAGCCCGTTTCGCTCTCACACGTCCTAATGTTAACGTTGCTAATGTTAACGCCTACAGAGGTATGCGCTCATGTGTGCGTGTGCAGAAATTCGCACACATTCACACACAATAGGCACATGCGAGCGCACATTTTAATAATCAATTTGAATTATTCATTGCCTAACGGCGGCAAATAAAATTCGATTAAAACACAACGCCGCTGCCAGCGTCGCTCTGCTTCGCCTAAACGCCTTGGGTTATTAGCGGCAATTGTGTTTCGCATTTCCCGCCGCCACCGCCACCGCCCAGCAAAGCCAATTCCCGCCCACGCACTTGTCTCCACTGCTTCCACATCCACATCCATTTTCATTTCTATATTTCCATCCGCATCTTGGGCTTCTAAATGCCTTTTGTGGGGGAAGGGGATCAGAGTGGCTGAACAATGTTGAACGAAACATTCATTAATTATGCTCTCATCACGGTTAAAACTAGGATAGGTGAGATATCAGGTTAAAAATCCTGGTTTTTCTCATATTTTGGGGAAGGGTACTAAAGAGGGGGAGAGAAAAGACTTTGGAAGTTGTTTTTGGTAAAAAGCTATTACCCAGAATCGTTGTTTCTAGATATTTGTAGCTTTAAGTAATAAAATCTAGTTTTATATTTTTAGGAATCTTTTCAACATATTTTGAAAAAGGATGATGGAGATTATGTTCTATCCTTCAAAAAACTTGCATTTCAAAGTATTTTTATGTAAAGAAAATAAGTTTTAGAATTATTTGACTAAGTCACGTCTTTCTAATTTTCCTTAGTTTGGGTTAAAGGATTTTGAAACTATTTTAGCCTCTCTAATTAAGTAATTCTTAATTTTTAGCTTTATTCTAATAATATTTATTTCAAGTATATAAACCTCACAATGAGTTCTCACTGTACCTGATGTGTTTCATTCATAATGCTGCCTCTGGCGTGGGCAAATTAAACACAAGAGGAAAAAAACCAAGTAAATATGAAACAAGATTCTAGCTGCGGAGAAAAAAATGAGCAAATGCGCACTGGAAGATGTCAGCAAAGCGAGTAACAATTTGTCAAAGTTGCCGACTTTAATCTTTTGTAATGGGCGTCACGGCGGCGGCGGCACTCCCCCTCTACCTGCCTTCTTGCCTTCTCATTGGGAAATCTTAAAACCACAATCTGAAAAGCCGCCTTAACAACTTTGGCCCAATGGAGCCCACGGACGAGAATCCACCAAAATCGCACGTGTGTGTGGGAGGCGTGTCTTCTGTCGTTAAAGTAAATCGTAGAGCTTCAAGGTTATTGCCGGTGTCTAGTGAAGATTCAATAAAGCAAATATTCAGGTAAATGAGGGAGAGATTTTAAGATACCCTTTAAAGGAGGAGCTAAAAGAATCAACAGATATGCCGACTTATTACTCAGCTTCTGAGATAGATTATATTTTTTACGTCATAATGACAAGGCACAAGAACTAGTACTAATTACTAGAAACTATTTGGAAATACTACTGAGCTGAAATGTGTTTAAAACAGTGCTCGGCACCATCACAATCAACCAAAAAGCACATTTGTGTGAGTGAGGTACGGAGCAAAAATGACGTGAGTGTGTTCCGTGTGTGTGAAGTTTACGCTATCCGTGTGCTGGCAGCGCTGCCGGCAGAGCCTTTGCCTATCCCATGGGCTTGGGACGTGCCGACTACTGGTTTAAAACTATCTTTTTTATTTGCAATAGAAATCTTCCATTTAAACTTAATAGACTTGGGTTAAGTATATGTGACGGATTTCCCAGCATAACTATAACCAGTTCTTATTACCAGAAATATTTCAAACTTGAACCTAGGTTAAATATGCCTAAAAGTATTACTATCATTAAGAGGGTTCAAATTCAATGTTATTCTTTGCAAGTACAAGCTTGATGACCATCTAAAACTGTCCAATAAACTTTGTACAAATGAACTTAAAAGAAAAGTAATTACTGTCATTTATCTTAACTTGAAGTCTAGAAAACGCACAAGTAAAAACTGTGTTCTTTAAGATTCCTTGTTGTAAGTTGAGAAACATTCTCACCAATCATGTTTATTAAGGACATACCGTAAACAAATACCGTGTACAAAAATGGAAAGCATTTAAAGTGAGCAGGCAGGCTAAGTAGACAAAGCAAGAGGCGCTGATGGAGAAATTGAATTTGTCTTGGCCATTATAATAAAGACGTATAAAAATGCCAGACGCCAAATGGATTCCCCAATTCTTGTTCTTATTTCATTTTGTTTCTTTGCCTTCGAGAGGAGTGATAAAAATTGAATGCCAAATGAGAGACTAAGACACTGAGTCACACACAGAGACAGAGAGAGAGAGAGACACAGAGAGTAAGAGAGCAAAAAGGACGTGCTGTGCATCCAGTAAGCATTGCATAACACCCGGCGCACACACGCAGGAGAGCAGGGGGGGGTGGTACGATGGTGAATAAATGGGCATAGGCGCAGTTACATAAGACTTTTTGCGTTGGCGGCGACAAAAGCAATTTAAGCATGTCTGCAATGGCCGCCCACTTTTCGAGCTCTGTTGCTTCAAGGACTTTTCCTGCTCCCTTCGTCCACTTCTCTTACTCCTTCTGTCTGCGCCTCTGTCTCTCTTTTCTCGTTTTTGCAAAAAGGGAATGCATGGAATATATTGGCAAAGGCGAGGGCGATGAAAAAAGGAAACTTTCGACACGTGTCTCCTTTCTGCCATTCCTTTTTACACGGCTACACAGTGAGGAAAAAGTGCGCCAAGGCTGGCATTGATTGATTGATGGATCGATTAAAAGGTTTATTTTAATAGGTCAGTCGCTGTTTTTAATTAAGGTATATATAATTTGCATCTATAAATTGGCAACACGTCTGTCTGGCAATAAAAATAGTTTTGCCTACGCTTAAGCTTTATTGCCAACGAAATAGCTGAGTAATTGACAGCAATTATTATAGAGTTCAATTCATAAAGGAAGCCAAAGATACCCCATTGAGCTATATATTTGGGTTAATATCTTTATTTTTTTTGGCTGAAGATATGTTGAGTTTTAGGCTTAATTAAGACCTCAAACTTTTGAATTAAATTTGATGAAAACTAACCTTTAGAAGATATGTATATGACAAAGTAAGGATTATCGGTATAGAATCCCTTTTTATTTCTTACTATATTATAAAAGTGTAACGTATAGACCCGCAAAAGCCCACCCAAAATTTTTACCACCCACCAGAACCTTTTCTTTCTGTTTTTCTTTTTCGCTGTTTTTCCTGTTCCTATTTCTTCTTGTTCTCATGTTTTTCTTTTTGTGTTTGCTTGACAAGCAAGGAAGTAGGCAAGTGAGTACTTACGGGTACAGAATGTTCCGGCTCGGTTGGCAAAAGTGTTGTTGTTTCTGTTGCTGATGCTGCTGCGTTTGTGGCTACTGCTACTGTTGCAGCTGCTGGTGCTGCTGCTGCGGCGGCGGTGGCGGCTATAGCTGTCTGATCCGCTGCTGTGGAGCCCGATGTTGAGGTTGTTGTCGCCAGTGGCAGGGCCAGAGCAGAATTGGTATCCTGTCCGATCCCAATCCCAATCCCGATCCCAGGTGACAGCACCGCGTTGTTTTTGCTGCGCCGTCGTTGCGACGAGCGACGTTTGTGACGTATCCGGCGCGTTGTTGCAGTGCCTCCTGCCCCAGCTCCTGCTGCAGATGTTGCAGTAGCTGCTGTTGCTGTTGCTGCTGCTGCTGCGGTCAATGTTGCTGCTGCGTTGGATGAGCGGCGAAGGGCAATCGCGGCCACCAACACACTGCCACAGGCCAGGCACACGGATAAACTAATGGCGATTAGCAACAAGCGACCTGCAACGAGGAGAAAGTGAAGAAAATGTGTTTAGTTTTGGGATTTCTATTTAGTTTTTTTAAGTGCTTAAGTCTATGGTAATTTCTACGATATTTAAATCTTTAATTTCTACTGATATAAGGCAGGAAAAATTGTTTGTTTATAATCATGTTTTATTTAATCCATATTTATTTAGTTAAAAATGTTTCCTTTTCCTTATTCAGGTAGTGAAAATTTAAAAATTTCCGGCTTCTTTTAAAGTAAAGCTTCATTTTATCTTACATTTCTTTCGTTTTTTTCCACTCACATTTCCAACTTTATTACTCTTAAATTTCCGTTTAATTTAAATAACTTATTCCCACTCACGAACGCTTTTAATTACTATAAATAAGCGAAACAAAACGAATGCGGCCCACAGCCAGCCACAAGCGACCAAATAACAATGAAGGAGCAGCAAAAAAATAACAAAAAATAAAAACAAAATAGGCGGCAAGAACAAGAGCGAGCCCCGTGCAACTGTCGTTGGTTGTAAACGTATTCCGTAGATACAGATACGTGCTCGCTGTCGTATCTACAAGGTGCGCGACATCGTCGCCCGCCGATTTCGCCCTGTAGAAAGACCCCGGGTACTACTGTCACCCGTTACCCGTATATACCGATACATATATATACGTATCTATAGGTATGTATATATAATGTGCGTCCGAAATATATATGTAGCAGCGTCTGCGTCTAGACTAGATAGCAGACGACTTAAGTGATACAAGCACACATGCGCAATCGAAGCGCAGTAAGCGAGTGAGTGCGAGCGAGCCAGCCAATGTAGGCGGACAGCAGCAGTTCGATAAACAAATAAGCGAAAAATAAATAGTTTAAAAGGGTTTGATTGACACACGAAAGATACCCTGTAAAGTGGAGAAAGTGGATGACATTTTACAGATTTTTTTCGATGAAGAAAATAAGCTTTTTAAGAAGGAAAATTGATTACCAATGCATTTATTGCAGTTTTTAAAATATATTTATTATCTAAATCTAAATTTTTACAAATTTGGCTTGATTTAAAGTTTAATAATCTATAAATATTTATAGTAATTTAATTCAACCTCATCTTAAACTACAATGACTAAAGCCACAACAAAAAACCTCCAAAAATAAACCCAACAATGTGTCAAAACCTTAAAATAAATCAAACTATTTATAGTCTAAGATCTATTGTAATAAAAACTGAAAAGGAAGTACACCAGACACCATCCACAAGTGACAGTCACGCTTGGACCTTGCACCTTACACATCGATTAAAAAGTGAGTTCTATTTCTGTTAGGCTGAGCTTTCACCAAAAAAAAAAAATCCCCGCCGTATAAAGTCCAAGGCGAGAGCGCACCTGTGACAAAGCCAAAATGCCGCAATTAGCAATGGGTATTAGTATAGGCAAAACTATATGGCAAGGCGGTCACATTCCGAATCCGCCAGACGCTGCTGCCGCTGCTGATAGAACGGCAGACAGACAGACGGAGGCCACCCGTCGCGGTCGCAGACCCTGTAACAGAGCAAACACACTCACAGATACGTAGATACTCAGATACTCAGATACAGCTACTAGACAGACCCCGATATACTATTTGGGATACAGACACACGCGAAAGCTTGCGCAACTAGATTTTACAACTACATATAGTAAATATCATGACGCTCTCCGATCCGCAGCGCAATTTCATCAAGGCGAAAATGACGCAGCTATGTAAACGCTATCTCCCTCTCTGACGAGGTGATCGCCGCCGCTGAATGAAAATGAAAATATTCCAATGCGCGATGACTGCTCTGGATTTGCAGCACTAATTTATGGTTTTAAATGAAAAAGAGAAATGCTGCGGAAAAACAAAAACAAATGGTAATACAACGAAAAACAAACAAAAAGAAGTCAGCCAGGCAGCTAGGCAGCCAGTCAGCAGACAGGCATGAACAAATTATACAACAAATGCCAGACAAAAGTTAATCAACTAAAATTAAAATGTACAGAGTGAAAGAGGCGCAAACAACGCTGCGACAGCGGCAACCAATTAAAATATGTCAACAATTTCTATGACTCTCTCGCGTCTGACTTCAACTCAACCAAAGCCAAGCCAAGGAGGCAACAAAATAATATTAACAGGTACAACAACAGCACCGAAAACAACAAAAACAACAACAGTCAGTGGCACTTTAGACTTTTGCGCATTCCCAGCCGCTGTCACTCGGATTCAACCATTCCGTCTCAGGTGACTCAACCTACCTGGACTCTGTTGTCACTCGCTTTCGGTCTGCCTTTTATGGCCTTTGTTTTTTCTGATAATTATTTTGTTGCCTTTTCGGTTCACCCTGTACTTTTCAGTGTTTGGAGTGTGACAAGAGCTTCACTGGGAATTTAAATAATTAACTAAATTTTGGGTTAGATTGCAAAGATTACTAGAAGTTTGTGAAACATTTTAGACCATAAATAATTTGTTCTCTAAGTTCTGTGACTAATATAGTGATTTTCTTAGCTAAATAATAAAATAACATCAATTTCAAAGGGGTATTATTTCTAATATTTCTTGTAAAGGTGTTGAAATATATTTATTTCCATATTTTTAAATAAAAAACCACAATTTTTAAAATTATTTATAAATCCAAAGTCATTAAAATAATTAAAGCCTATTTTTGAGGCATTTACGTAAAAATAAAACCATTTTCCATTCCACTTAAGAGGTATCTAAGCGTTTGATCACTTTATAACTCTATCGTAATTTTATATATTTTTTTAATTGTGCCGCTCGTTTCGGCTTGTTGCAATTATTTTTATCGCAGGTGAAATGATTGAGCACGTCTGGGGACTTCGTTTACGTCTGGAGCCGCGCACATGTAGGAATATATACATACATACATGTATGCAGTTAGACAAATCACCTGATACCCTATAAAACTGGTCATTCGAAAGAGAAAGGAATACCTGGCAACAGTTCAACCGTATTTGATGGAACCTCTGACGCACGTGTGCCAGCAGCCAATAGCCAACTATTGAGAAAAGTGCTAAAATAATTGAGCGAATACAGATTCAATATTTGAATTGATCACACCAGACGCAAATCGCAAATAGCAAATGGCAAATAGACCAAAAACAGACCTCGCGCACCCGGCCAAACCGCATTAAAGCGACGACGACGAACCAGCTAGACAGATCAGACAGTTGGCTAACACTTTCCGAGACCGAGATCCAATGGCCACAACCAAACGGCTTTCATGGCTATTTTTATAGTGGAACGGACATTGAACGGACAGTGGGCAAAGCTTACGAATGGGGATCTCGTGGGGAAACTTGTTTCGATCTCTCTTTAAATATATACATATATAAATTTTACTTTTTTTGTTGACTAAAGGTTCCTTGACCGAGGCGGGATAATGCCTCTATATAAATATATGTATAATCAAGCCTCTGCCTTGCTCTCCATTATCTTTTCGGGGTGACAATTGCATTTGATTAAGAGTTGCGCGCGTTTCAAGCCGCAAAAGAAGATCACTTTCGATCAACTTTCCTTCCTTCGCTCGAACGCTGGAGCACAACAAAAAACGTTATTAATTCAATGATTATGATCATCGCGCTAATGACAGTCAAGTGCAGCGCACTTGATCCCACACCCCGAAAGCCAAACCGCTACACTGGCCGAAAAATGCCATTTGGATGGCAATGCCAATGACACCTTGATTGGGTGTCAAGGTTGTGCGAGGATCATCGTCGCATTCTACGCGGGTACATCATAAACTAACTAAAGGCATTATCACAAGCTTTAACAATCATAATACATTGAGGTGACATTGAACTTGAAAAATCAAATGGAATTGTGTGGATGATCTGTGTGAGCCTTTGTGTTGTTTAAAGTTTAGATTTTCTCGGTGTCTTGTGATGATATTTTCTGATATACTGTATTTGTATATTTGTAAGAATGTAGCACAACTTTCTACTAATTTAATATGAATTTTGAAAAAGTAATTTTATTATTAAAATATAGTTCATCTCCTAAATCTTTTCAGATATGATTAAACTTTTCTAAGGACCTTAAAACAAAAAGTTCATATAAAACGGTCTTCAAGCAACCTTTATAGATTACAAGCTCATAAACTAACCATAATATAACCATTAAGATGACATTGAACTTGGAAAATCAAATTGAAAACTGTGTGTGGCTTATGTTTATTTTTTTATGTAATTTAAGTGCAAGATTTAGCCTTGGTTTTGAAGGGAATTTTAAAGCGAAATATAGGAAGTACAACAAACAGCATCATCAGCTGACGTCAGCTTCGTCTGCATTCGGTTTTGTATATATTTCTATTTTGCTGATCTTTTTTTTTTGGCAAGAATTTCTGTCTAGTTTGTGCAGAAAATATTACAATGTTGTCTGGCGCAGAAGATGAAAAGTCGGAAAGGCCTCTCGTTGGCAAACCTCTCTCTCCCTGTGGCCTTTTTTTTTACCCCTTCATTTTTGATTCCCCCGTTGAGAGGCAAACCCTTTTTTTCTTCTCTATTTTTTTTTTTTGCATTTTTTTGTTTGCAGCTAGACTGCGCACAGCAACAGACAGAAAAGAAAAAAAAAATGAAACGAGGGAATGGAAAGGGGCAGGCAATGCAAATGAATGAGTAAAATGCAAAGAAGCAAAGGCAGAGGCAGAGGCAGAGGAAAAATAAAAACTGAAACAAACCGCAGACAGCGACGTCGACCTCGCCCAGGCAGCAACGTTTTTCTCATCACGATGATGATGATGGGGATGATGATGATGACGATGTCGTTTGACCTTTAAGCGAAGCGAGTGCATTCCACCAACAACAACCTGACGCAAAGAGAATCCCATTTAAGCCCTCTTTTAACGTCTGGGCCTTCTCTGGATTTTTTGTTTTTTGTTTTTTTTTTTCATAATTTACAAACGGAATTTAATTAATGGCAAATCACGTGGTGAATTGTGCAAGCCCTGTCGTATGCGCAATAATTCAGTTCTGTTACGTATACGCAA